GTCTGCGGGTTCCGGAAACTCCCACACGGAAACCATCAAGGTCCTCGGTGGATACAACCCCCAAGGCCGCTTATGTCAGTTTATCACGTGCATCAGCCCCACACAAGCTTCCAGAGCTCTTTCTCTTGTGACTCTCACCGAGCTCACCGATAACACCGAGACCGTCGCCTCCATCTCCACCAAACCTCCGTCGTCCCCAAAAATCCGCCGCAGAAACCATCACAGCTTTGGATGACTCTACAAAGCCATTGCGCCTCCACAATGGCCGCAATCCCCTTTCTCCCTCCCTAAGACAATTCATCTTCGATTTCTCATCAATCCACATAATTTCAAATCATCCAAAATGCTCGCCCGCACCCTCCGCGCCGCGGGCGCAAGCACAACCCGTTCCGGCACCTTACAACAACAGCTCCGAACAGCATGCTCCTCCTCCACCCCGTCACGCGGCCCCGAAACCCTTCCCTCAAGTCCAATCCGCGTCCTCCGCACCGTCTCCGCCCTCCGCCACTGGCGCCGCCCCCACGTCCTAAACTACCGCTCCGTCGGCCTCGTCCCGACAATGGGCGCCCTCCACGAAGGCCACCTCTCCCTCATCCGCGCCGCCGCCCGCGAAAACCACCACGTCGTCGTATCAATCTACGTCAACCCGGCCCAATTCGGCATCGCAGAAGACCTGGCGTCCTACCCGGTAACCTGGGCGCGCGACTCAGAGATCCTGCGGAACCTCGACCGCGAGCTAGCCGGCGACGGAGATATGCTCGGCCGCGTGAGCGCCGTGTTCGCGCCGACGACGGGGGAGATGTATCCCTCCGGTTTTCCGGGGCAAGAAGTCGGAAGCAAGGGAAGCTTCGTGACGATCACGCCTGTAGGCGAGGTCCTCGAGGGCGCGAGCAGACCTACCTTTTTCAGGGGCGTCGCGACGGTGTGCATGAAGCTGTTCAACATCGTCCAGCCGGAGCGCGTATACTTTGGCCAAAAGGATGTTCAGCAGACAGTCGTCATCCGCCGCATGGTGGAAGATTTCATGCTCCCCATGGACGTCGTCATCGGCGAGACGACGCGCGCGGACGACGGCCTGGCTCTGAGCTCGCGCAACGTCTACCTCGGCGAGCGTAGACGCAAAGTCGCAACGGTGCTGAACCGCGCGCTGAAAGCAGCGGAGGAAAGGCACCTGCAGGGCGGCGCGCTGGATCGGGAGACGATCCTCGGGGCCGCGAACCAGGTTACGGCTGACGTCCTAGCGGAGCAGTCGAAGCTGGCGCCCAAGGATAGGGTCATGTTTGAGGTGGACTACATCTCGCTGGCGGACTCTGACACCATGCAGGAGATTAACACTGTTGTGCCGACAAAGGGCGGGATTTTGAGCGGTGCTGTTAAGATGCTGCCGGTGGAGGAGCCGCAGCCCGGCGAGGACCTTGGTCATAATGACGGTCCTGCAGTACGCCTCATTGACAACATCATTCTGAAGCCTAACACCCAGTAAGGAGCGACTTGAGGAGTTGGATTTTGGATAGGAATTAAAGACGAGTGATATCACTATCTTACCGCATAATGCTATATAGAATTCTTATAATTTCCGAGAATGCCATGCTTTGCAATCAACAAATACATCGTAAGATCATCACGCTTGACACGTTTACAAGTAATACATCATTTACAGGTGTGCGCGGTTTTCCAGGGACCTACGCCTCCTCTGCTCCTTCACGCTTTTCTTCAGCTGTCGTGCGTCTTCGATACTCAGCAGAGGCGATACCCCCTTGCCGTCAATGTTCCTAGCAGCGTCAAACAATTTGCTTCCCAGCAAGTCTGTCAGACGAAGCACCCGTGTGCTAACGGTCGCACCATCACGACGGTTCTTGCCCTCACGACGACTGGACGCGATCTTCTCGGTAAAGTCCCAGAGCCGGCCAGAGGCGTTGAGGCTGCCGGTCTCCGGGTCGCGAGAGGGGCGCCATTCTGGGTCGAGACGCAAGCGGGGAGGAACCTTGGGATCCTTTGATTTCACAACCTGAAGGATACCCTCCTCTTCAAATCGCTGGTAGGCATTCTTCAATGTCTCCTTGTTGACCGCCTCAAAGTAGCTCAGGTCGCCCTGGTGGTAAAGTGTCTTGCCGAGCTGGGAAGTGTCAGTCACATATACCATATTGAATATCCACATGAGTCCACTTACTACTTGTGCGCTGCCCTGGGCTTTTGCAACCTCGATCCAGATATCATCCTTCTGGCCCAGAGGTGGCGACAAGCCCATCAGCGAGACAGCTGCAAGCCAACTGGCCTCGATAAATGGCCAGATGAGGAAACAATAAAAGTCGTAATTCTCCCGACCAACGACTCGTTCGTGATCTGAAAGACCCACCACAATGACCTTACCCTGGTCATCTCGGTGCAGTTTCAGCACCTTGTCTGCCTCCAGGTCTCGCAGCGTCTTTTCCAAGTTGGCAGCTAGACCTTCGCTGGGGAAGATGAATTCCCCGCGGAACAGTGACGAGAGGAACTGGATCTGGTCTTGCAGCTCTTGGAAGGAGATATCCTGCATGGCCGGGCCACCGCCCTGCTTCACCTTCATGTACATGGCGGCGCTAACAATAGCCTCCGAAATGAACAGATGAATCGTCATGTTGCGGTAGAACGACAGCTGGAAGCGATCGACGGCATAATAGGTAGGCTCTGGAAGGTCCTTTACGACGCCAACCAGCTCCTTGCCCAGAACATCAAGACCGCGCTCGATAATGTCAGAGAGCGGCGCAGCTCCAAAGTGAGCGACTCTGCCGCCCTTTGCACGAACACGATCGGTGAGCCACAGAACGCGGCGCTCGAGTTCCGTCTTGCCTACACCTCTGCCTCTCAGAGTGAGTAAGACTGTTCCTATCAAGGCTGTAGGCATGACGACGGAGACATCATTAATGTCTGACAAGACCTTGTAGCCCAGAATGCGCAGAAGCTTCTGTCGGATAGCTGTGTTTTCGAGGTTCTTTGTGTCCATATTGAGGCCGGTCGGTAGTCTTTCCAGTCTGGTGAGCTGCTCGTTTATGAAACCGCGTAAGCTCCATGGCTCATGGAATCTGACATCGACTCTGCCTAGTCTCAGGGACAAGACTGAAGAACCCCCGGAAAGGAAGTCTGCCAGGTTTTCCTTCTTCTTGGGCACGCCCAGTAGCTCTGTGACGTAGCCCTCAGTCTCAATGACCTTGTCATATTGCGTGCTCACTGGGCATATAATGGCGTCCTCCACACGACCTGACAGGATACTGTCCAAGATAAAGCTGAGGATACCAAACTTGGGAGGCAACAGCTTTCCTGTCCTTGACCGACCACCCTCAATGAAACATTCAAAGTTGTAACCACCTTGTAGCAGGGTGTCGATATATGTTTGCACCAGAGTTGTGTACAAAATGTCGTCGCCGAACGCTCTCCGGATCCACATGGCACCGGCATGCTGCAAGAAGCTTCCTACAAGAGGGAAGTTCAAGTTGTCGCCAGCTACGACGACGGGCAAGCCAAGTCCAAGGCGGTAACAGATGAGCTGCAGAGAAACATAGTCGACGTGTGATCGATGGCAGGGCAGGAATATGATGCTCTGCTTCTTCTTCTCGGCCTCCTCAGCAACCTTCCTCAGCCTCAGAACCTCCTCGCTAGAGACGTGGATGCCTTGGTTATAGGCTCGCAACGTCAACTGTGTGACGAGATAGTACGCGCTTCGGATAAAGGTCTTGCTCTCAAACTTGCAAATCATGTCGTCCGTCATCTTGTCCGCCACCTCTTGGATACCCGACTCGATGACAGCTCGTCTACGCGCGCGCTTCATAACAAAGTCCTTGTCTTGTTGGTTCAGCAGCCCATCTTTTTCTTCGACAGCAACACGCTTCTCAGCAAGATCCGCAATGCGTGACTGCAACAAGGGTGCTGAGAGTACGGCTTCCTTCATCTTATCGCTAAAGCCGGAGTAGAAGATGGGCTGGCCGATGGCATTATCATAGGCGCGCCAGCCGGTACCGGAGACGTAGAGAGAGACTTCGCGGAGGAACCTAATGAAGGGGAAACGAATTAGTCTTGTTCCTGGATCGACATTGAGGCTGAGACCAGTGGGTAGGCGGCCCGGCGCGCAGGTGGTACATACTGTAGCGGTTCCTGGCGGAAGCGTGCCATGTGCTTCATCAGAGCCTCCTCCTTTTCGTCATCGCGTGGTTGGGAGGGCTTGATGTAGCCGCTAGGTTGAAGGGTGATTTGGTCGCCGAGGATCTTCAGATCCGGCGCGGAATCGTCGTTCTTCGCCATTGTTGGGTGAGGATCCGGGAATGTGGTGTGAGTCTGGTCAGTTCGTGACGTCTTCGAAGTGTTCGTGGGGGGGTATCGAGTGAAGCAAGGTAGAAAGAGTGCGCGTGGAAATCGTAGATCTTTGAACCTCGGCCCGTCCGTCCGTGGTTGTTGATAGCTGTGCTAGGTCGTTCTGGGATGCTCCGAAACAGTCCGTCAAAGGTCCCTTGCCATTGCCGACAGTGGAAGAACGCGGCGGAGGATGTAAACTGCCGTACTTGTGTCTTGGGTCCCTCGATCAAAGTCGCAAGATGGCGTTGGAGAAGTGACGGACTGTTGAGACTTGGAGAAAAGGAGATTGGGTCACTTGTATGTGTGTGTTGTGACTTGTGTGGTGTGGAAGATGCGCCGGAGAGCCTCCAAGTCGCATTGTCATTGCCCGCCGGGTTTCTGGGGGAGTTCTGGGTGGACCGTTGAGGTCAAGTGCCACCTGCCCGCCTCTGTTAAGCCGAGCTCCTTCTCCAGTGGCTTTTAGCGGCTTCGGCATGTGAACAAACACTAACCATCCATGTTTGCTGCTGCAGGAGCCACCCTGTCTTGGTGCCTGCCATGGACCAATTGCAGATGGGTACGTACCCACCAACAATCTGGAGGCACTAACATTTAATTTTCCATCTTTCCTGCGCCAACCTTGACTCTTCCATTGCGATCAACAAGCACCACCATCACGAGGACATTCTGCGCCAGCACAGCCATACGGCCACTGAACACTGTTCCAACATCATCGCAGGGCTTTGCATTCTACCAGACTTGGGAACACAGCATGGCTCCCTCAAACCAGCCCATCACACAGGCTCTCCTCGCCCGGGCACACTCTCCCGACAGCGCCAACCGTCTCTTTTCCGAGAAAATCCAGTACCGACCGCTCTACCTCAGACCAAGCTCGCCACCGCCGCCATCAAACGCCCGAGAGACCCGTCGCAAGGCCCGCGAAGAATCAAAAAGGAAACAGAAGCTCAGGCCGAAACCTCTCTCGGCCCGCGAAAGACACAGGCGCGGCCTCTACGAAGTACCCCGCGAGGGCCAAAAATACTCCATCTTCGGACCACTCCACCGCCTTTGGCTGGGCTACATTGAGGAGGTATTGGGCTCTGAGCTATACACAGGCGGTGCCGCTGCATCGGCGAAGCTGAGCGCTGCCGAGTTCCACGGTGCTGCGGTGGAAGTGTCGCGCAGCTCCTGCCCAAGCAGGGTTGGCATCAAGGGCATCGTTATCAAAGACGGCAAATTCGCATTCGAGATCATCACGCCAAAGAACGACATCAAGATTGTACCAAAAGAGGGAACATGGTTCAAATTTGAAGTACCCGTCAAGGAGCCGGACACAGAGTCAACCCCACAAGGCTCCCCGCGGCGATTCGTTTTCGAGGTTCTTGGTGACCAATTCCTGATGCGCGGGGCGGATCGAGCAAACAAAAAGTTCAAGCCTCACTACCTAAAAAACCTATGAGGCGTCCACTCGGCGCATTACGCAGTACGGCATGCGCTAGGCATGTCTCGCACGCTTGCAAATGGTCAAAAGAAAAGGCCGAAAATTGCACACGCAATAATCATGAAATAGTGTATTGCGCTTCAATGCGATGATGGACCTATGAGAGGAAGACGAGAGCGTGGAAAAGAAACGGGGAGGGAAGGAAGATGGGGGACCATTCCAGGGAGCAAAACGTTTTCAGTGCGCTGTAAGAAGTGCAAAAGTTATCACGAAGCGCTCTCAGATGCGGGATCTAACCGCTGAAACTCCCCGAGGTGGGCTCGAACCACCAACCTCCAGATTAACAGTCTGACGCGCTAGCCAATTGTGCCATCGGGGATGAGTTGCTTATTGATGGAAGGCCGAGCCAGTTCCGCGCCTAAGGCGGGGGGCGGAGTCCAGGCCCCTCTGGCGAAAGGCGCCCGCGGCTGAGCGAAGGCTGATCGCGACCAGTACGGCCGTGATGTCGATTCAGGCCGTCTTTCGAAGGCGCGATCGCAAGGAGGCCTTAGCGATTTGACCGTCGTTTGATTTTGATGCATTCTGAGGCGTCTTTGCCTTGTCCGGCATGTATGAGAGCGCCTTCTCAGTGAGTTCGCAATCACCAACATGCTCTGCTTCGTATGTCGTTATTCCATCTCTCTCGTCGTTCTCCGTATTCATTGTTCAGTTAATTCTAGTTCGAAATTGGAACACAGGCGTGTATTTGACCGTCTGGAGATAACGATACCATGAGAGCAGCCGACGATGGCGGGCAATGCTCAGTGATCGCGTTCGTGGGGGGCGACGTTGACTTACAAAAAAGTTTCACGGTAACATCCTGCCACTTACATCAAACGACAATCATCAGAGCGCCTGATGGCAAAAAAAAAGACGCAGAAGCGACGAATTCGCGAGATGGAACCGTGGCACGTCACAGAAAGAGCGCCAGGTTACATAATGGCGGCTACCTGCCTTTGCTAAGAAGAAACGCGACGCGTGCGACCGCACGCCGATGACATCAGGACTCTAGCAAACTGCTCCAGTCGCGCACTCCGCCTCGAAGCTGTTTGCTCACCGCGGCAACCAGTGCTTTCCAAAGCCTTCTTCTCCTCCCAACTCTCACTCCTTTTCCCACTTCAACCGGCACATCATACACTTCCAATTGACTTCTCCTGAGTCTTGTTCTCCTCCAAGGAAAGAAATCCATCCAACCCATCTCACTCCACACCTTACCTCCACCACCAATCTACACCATGGTCACTACAAGAACAAGATCGCGTGCCAACAGTGCCGCCGATGCCAATGGCCACGCAGACTCTTCCGCCGCGGCTGGTGAGAAGCGCGGCATCGAAAAGGATGCTGTCAATGGATCTCCCGATGCCAAGCGTGCGAAGAAGTCGAATGATGATGCCACCCGCCAGACCACCATTGACGAGGCCTTTGAGAAGAAGGATGATTCAGAGTCTAAGAAGGCCGAGGACAAAGCCGAAGCAAAGGAAGAGCCCGCCGACACGGAGATGAAGGACGGCGAAGAAGAGCCCACCAACGGCTCGACGAAGCCAGAGGAGCCAACCAAGGAAGAAGAGGCTGCAATGGCAGAAAAGGTGGAAGAGGTAGAGGAGGCAGAAAAGGCAGACGAAGAGCAAAAGACGAAAGAAGCCACCAAGGAGGACAAACCAGATACAAGCGCAGTAGACGGAGAAACGGCAGAGAAAACAGGCGAAAAGGACAAAATCCCCTCCACCATTCTCGAAAAGGGCATCATCTACTTCTTCTTCCGCGCCCGCGTCAACACCGACGGCGCCGAAGAAGTAGACGACATCGCCCGCAGCTACATGATCCTCCGCCCCCTCGCCACAGACTCCAAGCTGGGCGACGGCCCCATCGGCGACGCGGGCAACACGCGCCTGCTCGCCCTGCCGAAAAAGGTCTTCCCCGAGACGGACCGGGACAAATTCATGGTCTTTGTCGAAAAGGCGGGCGCTTCGTTTGCCGAGCTCAAGGAGCAGTTTTTGTCTGGTGCTGATAATCAGACTAAATCTGGGGTGTCGCATGCGCCTGCTGCCACGCCGGCTGGGGAGGGTGTTTATGTTATTACTAGTAGTGGAAGCGACAGCCATCTTGCGTATATGCTCACCCTGCCTTCTGACCTGGGCGAGGTGCAGAAGGAGCTTGGCCTCAAGGAAAAGGGAAGCTTCATCTTGAGCACGAAGAACCCTTACAAAAAGGGCCCTGCGAATGCTAGTCTCGATCAGACGCCCGATTTCCCAGAGAGGTATGCGACATCACCATGATCCCCCTTTTTTCGGTTGATACAGAGTGCTAACAATATGACCTCTAGCATCAAGGATGACTTCCGCGACCTGCGGTGGACAAACACCAAGCCCGAGCACCTCGACTACCCCTATGCCCAGTTCCTCTTCATCGGCCAGTCGTCTGGCATCAAGAATGCCGTCGAGCCAAAGTCCAAGGACGTCAAGGCGGGCAAGGAGAATCCAGAGGACGTCCTCCAGGAGATTGGAGACGAGGACGAAAAGCGCATGAAGCACCTCTCTGGCGACGACTCGGCTTCCATCTTTGCTGATTTACAGGCGCGGGCCAAGGATTACCCAAAGCTACAGACTACCTTTTAGACAAGGGGGAATATTCATGAGGTAATGGGAAATAAGTAGTCGATATTGAGTACTTTTCTTTTTTTTACATTAGTAGGGCGCAAGGGAGAACAGGAAAATATGACTTGATCGAAAATGAAAATGAAAAAGGCTGTGATGGAGCAACAAACGTAAAATGAGTAATAAAGACCATACTAGTCGTGGTTAAGATCAAACTACGACTTTGACCTCTGTAGGACTAGCACCATATGTCCGAGAAAGCAAGAGAGAATGAAGTATGAGTCAAAGTGAAGGACCTCATTTTTTTTTATTTTATTTTTTTAAAAAAAAGGCTATCATTCATGTGCCCACATTATAACAGTAAGCACGAGAGCCAAAGTGGCCCTTCTTGGTATTAATACATTAATTCACGTTAGTTATTCATAGGGGTGTTTTCCAAAATCCCCCTGCATTCGCATTCCTCCCTTCTTCGCCACTCCATCTTATCCTGAAGAAGAAAAAACCCAAAACAACCCCCCCCCCCCCCCCCGAATTCATTAGGTATAGATACTCTCGGTAATCTGGTTCACCTGTAATCCCTTCTCCGCCATCTCGGCGTCCCGCAAAAAGTCGAGCGGGAACCAGACGAGGTGGCCCTTGATCTGGTCAATCTTTTGCCGCGCGTCCGCCGCGGGCATAAACTGGTCGAAAATGTGGCCTGCCTTGACGCCCTTTGGCGGCAGGTATCTGTCGTAGTCATCAAAGGTTTTGACTAGAGAGAATAATGTCAGCTTAAACATAATTCAAAGGAAAAAGAATAGAGAAAACTTACTGTGGTCATCGGGATCAGCGTGGAACAGGTGACGGTACAAATCCGTGTTCCGCGTAGCGTTACCCGTCCACATCTCCCAAAGCTCATCGTTCATCGGATCCTCGACAAACTTCCACGTGTCGTCGCGGTCCCATGGGTCATTCTCCGCGACGCCCGGCGGACGCGCGTTGGGGTCGTCGGAACCATCCAGCTCCTGCGCGGGCAGGAGGCCAAGGTGCTCGCGCCACAGGTACCGGCGCAGCGAAGTAGCATGCCACCCGGCCTCGTACGGCTGCCCGTCCATGGTGCTCGGCACGCGCTTCGTGTCCTCCATGACGATACTCAGCTCGCTGTCGTGGTATCCCAGCTGGCTGCGGTCGTTGAGGTTGCTGGAGCCGCAGACGACGATGCGGTCGTCGACGATCAACAGCTTGGAGTGGATATACAGCTCCTCCTGGATCCAGTTGCGGATCTCCGTCTCTGGGTCCTCGTCCTCCCACGGCTCGTCTTCGATGGATCCGGAATTAGCCATGGCGTGCTGCGCGACCGAGGTCTTGTTGCTGAGTTGCGTGTCGCCGAGGCTGGCTTCGAAGCGCTTCTTGGCGTCGATTGCGTTTTGGGCCTCGTCGGTCTTGCCGCCGCCGACTTGTTCGGCTTTGCCGCCCATGTGCTCGTCGCGTTCCTTCTCGGTGGGGTCGTTGATGCCGTGGATGCCTGTGCCCATGACCTCTTCGGCTTGCGCGCGCTGCACTTCGGCGTATTTTACGCCCGTGTCCTTTTCTCTCTTCTCGACGGCGGATGTGCGGTTGAGACGGTCGTAGGATCGCAGGTTGAAGAAGAAGATGTGGTTTCTGGGGTCGATGCCCTCCTTCTTGACCTGCTCGAAGATGGAGTGCTCGCCGCGGCAGATTGACTTGTACTGGTAGTCCATGATGGCACGGGTGCCCGTGGCCGCATCGTCTCGGAGGTCACCGGCGAAACCGGGGATGGCGGGGATGAGGACGATGACGCGGAACTTGCGGCCCTCCTTGCCGGCCCTCACAACGGCGTCGACAATGGCACGGCCGATCCTGTTGTGGATCGGTGCCTGCTGGTCGCCGGTGGCGGTGATGAAGAACTGGTTTTCAATGTAGACAAAGTGCTCGGCCTTGCTGATGATCTCACAGTAGGCGTTCTGGATCGAGTGGTCGGTCAGGATACCGCTGGACCAGTCGGCGCTGGACCGTACGATCTGGGCGTGCATGGTTCCCTTGTTCTCCAGGTTTGACAGGCTTCGCTCGTCCAGAGGGTGGGTGAGGTACTCTCCGACGGGATGCTTGGGCCGTTGGACTCCCACGAGGTCCTCGTCTTCGGCCAGGCGGCCGCGCAGCTGGATCCAGTCGAAGCGCTCATCGCGCTTGTACTTGTCGCGCTTGACAAAGTTCCAGCGCAGGACAAAGTGCTCGGCAATGTCGTAGACGGCGGGACCGACGACGCCCATGGATACGTCGTGCCAGGGCATGCGACCGTACTCGGCCTTGCTCAGCTCGTTCTGCTTCCAGTCCTGGACGTTTTGGAAATCCATGATTCTGTTGTTGTTGAAATCCTGTCCGGGCCAGACCTCGTTCTGGACACCCTCGGGATGCGCGTCGGCGAGAGGGTGGGTGTGGCTGTCCCAGCGACCGAAGCACAGATCCAGACCTCCGATGAAGGCCATGGCATAGTCAATGACGATAAACTTCTCATGATGGGCCCAGTAAAAGGTCATGTCGGCGCCGTTGGACAGCACATTGTGATCGGGGTGGCGCATAATCTTGATGTTGCCGTAGCCGGGTGAGCCCTCGGGGCACAGAGCCTGCAGCGCGTGTTTTGTGTGGGCAGAGTTGCACGTCAAGGCGGCCTCGACTTCGCGGTAGACAATGATGTGAATCTGGACACCGGCCTCGGCGCGACGCTTCAGGACCTGGTCCAGCCTCCATTCCTTGTTCTGGTGAGGGGGGCGGCGCAGGAACAGCTCGGGGGACAACCACCAGTCGCAAATGTAGATGGTCTCCTTTGCGGCCTCGAGAGCCTCGGAGACGGCCCAGAAGTAGTCGCGGCCGTCGACGTACCACTTGATCAGGTTGCCGTCGCGCTCCGGGAAGAAAGATTTGAAGCGGTGCTCCTCTCCGATCTTTGTCCGCTTGTCGTCGGTGGCCTTTTCGTGCTCCTCGTCGTGGCGATGGTTGGCGTTGAACTGGTACGCATGTCAGTTGTGCTGGTCGCTTCGAGTAGTTTTCCCATACGGGATGAGCTTCATTGAGAATTCATTGAGAAGGGGGAGGGAGGGCTGTCGTCTTACAAGGTTGGCCAGCTTGCCAATCTGGTGCTTCTTGTGCACCAAGTGGACTTTTGCGTCATGGAGATGGGTGCCCTCAAGCTTGTCCTCCAGCTCGCGGAATGGCTTCTTCAGCTTGTCCATGAAGCCGCCACCGCTACCGCTCTCCTCCTTCTTGTGGCCATGGTCGCTTGTGGTCATGAGCCCCATGATTACGGTTAGGTGGGCGTCGAACGAAGGGGGTATTCGAATTGAAGATGTGCGCAAGCTCTCAAAGTTGGTATCTCTAGGTCATGAAGTCGTGGGGAACGAGGAAAGTTGAAGTTAATGGGTGTGGCTGGTGTGGAGGGGTATCATAGGATGCGCGGGGTATACTAGATGGCGGGGTGAACAAGTCGAAGCATTCCAGCCCAGGTATGCAGCACTCGGATGGGGAAAGGTCAGAGGAAGTGGTAAGCTTCGTGTATCTTGGACTTGTAGGTGTGGGAAAGTATTCGAGAGGAGGAAGAAGAAGAGAAGACGAGACGGAGGAGGAGGAGAATGTCAATGGAGGGACGGCGCGTGGGAAGAGGAAAGTAGCAAAGCTTAAGGGAAAGCTTGAAATTGGAAACCCTGGGCTATGTCATTCCCCTCGTGCGCCGGCGGGAGGACTAAGGTAATCAAGCAGGTTAATTGGGGGCGAGACGTGAGACTTGAGAGTAGTTCGGCCGGAAGCAGGAATCCAAGGCCAAGGAAACGAAGAGAAAATGGAACCAAAGGCGAAGGAGACTCGTCGCACTTGTGAGAAAAGTGTGGGCGCAACGCTGGGACGGTGGGGGGGGGGGGGGGGACTACTTCGTACACACGAACGATTGTTGGTTGGTGAGACAACACGAGACTAAAAGAGGTACTTGTGGATAGTGCGGGATTTGTATGCGGGACCATGTACCTTTCTCTCACCTCGGTATCGGCCCTGCGCAAACAGGCACGTAGTCATCGTCGCAGTCACGGATAATTACAGTCACACTCGATTTCAAGGCGGGGCCAATGTGACGATCCGCTGGGTCGAACGACTCGAGTCTTGGACGACGGTCGCAAACCAGTGAGCCCTTGTTACTTGTGCCTGTGGTGATCCGGATGCAAGATTCGAGCCCCTGTCTGCCCGTCAGGGACAACATCGAATCCAGCCAAGCTCCCACCCTCCATTTGCCAGCCTCCGAGGGAAAACGATCCCCAAGGGTACCTAGTTTGACTTGTGACCAGCAGTGCAGCGGAACAGTAGGAGTACGGAGTAGACCAGCAGCATGCAATGCCACGCGTCTTGCGCCTCTTCTTTCAGCCGTTGGGACCACAGTTAAGAGGCTGGGAAGACTGCGCAAGCTGGAATGAGTTTAAGGAGCTCCATTGCTCAGCTTGGCAAGGGCTCGCGTGCTTCCCCGTAATGACCGGGCTATCCGTATATCAAAGTCAAAGCAAGAGACTTAAAAACATCAACCTCGCTCTCTCTCTTCCAAACTTCTGTCAGATACCTACAAGAATCAGGGGTGACCGGTGAGCTGAAAGCTTTGGAAACAAAAACGTAAAAGAACGCCTGCCCCGCGCTCGGTGCGCCGGTCACAGGGAAGGTCCCGTCCGTTTTGGCGGTTTGAATTGGTCAACGGAACGCCGTCACTGGTTCCAGGCTTTCAAAGGTGGGGCGAGCTACTCTATTTTCGTCTTGACGTCATGTCCAGCACGTCAGTCACGGTATGTACCTACCTTCTGGCAATGGAAGCTGATAAGATGTGATCCAGCGGATCTTATCGATAAGACCCAGCCTCCCATCCCCGTCGAAAGCCGCATCTTCTGCCCAGCTGTGTGAACTGCGACATGCACCAAGCTGCAGCCTGCCAGCTCTTCTGAATTGTCGAGTCCTAGTTGTGATTGCACGACAGCCCAGCCCGGTACGATGCATAGGGCGAGATAAGAGCATGGCACATGTGCCGAACTCCGGCTTGTCCTTGTCACGGCGCCATTGCGAGCCCGTTGCTGGCCGTCCTTCGCAAGTTTGCACTGGACTGGACTGGACTGGACTGGACTGGTACCGAGTGGAAGGGTGGAAACCTGAATTTCGCGTTTCTAGACCTCTGTCGGGCTTGTCCATGACACTGACCGTGACGTCACAACATCGGCAGATCGTACTGCCTGCCATTGACTGCTCGGGGATACTGGTCCCATTCTTGTTTTGGCCATGTGGTAAGCAGATACTTTGTGCTACCTATTTTGGAGATGGAGTATGGACGTTTCGAAACTCAATTGGGCTTTTCTAATGTTCCCGTGGTCGTAAATTTTGAGTTTTTGAGTTGAAGTTGGCGTGAGGTCTGCAGTATCGCTACTTCAAGCGGGCAGCGAACCGCCATGAGATTTGAGTAGCTTAATGCACGTGATGTAGGTGTGGTCGGGAAGCATCTGGGCCGTTGAGCCGTTGAATCAATTAATTGCTGCATCTAAGATTCTCCACGTCCCTCGGAAGCCACCATATTTCATCGCGAGTATCGTAGGCATCGTCATGATGTCAGATTCTCTCAACTGATATCGAGCGAACCCAAGGTCTAAAGAAATCGACCATAAGCATGATCGCTCAAGGTCGAGGGAGGCGTGCTATCAGATCTGCTCGATCCAATCGTGTTCATCGTCAGTGATCCTCGATCTACCCAAGGACACAGCTTGGTCCTGTCTTCCCACGTGTATCTACCCATGCGCGCGCGCTACCATTCAACGTCGTGTCTTGAATCCAAGCACAACATCAACGTCCCAAATACGCCCCCTTAGGTTTGTCTCGTTCCAATAACCAAAGTAAGACAACCACGGCAAAACAAACCGTCCGGCATTCCCGCTTCTCAGCCGTCCCGGTCATCAGTGAAACACCAACGCCCGAATATCAATGCTCTGCCGACACTCCATCCCATCCATCTCCGGGTCCCGAAAAGCACAATGCGCCGCTCTCCGGACAACCGATGTATCCGAATCAAAACACTTGATAAACAATGCCTCGTCCGACCGCTGCCCGTCCAAGAAGTACCACCGGTGTGACGGATTCGGCTTAATCGTCCACGTCTCAGCCCGGTGGCGGGGATAAATAATCGCCCCCGGAACGAGGTCCTCCTCCGCGACCGTGGTTCCGTCCGCCACGGCCAGCGGGTCCCGCCGCACCGTCTCGATGGGCCGCCAGATATTGATGATCTGGAACCGACGCTTCTCCTTGTCTAGGAGCTTCTCGGCCTCGTCCGCGCCGAGGTGGTGCCTCGCCATCATGACGGCGCCGTCGTAGGACTGATCCACGTGCGCCTTGTGCAGGGGACCGCGGTGCTCCGTGTTGCGTTCGCCTAGGCTGTGCCAGTTTGCCGGCCCGCGGCGGATCTGGTGGTTGAAGATGACGACCCGGCTTGCTCCCGTGCTATGTGGTGTTTGAACCCCTGGTGAGCATGGGCCCTCAATTGTGAATGTTGGCCCCCCACTGTTGTCTATAACAACCCTTACACCGCCCAAAGCCTGCCCACTTTGCGGCCGGCTTAATAAATGAAAGCGTGCAAGACTTACATTTTCTTGTACAGCTTCTCCATCTCGGGGTAGTAGACGCCCTTGACCCGTTCCTCGTCTGTAAAGTCCGTCTCGATGCTGGTGTGGCGGACGTACTGGAAGCCGTGGGTGTCGAGAGTGTACTTGTCCTCTTCGCCTCTGATGTCGGAGACGGTGACGGTGCGAGGGGTCATTTTTCTCTCATTTGTTACTTTTTGACTGGAGTTGAACAGAAAACATGAGTATGCTGAGCCATTGACACGGTACTCCGTACTCGAGAGACGTGAACTCTCAAAGACATGGATATTGAAAAGCGGCCTTACCCCCCTACAACGATTGGGGTCGGAAGGGTCCCATCTCCAGGGTCGTCGTAGTAGTTAATGGTGGTGACGACTGCACGCCTCTCCGGTCTCTCGGCCTCTGTGGACTTTGCCTGTGCTGCGCCTGGCAGTGGCTGTTGCTGTGTTGTTCCCACGGCCATGTTTGTTTCTCTGATGAAATGCTGGATATCGTGTCACAGGGAAGTCAGTCTCGGGATGGTGGTCGTGAGCTTGGAGACTCAGTTCATCTCGTTCTGTATTGTCTGAAGGGTAGGTACTTGGGTACTCTGGTATGTACGAAGATGACTTATATGCTGAATTGTAAGCGTAAATAAGAACGGAAACACTACTCAAGGGCAGGCAGTATATCAGATGAAGGCAACATAAACAACATAAACCCAAGGGAGTATCTCAAGATCAAGATCAGAAACGCAGTAGTGGTCCCTCATCTGCGAACTGGAGGCGTGCGAGGGGAGTCCCTGGGCCCAGCCGCCGGCACGGCAGAGGGACGAGGGCCGACTGGTCGGAGCTCCGCCTTCTCCTTTTTCCGCGACCCCGCGATGAGCCGTGCCCTATGCGTCCATGCACTGTCCTGTCTGCATGTGATCCGGGCTGAACGGGATGAGGGGTAATCATTATCCGCACTGTACCAACGTATCAGGAACGAGCAGCCGGTGAAGTGGATCATATGACCCCACTGTGACAGCTCGGGTTTAGCGTGTTGGATCTCCAATGGGCGGTCCAGGTCCCAGGTGGTGGGGTTTCCAGGGAGAGGTCCCCGCCATGGCCCATGAGAAGCTCCTGCTGCTGTTGCTAAGGTACTGGAGGTGGATTGCTGCTGCTGCTGCTGCTGCTGCCGCTGTTGCGTATGCGTGGCTTCCCGGGGGGCCATTGGATTTGCTTGACCGCCCCTCGATTCCCGTCCCGACCCTTTTTTGGGTTTCGCTTCTCGTCTGAACAGCTCCTGGAACATCTGCTTTTGCCTAACTACATCTTCTCCCTTTCTTCTACCACTTCTAAAACCTCTACCTTTCTTTCTCTCTCATCAAACACATCTTTCAAGCACATCAACACCCCCCCAAAATCAGACACAATGGCCGCTCAGATCCCCCCCGGAGGCACTTACCTTGACACCTTCAAGAAGTCCTTTGTCGATGTCAAGCCCGACGCCGACAAGGAGAATGCCATCCCTACCTCCGACTTCCTTGATGCCTCCGAGTCTCTGACGACCATCTTTGGTATGTTCTCCCTGCGTGGCTGCTCTATCTCAACCCCAGAGAAAACAACACGGATTTGGCGATTTCATGTCTCTAACAACCATCCCCTCTTCTAGATGCTCTTGGAGGCGTTGCTTTCGGTCCCGTCAAGAGCGACATGGGCGGCAACATCAAGGTACGACTTGACCCCTTTCGATACCCCCGACACTCTCTACCACATGTCCCGAATCGTCCCTTATCACGAAGCTCGGATGACACCATACGGCTCCTTCAAAAATACCCTTGCCACCTCGACGAACAATAGCTGACTTGTTCTCCTTGTGCAGAAACTCCGTGAGCGCCAGCTGGCTGCTCCCGGTGAGTCCGCCACCCTTCAGGAGCTCGTCAAGGCCGAGCTGGCCACCAAGAAGCACGTTGCCACCGAAGGTCTCCTCTGGCTGGTTCGGTAAGTCTGCCCCTGAGAACCCCTGGAGAACGATGACACAGCGAACGAAACTAACAATGCCAATCTACCAGCGGCCTCGAGTTCACCTGCATCGCCCTGAGCCAGAACCTCGCCAAGGAGTCCGAGGAGCTCTCCGAGTCCTTCCGCAACGCCTACGCCACCACCCTCAAGCCCCACCACAGCTTCCTGGTCAAGCCCATCTTCAGCGCCGCCCTGAGCGCCTGCCCCTACCGCAAGGACTTCTACGCCAAGCTCGGCGCCGACCAGGACAAGGTCGCCGCGGAGCTCCGTGTCTACCTCGCCTCCCTCGAGAAGATTGTCGGCATCCTCAAGGGCTTCCTTGCCAGCAAGGACGCCAAGTGGTAAGCGCAGACAATGCTCTTGTGCACGCTGACCGAGAAGAACAAAAGCTCTCCAAGGAATGTGGGGACCAAAGAAAAAGAGAAATAAAGAACGAACCATGACGATATGATGGCAAGAACAACATGTTCGTGTCAGTGTCCGCTGCGATGCTAGTACATTGCCAGCCACGAGCCACTTTACGCAGTCTAGAAATGAATCACAACCTCGAAGCTTGAACCAATTATCTTCTTTGATGAGCTTGATACCAAATAACAATGCCGAGCCTACACAATTATCTTTGACGCCTTGGAATAACTCCAGAGTTCCAGCATCGGTGGCTGAGGGCCGTGAGAAGGCCTTTTTATATAACCGGGCTTGCCAGCACATTCATGGAAACTTGCCTCACAAACAGATACACATTGCATATCATTTACACAAAGATAACATTCATAGCTCATATCCATCAACACATCCGATTTTCTCCAACAAAAGCAGAAACCAATTCTCTAAACATACTGCAGCATGTCTCTTCTAGACCCAGTCATCGACCAGAGCAAGTTCCCGATTCACTTGCCCGCAGAACTGTACCTTGAAGTAGCTCAATGGCTTGGCGAGTTTCAGACAGAGATCCAGAGACCAGAGTACGCACCGCTGAACGATAACAACGTGGAGAACGACATTGTCAGGCGCAGGACAGTGGTAGGGACCATCATATTGGCGGCCAAGGAAATGCGTCCCACAATGGCCATGCTCAACGCGGGTATGGTCAATAAATACTATCACAACACAATCACCAACGTTGATCTCCGGTGGGACGCCCAGAGCGAAAACCCGAGAGCCTGCTACCACGCCGCGGTGCATAATCACGTTGATCTCCTTCGCTGGGCCCTCGAGCAGCCGGGGGCCAAACCGGACTACGTGCCGCACTGCGCCCGTCAGCTGTCTGCATGGACACCACTTATGATCGCTGCGTCGAAAGGCTATGCTCAAGTCGTGGAATTGCTTCTTCAACAAGGGGCCAATCCTGCTTTGAGCTTCGAAGGCCGTCCCTCGTGGTGGATACCGCGTCCGTTTGTTGCAAGCCGCGAGTCAAATATGAATCTACATGAGTTTGACAGAGATACATTTCTGCAACCCTCGGTCCTTCACGCTGCCTTGCTGGCTCCCCAGAACGCGCTCATGATTTCCAAGAATATTCTCAGGTCTGTCCCATCCAGCTTCTTGACCAAGATTTCCGATCCGCGTAGGCTCTTCCTTGGTATTGCTGTTGCTCAAGATCACGTCGACTTGGTGGATGTGTTAATCAATCGAGGCGCAGACTTCGATCACGGAGGCACAACTAGCTTTCATATGAACGCTCCAGTACTTCATCACGCCATCTCCGGCAAGATGGTTCGCAAGTTGACCCTAGCAGGGGCGCCGCTACATACGCCTGTCGAGTTCGGCCTCAATGCCCTCCATGCCGTATGTCTTCGTCAGACAGATTGCTCTTCTGCAATCAGAGAGCTCGTCCGGCAGGGCGTCAAAGTGGAAGATATCACAGCTAGTATAGACCGGCGGCCACCTACATTCGTCCACCACGAGCCTCGCAGAAGAATCCCCCAAACAGCTCTCAATCTCGCATGCAGGCAGCTCAATCTTGCTCATATCCAAACACTGCTTGAACTAGGCGCTCACCCGCTCGAAGCTTGTCTTGAGGACAACAGTATTGACAACCAGAACGATGGCGAGTTCTGCAGGGTGACACCCCTTCACGATTTGTTTGTCCCCGATTACACGGCCTTGCAGACCCGGATGAAGAGCCACGAGGAGATAGAATGCGCCATAAAAACGGCTTTCAATTTGTTAATCAGCCACCCCCGCAAGGTGCGAAAGCAGTATCGTCCTACGGAAATGTCTGCCTCGGGTCTCCAGGTCATGATCTCATGTCTAAGCTTTCGCATGAACACTGGATCCGTCCCGACACCTACAAAGAACATGATCTTGGTAAGTACACCCCGCTTCAGCTTTTCTTCGTTCATCCGTTTTCAGACGACACCGAGATCCCACAGGCTATGTTCGACTTGGCAGAAGATGGAAGGGATCAGATCAACGCAATCATAGAGCCGTTTTACATCACGCCGCTGCTGGCACTCCTGGGCCACCGCTTCGATCACTCCCTCGGTGTTGGAAACTTTTACCGGCCAAAGCTGGTCGAGTGGCTTCTGGCACACGGCGCCGAACCGAACATGTGCGACAGGGAAGGCTTCTCGCCCCTCCACTATGCAGTCTTCTGGCTCGATGCACGGGCCGTCGAGCTTCTCCTCCGTTATGGCGCTCGGATCAAGCGTAAGGACAAGTTGAAGGTCATTAATGTCCTCTTCGGTGGCATCTACACCAGGAAACACCATGAAGAGTCGCAGTGTAACAGCCTACACCCGAGCATGTGGGTGAGGATGGTGCAGAATGTCGACTTGCACTTCACGTCGAGTCATAACGTCGGCAGCAGCTGCATCGAGCGCTGGCAGCCCGGCACGTCGCTGCCCGCATGTACGGTCCACCACGAGTACCATTCTTCGTGGGTCTCGGAGAGGAAAGAACAGTCGGTGCACCCGGAGCTCGTCAAGCGGTGGGGAAGTTTGCGTAAAGCTATGAGCAGGAGTGCCGAAGAGCGCAAGAGGGAGATCTTTAAGGCGACGGTGCGAACGCCAAAGGTGCTACCCTTTTCGAAGCCCAGGGCGATTATGCGACGTAATAGTGAGTTGTACCGGACCTGGTCGGAAAGGGCCAATCCTGACACGATTCGGTACAGTGTTTTGGACTGAGCGATGGCGACGCACCAGAGTCCTTGGTTTCTGAACGAGATCAAGCGGCTTGGTGGAAAGGCTGGAGATTATCGGCCTGGGGTTTCGCTGGGCTCTAGCGTATGGACATCACCGGGCTACTTATGCGGGAGGGGGGGTGGCCAGGGCAGAGGCCGTTCCTTCAGCTGGCTGTATATACTTCAATTAGCCCACCAATAGCTCCTACCTCGTATATATAATACAGTGTTTATGTTAACTTAACGGTAAGTACGCCCCTTCCTCTTATATCTCAGTTTATTATATTAGCAGAGCAGCCTTCCTACAATAGAGCAGTAATTCTAGTAAAGATTTCAAGGCCCAAGGGATTCAGGACATTATTCTCAAGAGTTGAAGAGCAAAAAAGGCGTCCTTTTACATACGTAAGGGCCGCTCTCAAGACAAAGGGTTACCTAACCAGCATAAAGACCCCTTAGGGACATACCCCCCCTAAGCAGCATTAGAATAGACCTCTGTCGAGAGCACCCCCCCTCCCGGGTAGGTACTGCTAGATCATGAAAACTACGTAGATGCTTGACGAATGCGCGTATACTTGCGCATTTCCCTAACCATAAAGTGCCGCTTCCGACTTCGTCATTGCCCATAGAGGAAGAAGTCTTGTTCCTAAAGTATCGTAGGTTGAGAGACGAGACTCGGAAAGTGAACTGGCTTTTACAAGTGGACAATTCCAAGACTTGAACATAAAAAAGGAACCCAAAGTAGTGAGTACATACAGGTCATAGTAAAAACATTTGACGAGTCTTCTAGGCTTGGCTGGAGTCTGGAAGTTGGGTTTTCTTCCGTCGAGCTCAGATTTCCGTGGTGCAGTAGGATGCTTGAAACGAAACAATCTTGAGGCAGCATCACATGGTCTTGATAATATGTCGATGGAATATTGAGTCATCATGCGGAGATAAATTCAAGCTCGATGATCAGAAAAGTAGTCATATCTGTTGTATTAGCCCCCAAGACAGATTACTGTGCTGAGACTTTGTATGTATTTCCCAATGATGGCGAGAAGATGATGGTCGTGGTGACTGCTTCAGCGTTCTCTGAAGCTGGCAAAAGCACAAGCATGAGGAAGGCCACATTATCGAAACACGTGTTCATGACCTATGGAGTTGCTTCTTGTGATTTCGTCACAGTTGACAAGTGTTTGTCGGTTTGGCGAGAGGGAAACACATGGATTAAACATATGACTCCGATGAAAAGCAATCTTTTGAATTTCCAAGATTCTCAGTTGCATGCTAGATGAGAAATTCAGAAGGGTGGCTATTGAAATCCAAGAAAATACATCAGGCCGTTGATTTCTCGGTGATTTGCGAGCAGAATCGGTTAGAGCACAGGTTAGTCCAAAAAGGGGGCACTCTACGAACAAACAACACAGTGATCGATTCCCTCACGAAGTTAAGCAAGATGCGGGAGTTTCAAAATGTCGAGGGTGTCAAGGGAAGTAAGAAGGACACTCGACGAGGAAACATACACGGTGATCAAAATAATCTCCTCGAGTGACCAACTATTTGAGGGGGATCACTACAGCATCAGAATATTAGCCTTGACCTTTCATTCTTTTATGGACAAATCGAGATTTATCTCATCAGCGAGTCCAGCGGAAACATCAAGCACTGCGGATAAGTCAATCTACTCATGATGTCGGTTGGGCTTTTCCTTCAAAACCGATAAGGGTCAGGGTCCGATGGGATGTCAGAGATTCTAGACCGCCCATCGAAAAAAAAGTCATCTGAGAAAGTGTCGATTTGCGACGGGGTTCACCCCCTTCCCAGGGCTGACTCGGGCTCTCGCGAAATTCAGCTGGAGTGTTTGGGGGGGCTCCGCTGGGTTCTTTTGAGAGAGGAGGCCATCCTCTTCATTTCGTGATGTTCTTTTGATACCTTACTTCGTTTGCAGAGAATCACTTTCGATCGTCTGAGTCAGTGTCCATGGCGTAGCTAGATGAAGGAAGTGCAGAATAACTTCCTTGTGTGAAGCCAAGAGACAGTGTCTATTCGTAGGCGAGAGGAAGGATGAAGGGGGATATCCATCGCGAGACTGTACGAAGACCAAAACCAGATGCACAGTGAAAAGTGTCATGACCTGGAGGCCGCAAAGATCAATCTCTGTCCCGTGACGCAATCAATCGACAGCGAATACAGCGAAATGTTGCAGTGAGATGACAATTTCTAGAAGAGCTTGAGGCCGGCCGGCCGCTCCATTACTTGAGATGTTGACGCATCTCGGGTTCTCATAGGACCCCGACCAACAGGCTGCCTGCACGAGTGCGAGTATCCGTATTGCTGGTTTACAATGGATCCTCTACTAAGGTCAGACTGGTCAGTACGGATAGACGGCGATCGAGCGGAAGATGTAAGCCGCAGGGGGGGCCCTCAGTCTCCTCAGATCAGTCAGGCTCGGAAGTCAACCGCACATGAATCTGGTCTGCGGAGTGATCCCATGACAAAGCAGTGGCAAATTGTAGGACTGAGATTTAGGCAAAGAGTTGAGCATGGATGGCATTGGTGGGACCTGAGGAGGTTTATATTCCACAGTGCAGTCTATCTCGCGTGCGGCTATCCGTACGGACACGCCTGCATCTCAGCTCTTGAGGCTCTAGGGAACCTGGAGGGATTGTGACCATCTATATGAAGTTCTGGGGCTGTAGCGAGAGTGAAGGCGGCTCGAGATTATACACTCAACAAAAGAGTGGTAATCTGCGGGAATAGCAGTTTCTTTTTCGTCTCGTAGCGAGTTTCCTCGAGATAGAGTTTGAGGTAATCTTGAGATTGTTTCTATATGGTGCCTTGTTCCATCGCAGGCAAAAACCGAGCAAGTAGACAGCAAACGTGCGGTGCAAAGGTTAACATGTTTTCTAAGATTGCGCATTTGGGACTGTGGGAGGCGTCGTGAGATTACCCGCTGTTTCTTGCTCATTGTGCCCGGCCCGGGGGGGGGGGGGGGGGGTCCGCTCATCGGCATGAAATGCCGGACAGAGTTCTTGGGAAGTTTTCTCGGATTTGATTACGGATACACAACGATGCGGTCGGTTGGAAAGTTGTCCCAGCTGTCTGTCACCTAATCGCCTGAGCCGGGTGGCCGTACAGTAGTGCCATCCTTAGATTAAGACCAGATCTAGCTTCTCTGTGATGCGTCCGTGTGCAGTAACCAGTGATGGAGAGGAAAGTCTAATTGTTGGTAAATATAACCAAGATCCAGACGAATATGATCGACTGGGCGGAATACTACGTCAAAAAAGGGTAGCAAGCAGCATGACGATCCAAAGAGACCCTACGAATCACGATTCCGGGTTTTGTCGGTATTTCATATGGATACGCTTTAGTTTGAGAAAGAAGCGCGGGAGAGGCGCGGCGGCGGCGGCGCCCAGCCCACAATTTGGATCCCAAGACGTTACAACTTTGTCGGCTGGTGGAGTTGGGAGTGGGAGCCGGGGGTGCTTGGCAGGAGAATTTTCGAAATGATTTCGGGATTAGTGTCAGGGGCGGGATGTTCGTGTTGACAAGGGCCTTGGGTTCTTAAGCGAGATCCTCTTTGGACTCTGGAGACTAGACTGGCCTTGTCATGGGCCGTGAACCCGTTATCCTTGGAGGAGGAGGGCGGGAAGAGGAGTGACTCGTGAGAGAGATCTAGAATTTCGGGGAATTTTGATGAGCTGACTGGATGATTTGAGGGGTTTGCAGCAAGACTCGATGCTAGCTAGGCGCAGGGCGAAGGCGGCTATCTGCATGGTGGTCCATGGAATCACATAGTATGGGTCGGGAAGTTTTTGTGGCGGTTGGCATGAGGCGAGGTGATGTCAATAACCTGGGGTCCTGTCAGAGAAGACAAGAAAAGAAACCACCCAGTCCGGCAGTTGATGTGTCATCACTATTGTTACTATCCTTACGGAACCGCTCTCCTTCAAGTTTATCTACGGATGCAGTCTGGTCGAAGTTGGTTTAGAACGATCATTGATGAGATAGAATTTGTAGATGGCTTCACTGATCGCCAGAGAGAGGCTTGTTTCTCATCTCATACCTCACTCGGGAAATGAAATGATGAACTATGATGAGATTCATGTGGATGGAAAAAGAATCGGGAATCGAATCAAGTTGAGATGAATACGAAAAAGGCGGAAAAACGAAAATGTCGAGAGGAAAAAAAGTGTAATCATCATCCCAACTCGCATAGCAACACTCATGAACCGCCAATCTAGTTGCGACTCGGTAAACGCTCAAGCACCAAGGCAACCCCAGTCGGCGCTGACAGGTGTGACAAGGGATAGACAGGACGTTCATAGAGCTCTGCAAGCGAGTGGAAAGAGAAACCGAGAAGAGAACTGACGGCAGCCGGGCAGACCAAAGCCTAGGCCCAACGCTGAACCCATACGCGCTAGACTGATTAGGGGGGGGGGGGGGGGGCAGGCTGGCAGCAGCCAACAAGATGAATTTGATCAAGAAGCCGGAAAAATGAGCTGATGGCTGATGGATCATGGGTTGACGAGCTTGTCTTCAAGGCTGGGTTTATTTGGGTAAAGTAGTGATGGCTGTGAGTCTGCAGCTGCGAGGATTGAGGAAGACTGGAAGTCGAGTGCCCTGTTCCCCGGATTTTCGGAATGTTCCCAAGCCTCAAGACAATAAGTCCTTTGTAAATCCATGGAAGAGCTGACAGACGAAAACAAAATAGACACAGAGCGAGATGGTGGCAGAGAAGAGTGGGATGTCGAGACCGGGTTCTTGAAACCAAGCGATCAACAGACGGCGGCCCATTGGTGGAATGCGCTACGATGACCCTGGACCGCCCACTTGTTTGACATGAATAAAGGAGTGAGCGGGAGGCCGAGGCGCTGAGGTGTGGTGCTTTTTTACTTTGGAGTCTTGCCTCAACAGTCAACTCTACCTCTTCCCGCATACGCCTCTGACCGTAGGCCTGGTAAGAGACCGATGGGCGCTAGCAGGCCTGTTTGTCTTCCTAGCCCCTAGGTGCTCCGTTCTTCCGTGGTGATGTTCTAGTCACTTTCGCTGGACGGAATCACGGATACTATGCCTCGTGTAAGGCCTGGTCCATGAGCCGAGAGGCCCGTCGTCTAAAGTTGAGAATTAAGATCGGAGTGTTAAGGCAGGGCAAGCAGCCACCCGCGAATCCGAGCTTCTGCATGACAATCCCTTCCGGAAGTCTATCCATTGCGCGGGATCAAGAGTGTATAATCGGAGCTTACCAAGATGAACCTCTCTAGGGAAACGCTGTCGGCTATTTAGGGTGTACCTAGCAGCGACGGGAAGAAACGAGACGACGGCTGGCTCTGAGAGAAACAACGGAAGTTTAATACAGAGTAACTTTACGTAGTAGCAGATGGCATCATGGAAGACGAATACCGTCATCTCCCACCCAAAGCATCTTCACTGGTGTCCCTAATCGATGACCTTCACGGCTTGCCCAGAGCCCTGAAAACTCTAGCGCTTGGTCTGTCCACCGCCACTCCATGTTCGTGTTCTTTTCTTCTCGGTTGGCGTTCCATGGCGTTCCCATCCAGAGTGAAAGTCTTACACTAGTCCACTGACCACTCCATGTAGGCAAAGCCACCCCGGGCCCCGGGATGGACGGGCTGGGGAACAGTCGAAATTGCATCCTCCGCCGCGTTTGCTGTGGTGAAACGGCCAGGGAGATTTGACCAGCCCAGGATCGTGTGCAATCGACTTACACGCACATACGCCCATCCAGATTACAGAGAGGGGTTGCAGAGTAAGGAACCACATACTCTATTGGGTCCATGTCTAGCATTCTAGCCCTGTCGTCCTGCCTGCCTGTCTGTCTGTTGCTGACAACCGCGACGGCGGTGCTCTCCCGAAATCTCCAGAGACTACTCCGTAGAGTCCACCCACCCCCTTACCTGATGCTGGTCTATGCTGGCCATGTTGGTGGTAGTGGTGGTGCGGGTTCCCAATATGGGCAATATGGGGATCTTGTTGAACGGCTCCATTCGCGCCATTGTCTTCTTTAAATGGAGGCAAACTCCGCACCTCCCAGCTAGTCATCAAGGCTTTCCCTCTTCTCTTCTTCTTGCGATCAAGGGATTGTTGACCATCTCCTTGCCCAACCGACATTCTTTTTTCCAGACATTCGTTCATTCACTCATTCAAAAGGCTCTAGTCCTTTCAAACAAGCTACCAAACGAGACATACACGATCATTCATTTACTGAACTTTGAAAGTTCCTGAACTGCTATATATACAACAACAGCAAACATGCGTTTCTTCTCCGTCCTCGGCTTCGCGGCCGCGGCCGTCGCCCAGCTGACGTCGTCTTCCCTCGAGAAGCACGTTGACACCGCCACCATCAAGTCCTTCAACCCCATCAAGGAGGCTTACTGGACCGGTCTCCCCCACCATCGCCGTACCCCCTTCGCCGTCTCCCCCGACGGAAAGTCGGCCTGGCTCGCGTACCTCGACTCCTCCGAGACGGGCGTCCACGTCCAGCAGATCGACCCCACCACCTTCGCCGCCACCGGTGACCCCGTCACCGTCTCGGGCGGTAAGGAGGCTGCCGGTCTCGTCGCCCACAACGATGGTTTCGCTGTCATGACCAACGAGGTTCTCTCCGGCTCCGGCACCGACGTCGCCATCGCTGTTCTCTACCGCTACACCACCGGCAAGACCGAGCCCACCTTCAAGACCTGGCTCGGCGGCCCCAACGTCGACGGAAGCCAGGCCATGGCCTCCCCCGACGTCAACGGTGACCTCGTCTTCTCCGAGAAGGCCGGTTACTACGCCGCTTACATCGTCGTCACCGCCTACCAGGGCGATGCCACCGGCCACTTTGGTGATGCCATCCGCTACGTTGACACCGCCGGAAAGCTCACCTCCATCTCTGGCGCCTCCTCCAGCTGGGGCTGCTCCCACAACACCGGTATCGCCTTCGAGGCCGCCGACGCCGCTCCCTTCGCCTCCATCTGCGCCGAGGACCAGGGTGCCGTCTGGCTCAACACCAAGTCCCAGGGCATGACCACCGACAACGTCAAGATCTCCAACGAGCACGTCATCAACGGCGGTGCCAACGAGGCCATGGGCGGTATGTCCGGCTCCTACTCCAACCTTGCCCGCTTCATCGGCGCCGACTCGTACATCTTCTCCTGGGTCTCCCGTGGTGCCATCGACCTGACCGAGAACTCCTGGATGGGCTCCGGCTACACCACCTCCAAGAACCGCACCAACAACCGCAACGTCGCCATCGCCCTCTTCTCCGACAAGAACACCCTCGTCGGTTCCCAGGCCACCTCCGTTGCCGGCACCGCCGACGGTGACTCCCAGGTCAACTGGATGACCTCGGGCTCCAACGACTGCTCCAACGCCCACGCCGCCACCTTCGACTCCTCCAAGGCCCTCATCACCTGGGAGGAGATCTCCTCCCCCACCTGCGCCTTCGACGCCATGGGCTGCCAGGGTACCTTCGCCGGCACCAAGTTCCAGATGGTCGGCAGCGACGGCAAGAAGATTGGTGAGGTCCTCAGCTCCGACGACACTTACGTCGCTGGTGACATGGTTACCATGTCCGACGGCCGTATCTGCTGGCCTTACGTCTCCATGACCTGGAAGCTCGACGGCCCCGTCACCGGCTCCCCCGTTACCAAGATGTCTTTCGCTTGCATGGCTGGCGGCGCCGGCTCCGGCACCGCTTCTTCCGCTGCTCCCGCCTCCTCTGCTGCCCCTGCCACCACTGAGGCTGTTGACGCCGTCGCCACCAGCGCTGTGAACTCTGCTGACCCCACCTTCGCCTCCGGCACCGCCCCCGAGCCCATCTTCGAGACCATCTCCGGCCCGGCCTACACCCCCTCCGCTTCCGCTTCCGCCCCGGCCGCCGTCCCCACCTCCTCTGAGGCTGCCTCCGTCCCCGCTTCCGCCCCCGCCTCGTCTGCCCCGGCTGCCTCCGCCTCCGCCTCCGCCCCCTCCGGCGCTCCCGTCCCTATCTTCGAGACTGTGTCCCAGGCCCCTGCCTCATCTGCCGCTCCCGTTCCCGGCACCACCGTCTCCGAGGCCAAGCCCGAGCTGACCGCCACCCCCTCCGGCGCTCCCGTCCCTATCTTCGAGACTGTGTCCCAGGTCCCTGCCTCACCTGCCGCTCCCGTTCCCGGCACCACCGTCTCCGAAGCCAAGCCCGAGCTGACCGCCACCCCCTCCGGCGCCGCTCCCTCCAAGACCAAGAAGACTCGCACCCGCACCAAGACCCGTGGCCCCAAGCCCACTGGTGCGCCTGCTCAGAGCGGCAAGTGCAGCACCCGCACCACCATCAAGACCGTCTACGTCACAGCATAAATGAGTAGATGATCTGATACAATCTTACCTTGTGGGGATGATGAAAAGGGGTTGAGTTGAGAGAAGAGTGTAAGAGAGAAGGAGTTGGAAGTAGCAGCATCGAGCACGTCTCTTCTTCAGGTGAAGGCATTGTGGCTCGATGAGATTTCTTGTACATACTATGTACGACTTGTACACAAATTTCCCGCCTCGCATCTTTCTGTTCCCTTGCTCACCCGCTTGGATGAAGGGCATCAGAAGAGCGAGTAAAGGCCACTGGCCGGTTTTGAGCAAAATTTGAACAAAGACTCAGTTCATCATCGGCAGTATTCCGGCGAGCGCGCTCCCATTTTGTTTTCCACGCTCGTGCCCATGACTCCCTGTTCTTTATTTTGCGGGCCTCTTATCCCAAGTAAGCACTTGACTAGGTCAATTATAGAAGTGACCGAAACCGACGCGATGAAATGCGAGAGATTCGGAATCCGGCAGGTGAGTGTTGTGGAAAAGCCATGTGATGGACATGGAAGATGAGTCGCGCACAGTTGTGAGAAACGATGGGGGAAGAAGAGGAAATGAGAACCAAAGTCAGTGACGACCTCGCTGAGATCAAAGCGGCACCTTAACACTGTTGCTAACGGCCACTTCCGAACCAATAGACCCGCCGATAGTCTACCAGAGTTGAAATCTGCCCTTTGTAAGCAGCAAGATGGACACAGAAGACCAGGGGGATTACTCTCAGAAATCACTTTCCAACCAACAGTCTCCAACGGTCGGCTTGTCTCAGTTGAAGCTAGTCCTGACTTTCTCTCTCCCAAGGATCGAAAGAAATAAGAGGCGGCCTAAACCCCCGAATGGGCAGACCAGCGGAGCCACTTGGCGATGATGACACAGGATAACCCTGTCACGCATCCTGCTAACTTCAGGGGCAACCATCTGTCAGACTGTAAGGTACCGCGGTGCGACGAATCGACGATAACGGACCGCCATTGGGGGCCACCTCCATATCCCAAAAGAGCAAAAGGAGCAAAAGCTGACAGTCATGACAGGGTAGCATCAAGCCAATGGCGACCAAGATGTGGACTTTGACGTCCTAATTGGGCGGTTCTTCCCGAGCTAGAGAGGACGGGATCCCCATTGAGCTCTTCTCGTCGATAGATGGGAGATCACCAGGGGATCAGTTGAGTTTCGATGATCAACAAGGGCCCAATGAGCACGCATGCACAGCATTTGAGCTTAAACCGTGTTGGTCTCTTTGGGAATAGAATCGAGTCTAGAGAAAGGATTCCCGTCTTCCCTTCTCCCTGGTCGGACCCTGACTCTTGTCCCACCTGATTCCTACCTGACGGCGCATCGTCCATACCCGGGCAAGACTCCATGAGTCCATCACCAACGAAGGATGTATCTGGCCGAAAACGTGCCTTTTCTGCTGTCATGCCCCCGGAGAAAGACGCGCGGAGCCCGTCAGCGGCATCTTTCCAAGACCCCAAGACACGTTTGTCCGGCTATCATAGCCGTGCTAGAGGAGAGAAGGAAGAGGGCAGCGGGTTGGTTCCCCCCACCTCCGGCCAGTATCCGGACAATGTTCAAGACCATGTGGTCGTGAGAATAACCTAATCGAGTGGCTGCTAATCCGTCAACGTTGCATCTCAGTCACGTACCAATCCCCTCCGTCTCCTCCGTCCTATGCTAACGACCCCTGCCATCGAGAGGAGAACCAGATAACCTCGTAGGCTCGTAGCCCGGGTAGGCATCACACCATCTTCCAGCCGCGTCCGCTTCTGTCGTCCAGTCATGCGTGAGATGTGCCCCCGAGCATCGAAGATACCTTGCTCGGTTTCCGTCCCGGCAGCTGCGCCATTGCCGACAGACCAATCTGATCTGGCATATGGCTAACCATTCTTGGGCAAGGGGAAGGGGGAATAAGACATACAGATGGAGACGATGGAGGGAGAGAAGAGACAAGCGGCCACCTTATAAGGCCTAGTGGCCGCCTCTCCCGTCAAGTCTCACAATGTTGAAGCTGTAGACATCTCCTCGTCGGTGATCTCGCGCTCCTCAAGTCACTCTTTGAATCAGCCAGGCCAGCTTCGTTGCTGTGCGTCCTCTCATTTTTCCAACGACATTCGTTCAGAAAACCCGACATTCTTTGATCCATTTTTGCTTTTCTCTTTGATACCCTCATCATGGTCCGCTCAAGTGTCTTCGGTCGTTTCCTGACCGGAATGCTCCTTGCTTCTGGCGCAGCCGCTCACACCGAAGGCTGCAGCTGCTCCTCCGATGGCATCCAGCGCGTCACCTACATCGTCGTCGAGATGCCCGAACAGCCCGAACAAGCAGCCTCCTCCTCCTCCTTCACAACACCAACCACCGTCGCGACGCCAACCTCCACGGAAAGGTTCACCGCGCAAGCAGCGCACGTAATCGAGGATATCCCAGCCTACGAGCGCCTCGCCGTCAAGCCCGAGACCCTCCGTCCTGCCGTAAACACAACACATACCTTTGGCGCCTCCGCCGCTCCTGGCATCGACACAAAGGACCCCATCAACATCGTTCCGGCCACGAATGTTTCGCTCTTCTACGCGGCCACGGACACGGAGGAACAGGGCTCCATCGACATGAAGATCGTGTTCAAGAACCCTGCCGTGGTCATCGAGCACGTCGACGCCGTCAGCAACGTTGCATGCGGAGACGATGAGCTCACCGTCTCCTTCTCCTCTCTGGACGCCTTTGACGAGGCCGTCAAGGACTGGACCGACTCCGCAGAAGAAGGCTTCATCCTCATTACCAACCACATGGGCAACTGCGACGCCGAGTTCGAACGCGGCTTCTTCCTCGCAACGGGCCTGACCTCCAGCAAGGGCGACCTCTCGATCACAGTCGCCGCGTCAAAGGAAGAACTCACAAACATCGCCGGCGAGTGCGAAATGTCCTTTACCTCTCTCCCGGCCGCCACGCTCTCCAAGCGCCTCACCCTCGACCCGTCCGTCTCCCTCACCTTTGCCGAGGGCCTCGCCGAGGACACGGTGCTCTACAGCGACGGGCAGTACGTCAACATCACGGCCGACGAGGCTTGGTTCAGCTCTAGCATCACCTTCTCCGGCTACCTAAAGTACAACTTTTGGGGCTTCAAGCTGCAGGCCCTGTACTTTGACCTCGACACGACCTTTGACTCAGCCGTCGGCGTCTCGGTCGACGTCGCCGCGTCCTACAGCCACGCGCTCAAGTACGCCCCGGACGCGTTATCCTACTCCCTCGTCTCCGTCCCCGGTATCGTCGAGCTCGGTCCGGGCGTGGCGTTCGCCGTGGGCTTGGATTTCGACGTCTCGGCTGCCGTCGGCGTCACTGCCGGACTGAGCGTGAGTCTGCCGGCGGGCAACGTCCATCTCGATCTTCTCCACGGGGAAAAGTCGTCGGCGAGCGGATGGGAGCCGAAGTACAGCAGCTACGCCAACATCACTGAGTCAGCCGACGTGCGCGTCGACGCCTCGGCGGACGTTACCGTTCAACTGGCGTTCAAGTTGCTCGGCGGGCTGGTCGATCTCAGCTCCGGCATCACGGCGACGCCGGGTTTCGATAACGTCTTCAAGTTGTGCGGAGAGCAGAATATGGGAGTCGGCGGTAGCGTTGGTGGCAGCAGCAGCAACAGCAGCAGCATCGGGGGCGGTAACTTTACGAGCAAGCCAGCCGAGGTGACGCAGGTGAGTGTTGATGTGCCCAAAGACGGGTTGATCTGCGCCGAGAAGAATGGGGTCGAGTTTGCAACGGATTTCTACTTCAACTTGACTGGGTTCGCGACTCAGTGGTGGAGCGGCGAGCTTTACAGCACCCGTGTGCCGCTTTGGGATCTGTGTTACAGCTTTTGAGGAGCTTCACCGGTGGTGACGTGCTCTTGGCATGTCTTACTACTTTTGTTTTCTTCATTCATGATGTATACTTAATATCTGTAACCTAAAGTAATTACTTCCATGTCATCTTGCCCGTAAGCCTCTCCGTTTCGTCACATATTCCTACGCAAGCCGCAGTATGTGCGTTCTAGTCACGTCTATTTCTTTTCCCGTCCAAAGTCCTCTATTATCTTGACTCTCCAAGTTGATCATAATCAAACTAGCAAGCGCAATGGCATAAGATGGGTCTATGATGAGTATATGCCGCAACAAGACATGATCAACGCGGGTTTCGCAGACGATCACGGGTTCCAGAGCCATAGAAAGCGAGCGGCAGATGTGAGGGAGATTCCAAGAATAGCTGCACCTGCTTTTCGGGGGCGGGGAGGAAGACAATAACCCGTCGTGATCTGCCGCCCGCCTCTGAAAAAAGAACGGAGACCGAAACCGGGACGGACAATGAGCCTGATCTCGACTCGATCCGACTCAACTTGATTGGATCTTGACTGAGGTGGACTCTTTCAACTCTGTCAAGGGCACTCGAGTCGATCGTTCGGGATAGTTCTCAAACCCCCACAATCCACCATCACATCATTCAAGCCGCTGGCTGGACCGCCGTGCGTGCCCCCTCCCTCCCTCCCCGGGCCCAGGGTCGTGGTTCCCCTCGTCCACTGTAAATCAAGCTTACTATGGTGATATTGGAGCTTATTTGCTGCTAATGTTTAAAAAATTCTTATTCCTTCTAGACCGTGCTCTCTTTACCCCCTTTTCCTTTTCTGTTGCGAGGTTGTGTACTGGGGGTGCGGTGTTTCAGGAGTCTGACATCCCGAGTTACGGATGGCACATGACGTTTATTCGTCCATCGGATGAGCTGGACGAACTTGGGTTGAACGTCACCTACAGCTTTTCAACTGGCAGGCTGACAGCCAAGGGGAACCCCAGACGGACGTTTTGGAGGTGGGCTTGGCGCATTGCGTCTTGAGCTTTTTCTGTCTATGTTCACAGTTCAGATGGATGTTGCCAACCTGGGCAAACTTGCCAAGACCACTTGACGTGGTAGTTGGAAGCACAGAATGTGAACGAGAAGCAGCAGAGGTGTCGGCCAAGACTTTTTCCCTGGAGGGATGTTGAGACAAACCGAGCTCCTGAGACTGTTGAAATGCGACTCCGCGAAACTTTTGTGGAGAAATCTCCGTGGTGGAGCTGTGAACATCAACTTCAGCCAAGACCAACCCACAACCATCTCACCATCAACAACAACAACGAGGGCTTCGGTTTGCCAGTCGTGCCAGTCACCTTTGCGGATACTTGTCCATGATCTATCGAGGCGCCGGGGAGTTTAGACGTTGGAGACAACGCCGATCTGAGAGGCCGCTCCGAGAGTCTGGCACATGCCATGGTTAGAGAGTGGTGACTCGGATCCAATGATCCAATGGTGGTTTGTTTCACGAGCGTTCTCCCCCCCTGAGGCCTATGGGATGATGGTATTGGCATCATTTTCATGGTCCATCACGTCGCGACCCACGGGCGGCTGGAGTTCAGCGCAAGAATACCAGATGATGGCGTAAAGACAGGGTGAACGCATGGGGTAGGCAGACCTTAATTGTGAGGTGAAGTCGACTGGCGGGATGGGATATAAAGCATGGCTTCTAGGCCGCTGGTGATAACGGCTACTCTTCCTCTTCACCCTCACCGCACCTCATCCATCACCACATTCTTCTCTTTCTCCTTATCCCTTGAGCCAGTCTCATTTTCTTCAACACTACTCGGGCAGTAGTCGTTCTTTTACTTGTACTTTACTCTCTTTTTCTTACATTCTCTCATACTTTACTCTCATATCTCTATCTTCTCTCACAACTCCAAGATGAAGTTCTCCACAGCAGCCATCGCCCTCTTGGCCGGCGTCGTCGCCGCGGCGCCCGCCTCCGAAGTCTCTCGCAGCCGTCAACGCCGCGCCGGAGGCAGCGAACTCATCCAGCAGCCCCAGTCCACCTTTGACCGTAACAACCCCAACGGCACCCCCGTCGCGGCCGGAGACCCTGACGACCTCAACGGTGACGGCGTCATCAACGTCTTCGAGGCCGGAGCACAAGCCAGCAAGCACAAGCGCGGTGGCGGCGGTAACGGTGGCCAGCAGGCTGCTGGTGCCGGTGCCGGTGGTAATGGTGCCCAGGCCAAGGGTGGCAACGCCAACAACCAGAACAATGCTGGCAATGCGGGTAACGCGGCGGATGAGGAGGATGTTGCCGCTGGCAACGGAGGTGCTGCTGCTGATGACGAAGATGCGGCTGCTGGCAACGGCAACGCTGCGGCAGACGATGAGGACGCTGCCGCTGGCAACGCAGCTGATGAGGAAGACGCTGCTGCTGGCAACGCGAACGCCGGTAACGCCAATGCTGGCAACGCTGGCAATGCCGCCGATGAGGAGGATGCCGCTGCTGGCAACGGTGCTGCCGCTGATGAAGAGGACGCGGCTGCCGGTAACGCAGGCAACGCTGGCAACGCCGCAGATGAGGAGGACGCTGCCACAGACAACGGAAACGCGGCTGATGAGGAAGATGCTGCCGCCGGCAATGGCAATACTGCTGACGAAGCCGACGCCGCGGCCGGAGGCGCCGCCAACAACGGAACTGCCAACGCCGGCGCTGCTACCGTTGGTGCTGCTGGTGCCGGTAAGGCGAGCAAGGCCAAGGCTTCTCGCAACGGCCGATCTCTCAACCTCTACGCCGCGCGCAACATTGCGCGCGGCCGTCCCTCCCGGCGCGCATAATTTCTCTTTAGGCGCTGAGGAGTCTGTCTTTCATGCCGCTGCTGGTGGGAAAGGAGACTCTAGTGAGGACAACCAGGGCTTTGGTGATTCCGGCCGTGCCACTGGCGCCAATGACGACTCTGAGCAGAGTGATCGCGCAAGGGGCAAGGGCAAAGGCAAGGGCAGAAACTAGTCCAAGGGCAAGTCGAAGTCGTATTCGCCTAGGAAAGGCGAGCAACCTAACCGGTCTGGCGATGGCCTCAGAGCCGAGGAGAGTTCGGCGATGATCGGTCGGCCTGATGGTCCTGGGTCTGGGCTTGGGTTTGCCAAGTTGTCTGAGTTCTATGAGATTCGGTGTGATGAGTGAAGAAAATAATATGGTAATCTAAAATGGCGCAGCTTTTTTGGTAATGTGAGGGAATATATGTCTTTACTACTGTTCCGTATCTAAATCAATGACATAACGTGATCACATTGATTGAATATCAGCTGATAAATGACAAACGCTACCTTGCATCTATTATCATACAACTTTTGCGATTGAGATGAGAATGGCTTGTGTTAAAGTCTCAAGATTGCTCCCTAGAGAAGCTCTATGCATGAAGTCGATATTTAGGAACTGAAGTCTAGGCCGTTTAGTTGTGACGGACGTGACCCTAACCACTTGGGATGGCTTCCAGAGTTAGTTGTGTTATGTCTGTCTACTGCAGTTTGGTTGTGAAGTCAGAACATGTCCTGTAGCATTGGGTCTAACATCGCAAACCGGACTATGCATATGATATTATGGACCAACCTAGGTTACCATTGCACGGAATCACGAGTCTAGCCTTGATCAGCCAAAGTATGTCAGCTTCTCTGAAGATGCCGCTGTCACACCGTTGACCGGAGCTGCAGGTCCGGCTTCGAGTTCGCCACGGCCCGCCGAGACTCAACAAAGTGGGACCGGGCGTCGGACGGATCCAAGACTTCGATGACGATTCTGTTGCGTCAATCTTTTCGACGTCACTAGCGGGTCACTCAATACTGAATTACACACCATTGACTTCTCGTGATATATCTATGCGCTTGCTGTATAAAATTCAAACAGCAATATTGTTCTCGTTAAACAGACGTGATCTCATAGACAGGATACCCCTGATCATCACTTAAAGCCACCACGCCAAAGTCACATCTGAAAGCAAAGGAAGAGAAGATAAAGCCAAGGGACCCAAAAAAGAAGGGAAAATACTCACCAAACCACCATCATGAGTTCACAAAGCTCAGTCTTCCAGCTAAGCGGCACATGCAACAACTACGACTGGGGCAAAAAGGGCCGCGACTCCCTCGCTGCGCGCCTCTGCGAAAACACCCCCAACGGCTTCACGACAAAATATGACAAAGCCTACTCAGAGATGTGGTTCGGCGACTACCCCGATTTTCCCGCCCGCGTTCTCGAGACCGGCGAGCTTCTCAAGGACGTCCTGGACAAGAACAAGGAACAACTCCTCGGCCAAAAAGTCATCACGGAGCTCGACGGCCAGCTGCCCTACCTCCCCAAGATTCTCTCCATCGCAAAAGCACTACCCCTCCAGATCCACCCAAACAAGTCACTCGCAAGCAAACTCCACGAGCAGGACCCCGAAAACTTCACCGACGCCAACCACAAGCCCGAGATCGCCGTGGCGCTGGGCCCGTTTGAGGTATTTGCCGGGTTCAAGCCCCTGTACCAGATCTCGCCCGTCTTCAACATCCCCGCCCTGCGCGACCTGATCCCCGACGGGACGACCAGGTGGACCGACGAGACGCTGCGGGAGGTCACGCGCCGCATCTTGCTCGCCGACGAGGCCACCGTCGAAAAGGCATCCGAGGCTCTCGGCGGCACGCCGCGCGAGGAACTGGGCGGGAACGGATACGTTCTGGACCTGTTGCCGCGTCTGCAGGGCCAGTACGGTAAAGGCGACAATGGTATCCTGGTCGCGCTGCTGTGCATGAACTTCTTGTCATTGGAGGCTGGGGATGCGTTGTATATCCCGGCCGACGGCATCCACGCCTACTTGTCTGGGGATATCGTGGAGTGCATGGCTCGGTCGAACAATGTCCTCAACACAGGCTTCTGTCCACCCGGCGACAGAAACAACATTGATTTGTTCAGCAAGACGTTGACGTTCAAGGCGCATAGCAAGGACGACGTGCTGCTACCTGCGGAGAAGAGTCCTCGGGGCACAAAAGGACGCACGGTCGTGTACCCGCCGCCGTTAAGCGAGTTTGACATGTTGAAGACGGACTTGGATGAGGGGAACAAGACAGAAATTCTAAAGGCAGGTGAAGGACCCTCAGTGGCTATTGTCACTGATGGCGAGGGGGTTCTTGAGGCGGATGGGAAGGAATTTAACGTAAAGGCTGGTCACATCTACTTTGTTGCTCCTGGTATTGAGATCAAGTGGGAAAGCAAGGGTAACATGCAGGTGTTTACGACTGTGGTATGACCTAGACAGACATTGATGGAGGATATGCGAAAGGATTAGCAGATTTAGAAGTATGACCTAATGAGACGATGGTTAGGATATTCTCATCCTCTATGACCAGTACTTTGATGCAATGGCTGCGTAGTAATATCGAGAGAGCCGTTCGAACATGAGCGAAGTGGCCTTTCAGATGTTTCAAGGCAAGTAACATGAGGCTGGTGCAAGCCCGAAATGGTTCAAAGAGAATTTTTCATCAAATTAAACTAACATGCTATTGGAGTATCTAAAGTATTCTAATATCATTCAAACACATGGAAATCACACATCATCTTCCGGACGGCTATGAGCGCACATCCAACGTGACAATGCCAACACATGACCGTGTACTTCAAATCTGCAGTCGATGATCCCTCGTTCGTGCACTCTTGACAGCACTTTCAACCGCCAGAGGGAGGTCGAGATGGAAGAACGGTCTGTTGATAGCACCGACAGCCCCGAGGTGCCGAACCCCTCCCTCCTTGGACCCCAAAACACCCTGCTCCAACACTGACGACGAAGACTGCTCTGAATCGCTCGCCACACCCACCGACTTCGACCTCGTCGTTACGACTTGCTGCTCGCACATCATCGGCGGCCGTCCCGCCAAATCAGCCAGACTGAAAACCGGCTCCCACCCATCCAAGTGTCCTGTCTTCGGACACCCAAACCCAGATACCGACAGCGCGCGCCGCGTCCATCGATTATGCACGCCGGCGAAATGCCACTCCACCGGCTCCGGCGCCGCCCACCTGTCGAGTTGGTTCCGTAGGTCAATCAAGCCCTCCACGGCGCCTGAGTCCATATTGTTGACGGCCGCGCAGTCCAGGATGACGGCCCGAAGGATCGGCTTCAGTAACGACGGGGCCTCGGTGTCGGTTTCGACTGTCGAGGGCGGGACGGGCTCGTTCCAGGGGCGGTCGCCTGGATGATCGTAGTGCGGTGTCGTGGTCTGGCGGGTGGATTGCCTGACATGCTCGATTAGGCGATCGACATACTGTGCTTGGTTGAGGTAATTAAAGCCCTCGGTGAAACAGTAGATGAAGACGCCTGGGTATAAATCGTTGACTTGTACAACGGGATTGGTGCCATCTTTGCGATCTAGCGGGAGAAAGACGTCGTGTGCTGCCGGGAGTCGGGGCGACGGAGGAGCCTTGCCGTGCGAGAGGGTCTGCGAGCTGCTGATAGAGTGGCGGTCCGAGTCTTTGTGATCGGGGGTGGCGCCGGCGTGGTGGTCTGGGTGCTGATAGACGCGTGCGCGGCCGAGGAGGCGGCCTTTGGAGCGGGCGAGGCGGAGGAGAAGGAGGGCTGCGGACAAGGCTACAGTGACGTAGATGCCGTCTTCGAGGCTGGTGAAGATGGAGACGAAGACGCCGATGAAGTAGATGAAGACGTCGGGGGGTGACATGAGCCATGACTTGAAGATGTGGTCTGGAGAGGTTATGAGGTTGATCACGGCGTGGATGATGAGAGCTGCTAGGCTGGCCATGGGGATGTAGTAGAGTACTGAGGTGAGGGTATATAAGGCGAGGAGGAGGATCGCTCCGTTGAAGACGCCGGCCATGGGGGTCCTTACACCGGCTTTTGAGAGAATTGCGGTGCCGCCGAAGGAACCTGTCGAGGAGTATGCGCCAAGAAAGGGGCCGAATAGGTTGGTGCATCCGATTGAGATGAGCTCTTGAGATGGCTGAACGGTATAGTTGTTAATGCGACCAAACGACTTGCCGATAGCAATGTGCTCAATCACAAGGATGATGACTGTGGCCGGTAGATCTGGCAGCAACGCCGAGATCAACTTAGTATTTAACGAAGGCGGACCAGCGTGCGTGAAGCCTTTTGGCAGTGTTCCAGTTATGCGAAACTTGTGCTCCCCGTTCTCTAGCCCGCGGTTCACCAAGAAGCTGATGAGTGTATACAGCAAGATAGTAAAAGTCATGCGCAGCGAGCAGAGCATCTCCCACATGCGCTTCCGCTTCGGCTGGGACCTGGCCATGCGCTCCGTGTACCACTTGATGGCAGCTAATAGCACTAGAGCAGTCAGCCCAATGGCGGCATCGAGCTTGACGTGGGGCAGGCCACGAGCCGTGTTGATAAAGACACGATAAGCAGCCTCTTTGGAGTTGACACCATCAATGCCAAGGAGGGATGGGATCTGGCTGAGCGTGATTGTGATAGCGGCGCCGGTGACAAATGCGGAGATGGCGACATGAGGGATGAACTCGATAATCCAGTCGAGGCGGAGGACGCCGAAGACGAGGAGCACGGCGCCGGCGAGGAAGGCGAGGGTTTTGGAGATTTCTTCGGGTTGGAATTCGCCTGGGTGTTCTTCGAGGACTTTGGCGCTGACTTTTCCGACGAGGAGGGACACGACGGCGGTTGCCTACGTTTTGAAGTCAGCATGAAGTTGTTAAGATTAGGTACCACTTTGGGCATCTTACTCCTATCGCAATGTCTTTTGAGGTTCCGAAGATCCAGTAAAGAGCTGCGCCGGTGAATGATGTGTAAAGTCCATATTCGGGGCTTAGGCGGGCGAGAAGAGCGTAAGCCATGGCTTGTGGGATGACTACGAGTCCAAGAGTGATACCTGAGTATCGTCAGTTACAGCCGCGAAGTTGTCGTGAAGGCTTAGAAGCCCGGAGGTGCTTACCCGCAATAGCGTCGGAAATGAGCCAGCGAGTGTTGTATCGGAGGATCCATTTCGTAAAGGGAAAAAGGCTTTTCACGTATCGAGCCGAGCCTTCTTTTGTTGGTACTTGCTCTAGTAACCATTCCTTCACTGTGGGATCCTCCTCATAGTATGGTTCGTATGGTGAAATGGCGCCGACAACGTGGTCGTGGAGTTCTTGTGTCTGGTGGCGGGTGCTGGCTTCAAGATCGATACCGAGTATCTTTGCGAGAACCGCACCAGCTTTGCTGGCCGCCATATTGGCTACGAATATATCTACTTCGATTTGATGTTAAGTGTATTACTCCAAAGTATGATTAATAGTTTGACTTGTTGTTTCGAAAGACTGGATGTCAAGTCGTTGAAAGCTGTCACTCGGTGAAGAGGAGCAAAGATCGTCACCGTTCAGATGAAATAGTCGAGCGAAAGACGGTGTACCTAAGTATGACTTGACAGAATACATGGGTTGGTTATAGGATAGAGACAACGGCTGTCTCGAGAGGCAAAGACCGACCGCTTTGCAAGAAGCCGCACCGCCAGCCGCCTTGGCGCCCGAGACTTATCGAAGGGTGGACAAGGGGGAAGCTAGCTTGGCAGCAGACCGGGGAAGATTATCCTTACGTTATGGGGCCTTGACACGGCGATCTAGAACAAGTTTACTCGGGTCTTCTTTGACTGAAGTACTCGTACAAGAAGCTTATTGAGCCAGGTCTAGTCCTTTCCTCGTCCCGGGCACTTCCATGTTGACTAACATGATACGTACGCGTTGCGAAACATGAGAAACGAGACTGAAGGGGGTGTATTCTAATGTTTGGCCAACTAACCAGCTTCATCAATCTGCCATCACGGCAGTGGCAGAGATTTCGTGGGGAGGGCGGGTCCTGTTTCCATGATACCGGCGTTGACTAGACCCTCTCGGCGACCAAAGACGATGGCCTAGAGGCTAGTGCCCTAGATGTGGATCACGAACATGAACGGTGTAGCCAGACTTGACTTGTGTCGCCGATGTGGACGATAACGCGTTGGAACTCCCGCATAGTATTGGCACCGGTGAGGGATGGTTGTTCTTTTTCGTCACCGGCCGATAGCCGTCCCGGAAGGGGCTGGGTGGCGCGGGTATCGGTCCTCGGCGGGCGGGATCCACGATGGAGAACGGGCGCGGCCCCGTTTGTCGGGGATCGATGGAGGTCACGCTTCCTTGTCTTTCGATGGTAAGAGTGTTAGAGTTGGGCGCTTCACGGCTGTTTTATTCTTCTCTTGGCATTGAGTTCATGCGGCTCTGCCAACTGGAGCACATCTCGTCGTCAACGACTGGAATGGTCCTCAGCCAGCCATCGTCACATCATGAAGGAGCTGAGTGTTCACTACTACAAGGACATGGGAGCATACCGAATTCTAGATGTTTCAACAAGGTTGTGACGTTCCGATAGAGACAAAGAGATAAGGCCCCGGCCTGCTGCCGGCACTCGGTCGGTTTTCACTGCGGCGGCAAATGGAGTCTACCACAGTGGCGTCGGGTGCCGTCAAAGGCGGAGCGGTTCTGTTGAAGCACCGGCCACATGATTCGGTTCATTGACGACGGTTCCGTCTTTAGTAATAACCTTTGTTGCGTAGTCGATGTGGCAGTTTGCGCTACTACAACTTGCCAGCTCACGACAATCGCCATTCGTTTGGATCCCGCTAGAAGTCCATGTTGCATTGTGCTGCTGTGAACCAACACTGAATGTACTTGGGCTGTCGTCTGTTGGTTGATATGGCGACTTGGACAAGGAAACTGATCCTGTGTAGAAGGCAAGACTATATAATTGACAAACTCTTCGGAAGTCGGCATCTCCATTCCGAGATGAAAACATTTCGCAACACTGGCTCAATGGTCTAGAGGTATGATTCTCGCTTTGGGTTCTGGCATCTGTCTACTCTGCGAGAGGCCCCGGGTTCGATCCCCGGTTGAGCCCCTTCATTTTGCATTTTGCAGCATATAATCATGTCATCATGTTTTTTTTGCTTGGGTGATGCTGTGGTTTTTTATTATTTATCAAAGGATGCAGTAAACTTTGGAGTCGTGAGCTGCCCGGTTGGGGTCGGCACGGAGCGTAAGTGGGTCCAAGCACCGGCCTTTGCCCCGGCCAAGTCCGGCCACCTTTTTCAGCTTGAGATTCTACTGTTCTTTGACCTCTTCGCCTTCCCCGAGCCCGGAGTTGGACAGAATTTGCTGTCGGCTGAAGAAAAGCATATATCGAATGGTCTGTCACCTTCCATGACGCCAGCCTAAGATCGGATCTGCGTGGGAAGTCAGAATCGATACGTGGCCCACGAGCCTTGCACGACATGAGCTAGCTGTCAGCCCCGAGTCTATTCATCCGAGCCAGGGCATCAGTTTCAGGAGGGCGCGTCCGAGCCTTCGGATGGTCTTCATCGAGAACCCTCACTAGCTTGAAGCGCCACTCGGAGAGATCACCAAGAGGCGTCCGTCATCCTTCAACTCAATGGGTGTGTTGGTATGCCGGCGGCAAATAGACCTCGCGATTGACAGTAGTTGCCCCCAAGGAAACTGTTGCGAAGGGATTGTTGCCAGCTTTCACGGTCTCTACACACAATCTCCGAATCTATTCGTGTAACAACAAACGCAAATGTCGAAAAGGGGAATTCTTGACCATATCCAATGTCATGTCCGTGGGGAAACATACTTCCTGCCGGCGCGCCTTGGCAGTCCATGTTGCTACAGCAGCCTGCACCTTTTGACCTTAATGGCGAGATGCATACGGAGTAGATTCTCTGTACTTGCATTGGAGCCTACATTCTTTTCGATATGGCTGAGGGTGCGTGCTGGGCTGTGGATGTCTCGAAGACGGTCTCCACGGGGGAAGGGGGGCATCTCCAGATGCCAAGAACACCGGACTCTACGATTTTCGCTATTTTCGATGTTGCCCCTGGATGGCACAGTTGGCACTGACTGACGATAGCCGAAAGTGCAGCTCGCGAATGCATGCATGGCTTCGGGAGCCTCGCAGCTAAACCAATTCTTCGGGTCACCCGATGCGCCGCTTCAATGAACTTGGCGATGCTTGATCTTTTTTCTTCCCCAATGCAACATAAGCAAGAGATCTTGAGACTTCCCGCGGAAAGTGGGGAAGGATGTCATAGTTCCTGCAGGAGTACTGCCTTTTTCCTATACGCGCTGACCTCACACAGTTCATTCGATCACCGTGAGAAGTGCTATTCTAAGGTTCTAGACTCTCTTCTCACGGCTGAAAGCAGACGACACTCTCGAGTCATGAAGCCTGAGCCATAACCCAGGGAACACATCTAGACCTCCGCTCCTATGTATGTTCGGACAGTCTTGGCAATGGAAGACAAGGCGGCAATAGCCTCGATGCCCACGCGACGCCACTCGGGTGTTTTCTTTCCATCATCATGAGAATACGGGAACAGGTAAAACCTTGGTCACTGCAATGGCATATATAAGCCACGGTTATCTCGTAACTTATTGATGTTGGATCACCAGGCCAAGCTTCGTCTCTGAAACTGTTGGATTCACAGGTGGAAAAGGAAAATACTCGAGTATCGTGGGTAGCAACGATCACCGACTGTAGTGGTGATATTGCTTGTTCTTGTTGTTCTTCTGTGGAAGTCTAACCAGGTGCCAGCGGCGGCAGGAAGTCTGGGGTATACCACCCTCGTGTGGCTGAGCCACACGGACCACCGTGGCTGGAACGGACCGCGGCAGCAACCTCCTGCTGCCTAATGTAGGCCTATTCCAACAGTTTCCCTTCAAGCAAAACCTGAGATTCCTCTATACTAAGCGCCCCTCTAAGCTGGACCCGCGTCCTTTTAGCCCTCCGGCGCTTACCAAGTGCAACATTCGTATCCTCAAGGGTACGAAGCCGATCAGTCAAAAGAGTGATTGAGTGCGCCATTGCCTGCGCACCCTTTGACAATTGCTGAACTGCAGCAATAATTGGCGTTGGTGAGCTTCCTTGATGAGCAGTGATCCGACTTTTGGATAAAATTGGACTGCGAGACGGTTTGTTGTGGGTTAGAGGGCGTTTGCGACTGCCAAGGTGGTGGTGTTGAAGGGTTGGCTATCCCATCGAGTGCTGCAAGGCGACAGTACATTGGCTCCACATAACGGGCCCCCTTTTACCCCGCACCGCATCTGGTACATCCACTGCTTGAGTTGCCCCTATGATTTCCACTCCGGTACATCTACCAAATCCATCATTACCAATACTCAATTAATGGATTCTGACGATTCTGACGGATCTGGCCGTTCCACGGGCTCGGCGAAGTCGTGTATCTTTGCCCTGCTGCCCGAGGACCTCGCCGCCGCCTGCACTGCCGACTGTACGCCGGAGCAATGTGATAATGCCACTGTTCGGCCCCGCGAGCCTCCGGAGGTTGAGCCCGGTATCCCTGGGAAGTACACGAGGATGGGCTGCCTCGAGTGCGATGTAGCTCTCTGTAACTCAGAAGATTGCTGGTACCGATTTCATACGCAGAATCTCTAGTAATTGGAAGTATCTATTATCAATTACGTTGGTTGGTTGGAAAAAGGGGCCCGAAGTGGCCCGATTGGCTGCTCCCCCGCATCTCAATGTACTGTCGCCTTGCAGCACTCGATGGGATAGGAGGTGTAGGCGTCCGTAAACGTACATCAAGCTTTTCAATGACATGCTCTGGGTTCCACGGTGAAATTCCAGCGCCTTGAAAAGCAGCCCTAATGTTTTCTTCATTAAAAACTTTGTTATGGGCCTGGTAGAAGGCAATAAAGAACTCCGACTTGGTGATGTGGTTTATGGAGGCTTTGATGAATAGGTTGATTTCATCACCATATGGGCGTTTTAAAGGCGAATAAAGGGCAATATCTAATGGCTGTAGTAGATGTGACGAATGTGCAGGCATACTGACGTTTATAATATTGTTCTGCTTACAGTAATTGTCGAATTCGGCCGATAAATGGCTCTCGTAGCCGTCGATAATGAGCATCCGGTAGACGCCCTTCGTTTGGTTCTTAGTATGTTTGTCGAAGTATTTAATCCAGTCAAGACCCGTCTGATTATCCGTCCATTTATTATTGGTAGGTTTGTGTTGGTTTGCGTGTACCACAGGTTAGTCACACAGGTATTCCTGGTATCGCGATCGGTAGCAATATCGTTGGGTTAATCTGGTGTTCTTGTTGTTGTTCTTGTTAAGGAGAGTATCTAAACGCGAAGGCTCGTGATATGGAAGGAGGGAGCTGAGGTGTGTCACGTGCCGAAGACACGTGACATAGCTCGGCTCCGTGTATACCTAGCGATTGCCGTTTGTTCCCACAGTTTGATAACCCAGTCGCTAGGAAAACTTGATTCCGTGGTCCAACTAGCAAGGTGATATGCGCCTTTGATAATCACGAACGGAGGGATGCACCCCCCGCCCGAATTAATACATTCAATGACTATAGCCCATTCACGGTTACCCGGCTAGAAAGACTTTGCTTTGCCGCGTCGATCGGCGCGTGTTACCACCATTGACGCGGTGATTATGCCCATTATGAAGCCAGTCTCGTCGAAATTGTATAGGTCCTCCTCTTGGATTCCATACTTGGTCATTATGTTACGTAATAACACAAACCACTCTGAAATAACCTCTGGGTCTTCTTGAAGAGCCCTTTAATAATCATATGGACGATTAAACTTTGTTTTCAGAGCAGGCTGTGAGTCCACAAACCGCCTGGCCCATCGCTTGCCAACAGGCTCGGTATTATGCGCTCGCAGCAGGAGATTGGCCATATCTTCCACACCGCCAAGGCGCAAAGGAAATTCTCTGGAATCCTGTTCAATAACGTATTGGAGAAGTGTTTTCTCTTCGATCGGATCGAGTTTATATCGTTGGGGTTGAGTTTGTTCGCGTCGCGGTCGGTTATTTATTCTATCGGCTAAGGTGCTCTTCGGGATACCGTAGGTCTTTGCGGCACGCGAAATGCTCAAGTTACTACCTGCAGCGCGTATCGATCGGATCGCTTCAATCGCAAGAATGACATTGTCTTCTTGGGTGTAGATTGGCATTGTGGTTGTTGAGATTTTACGCGTCAAAGGTTTAAGTGGTTTGGACATAAGTGTGTTAAGAAAAAAACGTCCGGCTGACTGGTCCGGCCGGCTGACTGATGAACCACGTTAGCCCTTTAAGCTATCATAAATGACCTAAATCTTAGCGCTCGGGCTATAGCTAAGATATACTTAGTCTATTCTAGGACGCTATATTAGCGAATAAAGGGCATTTCATTACGATACGATACGATACCTAACTTACGGAACTTAATAGCGCTTGAAGAAGAGAAGCTGGTTAAGTATATTCTTGATCTAGATTCCCGATCATTTCCTCCCCGGATTAGTGGTGTGGAAGATATGGCTAATCGTCTGTTTACCGACCGCGATATACTCCCGGTTGGCAAGCGCTGGGCTTCGAACTTCGTTAAGAGACAACTAAGGCTCTAAACGCGTTCTTTTCAGAAGTATAATTATAAGAGGGCCTAATACGAAGATCTAGACGCGATAAACGCGTGGTTTCGCCTTATAGCAAACATAATTGCGAAGTATGGTAGTTATCGTAAACTCCGATATTTATAACTTTAATAAGACTAGGTTTATAATAGGCCAGATTATATCCGGAGTGGTTGTTACAAGTGCCGAAAGGCGTTCAAATACGAAGATGATGCAGCCTAGTGACCGTAAATAGGTTATAATTATCCAGGCCATCAGTTCGTTAAGCTATAATATCCCGCCATTTATTATCGTTATAAAGTAATATCACTTCTCTACCTAGTATATAGAAATAGGTCTCCTACGCGACTAAATTATCGTAACGTTTAAAAACGAGTAGATAACAAACGAAAGAGGCCTAGATTGGCTCTAGCACTTTGATCGGTATATAAAACCGTATATCCCATCGGGTGCCAGTGGACTACAGTACTTTTGGGGCCAATTTTGGAGCCACTTTTTCTCCGCACCACATCAGTACATCGAAATACGTCACTTACCCCTATGATTTTACCCCTACTTTCACCACCAAAATCATCACTTTACTACATGTTATGATAGATTCAGACGATTCTGACGCGTCTACGACCTCCGTACGATCATGTATTCACGTCGCCGTAACCCCAGAAGACCTCGAAGTCGCCTGTACTACCGATTGTACGCCCGAGACCTGTGATGGGGCTACATACCGACCTTATAAGGCCCCCGAAGTTGGGGCTGGCGAACCCGGCAGATTCGACCCCTTCGACGTGCCCCCTCGCAAAGCGATAATAGGAGACCTACCACCGACTCCTCTAGACTTCTTTTTACAGTATATACCTACGGATCTTATCGACAGATAGTCGGAGTAGACGAACGCCGCGCCGCTGACGGTGGCCGGGCCTCATTAGCCTGAATCTCGAACGTTCGCGTAGAGTGACACTTCGGCAGAAGAGATCTACCTCTTCTTAGGTATTGTTATTTATATAGGAATCTACCTTGAAATTAAATACATAAGATACTGGAGCTCTTAGCAAGAGAAGGAGGACCCTGTCTATCTCTTTATCCGATATATGCCCCGGAATCGCTTCCAGTTACTCTGCTGGCGAATCCGGATCTACGATACCTCCGTACTCGACGAGCCGGCCCCGAGACGAGGAGATGCCGAAGGTCTACCGGCAGGTTAACGGCTGGTCCGTTCATATCCAAGAGACCGGGGACCGCTTCTACACCGCCGGCTCCGACCTCACCGTCGACGAGGCTATGGTTCGGTTCACGGGCCGGTCTACGGAGACGGCAACGATACCAACAAAGCCGACTCCTACCGGGTTTAAGGTATGGGTACTGGCTCAAAACGGCTACTGCCTCCGGTGGTTATGGCACTCTTGCGGCAAGGGTCCGTACGGACTTGTGCCGCAGGCCCGGCTCCGGCCCGGCGACGAGGCTGCTAAAAAGGCGGCCCTGACGCCGACGCAGCGGGTGGTTACTACCCTACTCAGCCTACTGCCTCCGGGGGTCTACCACGTCTTTTTAAATAATCTATTCGCCTCTGTGAAGCTCTCCCGGGCCCTCCGGTGGCAGAATATCTGCGCTACGGGCACTTGCCGAAAAGACGCCGGCATCAGCGAGATCCTCGTCGAAGGAGAAGGAGACAGAGGGCAGAGGGATACCATGGGGTCGAATCCACTGTATCCCAACTACAGATGGTCAGGTATGATCAACAGAACTTCTCTTTATACTGATTTATACTCTGATATGCTCTTTTGGCACATTCTAGGTTAACTAGCTAACTTGGAAGGATAACGCCTTGGTTCTCTTCCTCACGACTATCTACAACTACACCGCCGAGATCCTCCGGAACCGCCGCCGGCCTACCGGCGATTCCTCGGCGAAGCGGGCCGCTCGTCAAGTGTTCGGCTCCGAAGTCCGGAAGCTTCTTCCGGTGCCCGTCTATATCGACGATTATAACCATAATATGAACGGCGTCGATACGAGCGATCAGATGAGGTCATATTATCAATATGGGCGGCCAATCAGAAGAGGAGGATGGGAGTCAATTGCTTGGAACTTCCTGCTCGAGAGCATACTTGTGAATACATATCTTCTACAGCAATAGGGGCGCCTAAACTAGAGATCTCTCGAGAGCCAGTACGAATGGCGCAGACTGCTTTCTACCCAGCTAATTCAGCACTTTAGGCCATTAGTAGGAGCTCGCAAGAGATCTAGGCCTCAGAGGGCTACAGATACGCGGAGGCAAGATGTTCCCTAGCAGCTTCATACGCGGGAGCCACGCAAAAACCCCTCTCCTTACGTAGCCTACAACTTTTCGAGGCCAAAGTCGAGAGTGGCACTTAGGGAGGTTAGTAGTAACGGCAGGCGTCTGAAACAGTCGCGACCCGGCTACTAGCAGTGTGGAGTAGCCCTATGTAACAATAATAAATGCTGGTACATCTATCACAGCCAGAATATATAGCAAACGAATGTACCAGATTTTTCTGGGATTTAATTGGCGAAGGGGGGCGCCGATCAGTATGCTGACTGGACATTACCCCTCACAAGTTGTACTGTAGTCCACTGTCACCCGATGGGATAACTAGTAGTCATCGCCTCCTCATCGTCGATAGGCACGAAAGTCACTATGCCGCCGACTTTGAGTTATCCCATCGAGTGCCAATTGGCAACAGGTACATGCCCTTGAGGGGAACTGACCACTCAGGAGACAGCCAAGACTTCTTCTAGCCAACCAAAAAGCCTAGATTATGGATACTTCTGTTGTCTATATACTCTGACTATGAAAGAGGTACCAGCAATCATCCGAGTTACAAAGCGCTACTCCACACTGCAGGCACCCTGACCTCGTCTTTTTTCTGTGGGATCGTGAGTGTTGTTGAACAGGGCCTCGTACTGCGGCTTCATTGGTCCACCGTACCCACGATTCAACCAGCCTCAAAGGCACATACTGCTGAAAAAGCTCTAAAGGGGTAGTAGATAGACCCCGTACTGTTGCGGCGCGGTAGGGCACGTCGAGGGGGTTGAATTGGCCCGGTGTGCCCCTTTCTAGCGGAGGCGATTCGTGTGGGCGTACAGTTGCGTTATCACACCTCTCGGGCCTACATTGAGCTGTACAGGCGCTATCAAGGTCTTCGGGAAGTACTGCGACGGTGATATGTGAAAGCGCTGACGAATCAGACGCATCAGAGTCGCTTGAGGACATCGCGACAGTTGCCCATCTGTAGAAATGTTAGTTGTGGTGGTGAACGCAGCTGGGAAAATATAGGGGTTGATGACGTACCGTCATGTATTCCCGCGGTGAGGGGGCAAAAGTGGGTCAAAACTGGGCATAATGTACCTGTTGCCAATTGGCACTCGATGGGATATTATAAGGAAAATAATATCGTCACGCTCTATATGCCAGTCCATTCGTCTCATCTGCTTCAGCCCTTAGACGTTGGGTGTTTTGGGCCACTAAAGAAGGCTTATGGTCGATAAATTAAGGATAAGATACGACGGGGTAATACCCATATTACAAAGGAGGACTTCTTCCCTACATTCCATAAGGCTTTCACAAAAGCACTTACAGAGCAAAACATCCGGGGAGGCTTCAGAGGCAGGGCTTATCCCCTTAAGTACAGAGAGTATGCTATTAAAGCTTAACATAAAGTTACACACTCCAACACCACCAGGATCACTCCCTAGGACACCAGCTCCTTAGGTTTCTAAGACACTAAACAACCCAACTAAGGCTACTTCTCAATCTACCTTAATTAAGGATCGAATCTCCCGTCATCACAGCAGCTCCCCAACACCTATTAACGACGCTATTAACCAGTTTACAAAGGGGGCAGTAGGGATTATACATCGGCTTACCTTAATGGAATCTAAGATTAGAGTCCTTCAGGAGGAAAATAACCTACTTAGCCGGCGCCGGAGAGCTAAGAAAACCCGTCTCAAACAAGGAGGAAGCCTCACTATAGCTAAGGGAGAGGATAAGGAGCAATGGGCAGGTATCGTGGGCTGGCTGGCGCCTGCCCTGGGCGAAGTGGGACAGCCGGCTTAGTCGCTCACGGCCGGTTAAGGTGGGGCAACCACCCAGGCCGTCCCCACCTACTTCGATCGGCCCCTGCCCACAATGTAATTAGGAAGAAGAAGAACAACAGCAATTATCACAGACATCGACGTGATTGTTGCCGAAGATACACCCTCATGAGGAAATGTATCACGCCTGTGATACCAACAATATGCTTCTGGAGCAACAGTAGATGCGGAGACTCATGATAGCTCGGCAAGAACAGGACAATATGTCATCTCTGCGACACAGATGATAAGTATGTAATGGTATACTTGGTTGGAGCTTGATAACGCTCGGCGGCTCGATTATGTAGTATTTGAACTTCAAACCGATATAATTTGAGATACCGTTGTTCCTCCTAGGAGCGGGCATGAGTTGCAATTCATGGATCTACACCTGACATTCTACTATTCAAGTCTCGTGCTACTGTTGCGTTGATGGCTTACAAGGTTTCCGAGCATAAATGACGTGTCTGGTGAATTTATGTTAGTAATTCCAAAGGGCAACTGTCCGTCAACTTGGGACAACTTGGGTAACGACTCACTGTCTCCAGTAAGTATGCCGTCTCGTATCCTTCACCTCCCTCTTGACCTCTGCACACAACTCCTCGACGGCATCTCGCGTCCAGCCCTTCACCCTCGTCAAGAGGCCCAGGGAGAAAGCCTCCACGCCCATGTCCAGATTCGCGCAATTCCATCGACCAACCTCTTTGAGGTATGGGTCTTCAGGCCAGTTGTTGCAGGGCCATTTGTAAAGTTGGTGATGTATTTCGACAAAGCCCACGTCGTGAAGATCGTCGAGACAGTCCCGGGCGTAGTTGAGAGGCCGACCCAACTCGTTGGAGGCGTCCACAAGCGCATGCTCCCAGCGATAGAGGGCAGCATCCGGCGGCACGGAGCCGTCGTCACAGAATGATGGTAGTTCGAGGTCTTGAACCTCGAAATAGCCGCCGGGCTCCAAGTGGCTGCGCCAACGTTAGCATTGCCTTAGACTATCTCTGAGACTCCGGTATGAAACCAAGACTGATCACAATCAATGCAATTACGCCTTAAGATGGAGCACAGTTGCTTACTCGTATGCTCTTTGAATGATGGCCCGAAAGTGTGACCAACTCCCAGCGGCGGATCGACTGAAAATGTAGTCAAAAGGCTGCTCCCAGGGCCAGTCAAGCTCGAGGTCATCTATCTCGAAACTGCAGTTGGCGGGAACTCTAGATACGATTGATCAGCCATTCAAGGAGCATAGAGAGTCTGAGTTCATGCTTACAGGTCAGGCTGGACCGCGCTCAGGTCCACACCAATGACCTAGGAAAAATTTAGACAGCAAAATCATTGATGGCAGAGCTGATTGTATTCTTCTCGTACCTCGGACCCTGGATATGCGTCGGCTGGTGACGAGTTAGTCGTACAACCAATCAAAATCCCTTGGGGGCAAGCCACAACTCACCAAAGTCAATCGCCCAGATACCAGTTCCGGTCCCAAGATCCAGAACTCGCTTTGCGGTCTCTCTGCCAGGACTCGTTGCCAACTCTCCTTCCAGTGTGACCAACCACAGATGATGTTGGAGGTCTATTCGCGGTGAGACGACATGCAGGAAAGGGGTTCTTGGTCAAACATACCATAACGTATAAGTTCCGACTGCACTCTTGAGTCAGATTAACATGTTTCACCGACGCAAGAACAGCGGAATAGAAGGAAGTAGTTACATCGTCATTCGGGTACACATATTCTGTTGACCGTTAGCCAGATCCACATGGGGTTGAAGTAAACTGGTGGCAGACTTAACTGCCTTCGCTCATCGAATGGTATGACCTGCCATTTTCGAACTGATAGTCAAAAATGCTTGACGTTATCGAGAGAAGATCAGCCTGCGCGGACGGCTGAAGACATCAGTGATGTGCACAGCACAGTGTAGAGATTCGAATCAGTGAGCAGTGTTCATACCTCCATATCCTCGATCGCAGAGTCGAGATCAGAGTCCATGGCCTCGTCGTTTGCCTCCTGCCACCATCAGCATCTTACTTGAGGTATTACTCCGATCCAAAGTCGTCTGAGTGTTAGCTCGAGTAGCGAGTGCATTGACTTACCTCATCTCGCACTTCAAGATCGTCGTCGGCATCCATCTAATTCAGAATACAGTGAGCCTACGTTCCAATGACGAGGATGGGCGAACCAAACTGTCGGGTTCTGCGTGGCGTAGGTAGGAGAACCGAACAGCTGGTGCGGGGGGAAGGGGGGTGGAAGGCCGCGGCACATGGGAGAACGGGCAGATGGGTCCATTATGAATGGGTTAGTTTTTCTATCGCTCACTAGGGTCGTCAGTGCACCCTTTTCAGGGACAGGGGTTTGAGGGACGTTGTTGTCCTTGCTGGTTTCAATATGTTCTTGTTGGTTCCAACTTCCAAGTCCGGAACGTTGGCATGATGAGACTTTAGCCGTTGGGCGGCTATGGAACTGTTTTGAACCAACCAGTCGATGTGATGAGGGGGTCGGCTCGCCTCCGACACCAGCTATTTTCCAACGGGCTCAATAGCGTTGTAGGATGTAACAAGGGCGTGGCGGTGACGGGGATCCTCTTGTCAATAAGGGTGGAGCCGTTTTCCAACAATAACAACCAGATTCGCAAAGACTAGGAGCCGCGATTGTGCGTTGGAGAGCGCAGACTCTTTTTGCTCTTGAATCATAAACTGCAAACAGGGAGCGTCATCCCACCGACGAGCATTTGAGAATTTCTCGATTGTCTGGCCGGTTGGCCCAATGGCAAGGCGTCTGACTACGATACACCGTGGAATCAGGAGATTGTGGGTTCGACCCCCATGCTGGTCAAATTATTTTGTTTGTCGTTATCATGATCTTTTTGCAAGTTCGGGAACGATGTAGTTGGGTCTATCACTTCGAGTGCGGAATGGTGACAATATAGAGTTCCCATTTAAGCCCAGCTTTTCTCCAATTCTACTCTTTGCACATCTTTTGATACGTGGATATAGTGGAAATAAGCCCAAAGCCATCGATGATTCGTTCTTTCCCTGCACGCCATTCCGCCCCATTCTACACTTCGAAATACATGCAGATTGCTATGAAATCACGAACATGAGTTCGCCGAAAGATGTGTATGGTTGTGGAACTATTGGATTGGGGAGAAGTAGGTGTCACACTTGCAGACCGGTCAAGTTGAAGAAACGATCCGAAAAACTTGGCGACGGGCAGGCATTCTACCTAAGGTAGTTAAGGGAGCCACAAACGATCAATGATAAATCCATTTGATTAATAAAACTTTGAAAACTAGGACTTATTTTCCTTCACTAAAAGCAGAAACAGGGTATCATGTCAATGTCAACCTTCCTCTTGTTTGGCAGCGATATTGACATCCTCACGGTGCTCAGGATTCCAAGTCACGTTCTGTCGTCTGGAGTTGTGGGATACTTATCCTCCCCATATGTGGAGTTCAAAGTAATCGATCCAACAGTGTTGCCAGACTCCAATCGAATAAATGTGTCAAGTTCCCCTTTTGACAACTTGTCCCGGGTGAAAGACAACTGCCTCGAACCGCGAATCCAGTTCCCGTATCCGCCATAGCCCGTATGCTGACCAAAACATAAGTTGACACCCGTACCGTCAACCGAAACACCGCTGACAGAGCCTTTCCACTTAGTACACCAGCTATTCCCGTGGTCATGGCCGCTGAAGACCCCAATCATGCCGGGGCTATCAGCAACCGCCTTCATGAACGATGAGTCTTGTCCGCCATAGTCGCAGGAATCTTTTTGACTTCCATCTTTACACCAGCCTTGAGCCTGATATGAAAGCGGAGAATCGTCGTTGATACCAGGGTTCTTCTCCGGGTCGATTCCCTGCGCTTGGATGGCGCTTGAAGCCTTGGGCGGGATATGCACGAAGGCGACACCGGGAATGTTCTTGTTGTACTTCTTGTTAAGATCCGAGTTGGTCGACTTGAACCAGTTGACGACGCTGTCGTCGACCCAATTGGGCTGACCCACCAGTTTCGCCGCGTCGTTGTTATCGGTCTGCATGAAATAGAAGCCGCCTCTACTGTCAAAGAACCACAGGACCAGTTCCGGTGTACAATCATCTTTTGTGCAATCGGAAGCATAGACGGGGAGATAGTAATTGGATACGCCAGCGTTGGAGTCGCTAACCATCTTTTGAGTTCGAGAGTTTGGCCATTGTTTCTCACGCGCCATGATGTCACTTCCCGTAACGTTTTCCTGATAGTCGTGGTTGCCGTAGGTGCTAGCCCAGGGGATACTCCGATCGACTATTGGCTTCACCAACTGATCAAGCACGAACGTTGCGTTTTCGGCAAATGCATTTTCGCCAGTAATGAGGTCGCCGTTCAGTACCACCAAGTCTGGCTTGGCGTCGTCTAGTACCTTGGTGATGACACCTACAGTCTTTTTGTCTGCGGCAGGGCCAAATGCATCCCAGGCGTCTGCAAGCATGTCGTGTTAGTAGAGCCCAGCTTCAGTAGCCGACTTCCCCACTCCCAAACTTACTCTCTCCGAAATGAAGATCTTCAAAGATCGAGATTTTGAAGTTGCCATCTTTGCTGAAGCTCAGTGGATCTGAGGCTTTGTCCCGGCGATGCAGTGTTGGAGATTGATGAGAGAATTCTGGTAGCACAGCTAAGGCCCGGATGAAAGTCGCCACTCTGAAGCTCATTGTTGATAACCGGGCTCTGGGAAACACTGATGATCTAATGGAACACATGTACGACCTTCAGGCTTCATTGACGCCTGCTATATAGATTTATATGATTCCATTGTCTGAAGTCTCGCAGTGGCTCGGTCAGGGTACTTTGGGACATGGTTTCATGAATGCAGTCAAGGGATGTCGAGGAACCCCAAACGTGCATATTATTAACGAAGAGCTGCAAGGAGGCATCTTCGTTCTAAGTTCAAAAGGCGAGCAAATTGGCACAATTTCCATGTTGATATTGTGATCGCAAGAGGTGTGCTAGGTAACCTTGTGTCAATCCACGCGGATCGCGTGGGATAGACTCCGAACCATTGATAATCAGAGCTATTGGAGGGAGCTGTCAACGATGATGAACACCCTGCCTGCTCGAACCTCGATTTGAAGGTCCGGACCATCTGTGCAGCTAACACGGACCCCCACCTGTCACCAGCGATCAACGTCTTTCAACTGCACTAGCTTCCATTGCTTTGATTTAAAGCTCGAGCATTCTATTCTACAGTGACTTAATCTTGGCCGGTCTACCGGTGGAGGTGCGTAAATGGAACTTTGCGATAATCCTCCAGTGATCACCCCACGTACTTGAGGTCCGATGGCTTAGACCGGAAAGCGACGTGTGCTTTCACATTACATTTGATGCTTCCGTATGGGTCGCGATCTCGCTTAACATCGTTTCTCAGTCACCTAATGTAAGGTGGGGATAACGGAGTGTGTGTACACTTTGGTCGAGCTTCAAAGATGAGAGCTACCTAGGGTACCTCTCAGGCTCCGACTACGGAATTACCTGATACATAACACTTGTGGGCTACGACTTTCTACAACTGCTCACATCACTCCCAGATACTTGGGTAGATATGTCTATGTTCATGGACCACCTCAGTTTCGTCGCGCCTCCAGTCTCCAGTGACTTTATTAGCTTTCGAACCGAACCTTGAGGTGTTCTTCCAGACTCGTGGGCTTGCGAACATGTCCCAAAGCAGTGATTTCACTAGCCGGTACCTCGAATAGTCCCTGGTCGTACAAGAATGCGACAACCTCTGGGAGATACTCAAAGTTCCTAGCTCTTCCCTTTTCTCTGCGCAGTCTGGCAATTTCTTCCGCAAGCATCTCCAGGGTGCCTTGACGCTTGAATTCAACAAAGGTGCGCGTGGCCTCTTCATATGCCATCGCCAGCTCCTCAATCGTATTCACTCCGGAGCGCATTCTGAAGAACCCTCCCTCCCTTGCCCTCTTGAACGCCGTCCCCGTTGATCAGAATCTCAATCGTCCATGCAGCAACGTCATCCTGCGCTGTCCAGGGATGCAATTTCTTGTTCCCCTCGCCCCAGTAGCGCATTTGAGGGATGTCGCCAGAAGCATCGAAACCTCCCGGTCCGTAAGGGGTGAATAAGAGGTCGGCAAAGACTCCTGTGAAAAGGTAGACCGGTTTGATTAAGCTAGTCATAGCGGCCTGCTGCTCAAAGGCAATGTGAGCATCGTAATGCTCAAAATCGCCAAACTTGATCTTCGTCCAATCATTGTTTCACGAGGAGGCCATGAAGACCTTGACGTTTGCCCGCTCGGCAGCCCGGAGTAAGAGACTTCCGTCGAGATCCAGGAGAGGTGTCGGGTTGTAGGCGCAGATAATCGCATCGACGCCGGCTATGGCTTTGTCTAGAGCCGGAATGTCGTAATAGTTGCGACTTGTGACGAAGAATTCGAGACTCTGGGCGAGCTCAGGACTCAATCTCGAGGGATCGCGTCCTAGGCCCCTAACAGATAGGCCGCGCTCTTTGGTAACTATTGCTAGGCGACTGCCAGATATTCCGGCGATTAAGACGAGCATGTTGATAAGTGTAGGTAGTTGGTTGCAACTTTCGTTTGCGGTGATGGTGAGTGTAGTTGAGAACTCGATAGTACCAATTGGGCAGGCAAGCCTCCGCATCTTATAACCGCCGGTGGGATGCTGCAGCTAAGCGTGCGAGATGATTCGCTCGCGAAGATGAAGATCACCATTCCTTGCGCATTGCAGAGTCCAGTTCATTCAACGGCACTGTGGTTACCGTTAACGCTTCCAGACGTCGCCGATAACGTTATATGAACGCTCTCTATCGTGAAATACTCTATATAACTTTTTTTTCTGCTGATCAATCCCTATACAATTTCAAATACGTTTTGTTAATACTCCGTCAACCCGAGACGCGCTTTCCGCGGGGATATGGCGGTCATTCGACTTAATAGCGTGCGTTCCGCGGATTCCGCGGATGCCTCAGTGAGGCCAAGAAATATCGAGCAACTGCAGACAAGTACACAGGCAGCAAAAATGCACGAAAGTCAATTTCAAGTATCAAATAGGCTGAGCCTTGAAGTTATAATCAAATATTACAAATCATTGGGTAGAAGAGCCAATTGTAATTGGAAACATATCCCGGGCGTCCATCGCCAACTTCCAAGCAAACTCCTGCCCGAGATTAGAATATAGTCGCCGGTTCGGGGACATACCTTTTGCAACCTAAATGGAACTGGAGCTAGGCAAAAAACGTCTGGTGTACCATTTTTTCGAGAACCATCGTGCTCAGCCTTCGATTTGGATGGCCATTGTAGAGTCTCAATAGAACACTGAGTACATAATGAATTATCAGACGGCTCCAAAGCTCCTGACGGGGCTACAGGGTTCGGCTTTGTTATCTACCGCAACAATAAACGTATAGCCCAGGGCTGCGGCCGTCTCGGCTTAGCAGAAGTGTTTGATGGTGAGGCGGAGGGGGCGAGGGCTGGGCTCCGACGGGCCCTTCAGACCTCCCAAGGCCAGCCTATACACATCTGCATCGACAATACCAGCGTTATTCAGGGGATTCGCGGTAAGGTCCCAGACTCCTCACAAGCGGCCTTCCTTGAGATCCAGGAGGTAGCTAGGATACACGATATACAAACCCATTGGTCTCCTGGGCACCAAGGTATTAAAGGAAACGAAGAAGCAGACAGCCTAGCTAAGGAGGGAACAACTCTACCAGTCCTTAGGAGCCAACTAGCTACTCTATCAGGTATCAAGTGGCTTGCTAAAGAGCGGCCAAGACGCCAATATAGACGATGGTGGAAACAAGAGGCAACTCCCCGCTATACCCAACTAGGGCTCAAGGCTACCCTTGCTTGCCCTCCAGAACTTGGCCTCCCTAGGGCTGCCCTTCATCACCTCCTCGCGGCACGGTCAGGCCACGGGGACTTTAAACAATATCACCAACGCTTTAACCACACAGAAGCACTACTCACCTGCTCCTGTGGATGGGTTAAGGAGGCAGACCATCTAGTCTACTGCCGAAAGACCCTACTGAGGAGGCAACAGTGGCCCACCCTCTACCCCTACAGCCGCCAGGAGCCCGTAGGACCTATAGGGTCCCTCGATCGCTACTTCAAGGGGCTAATCACTGACTCTGAAGGCTTCCAGGCCTTCCTTTGCGTGACAGACTTCTTCCAGAAGATCTGCCCGCGGTACTAGGAGATAGGTCATAACCTATCCTCCAAACGACAAACTACCTCTATTAAGAAACCAGATGGTTATAACGGAACTAGGGCACCAGTGGGAACTAGGGATGGATAGAACACATAGTAGCTCACGAGCAAGATTTGGAGGACGTCAGGATACGGCGTGTACTATATAGTATATAGCTAGAGCCTGCGACCCTTCACGCCACATACCCCCCGGGAGGTCTGCCGCAAGGGCGGCTGCGCCCTTGCCGCCATGGCGTTAAATAGAACAACAACAACAACATAATGAATTAGGCTGGGAGAAAACTGCAGTACAAAGTGAAGTGGGAATCCGCCTGGAGACCATGCCCAGAAACAAAGAAAATCTTGAACAAATACAGCCAACAGATGGCTGGCTCTCAACCCTAGAAGTGTTCCCCCCTCAATCATCCGTCCCTGAAGTCACAACCTTTGCGTGGCAACGTCGATTTCGCTAGCACCGTGATCCTGCTTCCACTCATAAACCAAGCCGCGGAAGTCGGCCGGCAGGTAGGGTGATGTAAGTTCCTGAAGCCGACTAGACTTGCGGTGTGTCTCTACTCCGAGATCTTTCATCAACATATTGATGTATGGGAAACCCTCAAACACAAAGTCAGGAAGGTCGGCGCCGTAACCGCAAGGGTAACGCCATTTTCCCCATTGCGTGAGCAACATGATCTCGTCCGTAATATCCTGATCAGAGAGGGGAAGGCGATCCAGTTGGCCACCCAAGAAGGCGGCAATCCAGTGACCTTGGATAGTGGCGCAGACTGACGTGCTGACTGTTGAAATCATGCCGGCAAACGCAAGGTCTCGAGAGCCCACCATTGTGGAGGGAACCATGAAGCGGTAATAACGCAAGGGGTTGGCCTCTTTGGGAGTGAATTTCAGTTTCGGTTGATCCTCCAGCCGAGGGAGGAAGGATACGATCTTTCGTTTATTGAGGAGATCCCCTTTGCTGAGGCTTGTATTAGCCCACACCTTCACCCAGGGGCTGACCACCAAGCTATCACAACAATTATCCCTATAGGCAAGGCCCAGGAACAGAAACGCCAGACTGGCCACCCCTCAGTCCCAGAGTCAGCCCTACCCCGACTTATCGACCTAGTAAGAGCTGGAGCCTCAGCCTTACCTACCCTAGGGGAAGTACCTAGTCCAGCAGAGCTGGACACTCTAGCTACCTAACTAGTCAGCCTCTTCTATATAGCTATTTAAGCTGTAGGTAAGAGACGGACAAATCAGGGTAGGGGAGCCCCCTAGTGGACAAAAGAGTGCGCAGAAGCCCACCGAGCTGCTATCGAGGCTAGGCGCTAGCAGGCCTAGGAACCTGGGCTAGTTATACCTCCCCCTATCCTGGAGGAGTAAAAGGTCTTCTTAATAACTATTAGAAGGGCAAAACGCGCTTACTGGACTGCTAATATCGAAGAGGCTAAGACAGACCAAGACCTATATAAGATATTAGGCTGGCGGAAGTCTAGCTTAGCTGTTAAAGGCCCGCCTCTTATAATAGAAGGTCAGATAATCGACAACAGCTACGATAAAGCTCAGGCCCTACGAAAGGCTTTACTAGAGAGTTTTAACGCTACAGACGACTTACATAGGGATCCTTTTACTATCCCAGTAGTTGCACGGCGTCTAATGCCCTGGCAGGATGTGGTTAGTATGGAAGAAGTACGCCATGCTACTCTAACAAAGACTACAACCCCTGGGATTAACGGGATTACTACAAAGTTACTATAGCAGACCTGGGAATTAATAACTAGGCCTATATAGCAGCTCTTCCAGGCCTGTATTCAAGTAAGCCATTTCCCTAGACCGTTCCGCAAAGTAGAAGTTATCATGATCCAGAAGCCAGGGAAAACAGACTTCTCAAAGACTGGGTCTTGGCGTCCGATATCCCTTTTATTCTACTTGGGTAAAGGCCTAGAGCGGCTGATAGCAAAAAGGATGGCCTACCTTACTATCCTAGAAGGGGTTATTAGCCTATAGTAGGTTAGAGCATTACCAGGGAGGGCTGTAGTCGACCTAATAGCCTATCTGACCTACGAGATCGAGAGGGCTCTAGACTTAGGGCTTATTGTAACTCTTATAATAATAGACGTTAAAGGGGCTTTTGACTCTGTCCTAAGAAACCGACTTATTATTAGGCTACGATAGTAGGGCTAGCCTAATTATCTAATTAGGCTGATCTTCACCTTTACCTCTAGCCGATAAGCCCGGGTTAGGCTAGAGGATATAATTACAAAGGATTTCCTTCTGTCCTGTGGGCTACTATAAGGCTCCCTACTATCCCCTATTCTTTTTTTATTTTAGATAGCTAATATTTTAGCTAATGATCAGAAGCTACGGTTCGGCTATGTAGATGATATAGGTCTAGTAGCTACTAGCCCTTCGCTAGAGGATAATGCTATAGTGCTGGGCCAGGAGATTATACGTAACTATCCTTAATTGGGGTATAGAGAATAAAGCAGCTTTCGACCTAGCTAAGTGTGAGGCAGTCTACTTTAGCAGAAAATATAATTAGATAATAGGCCTAGTTACTAGATATTTAGGCGAGTAGCTTAATTATTAAAGCCTCAATAAAGCCTATATGATGGCTAGGGGTCTGGTTTGATAAGAGACTCACCTTCCGGTACTATGTGGAAGCGAAGGTAGCAGTAGCAAAGAAGGCAGCCTAGTTCCTACGGTACCTGACAAATACTAAAAGGGGGCTCCTAGTAGCTGTAGTTTGAAAAGCGGTTATTGCTTATGTCCTCCTAATAGCCCTATATAGAGCTGAGACCTGGTACGCAGGCTTGACCAGACCAGCTCCAAATGTTAGTACTAATACCGGTAATAGCATTGCTTTATAGATAGACATAGTTGGTATAGGATAAAAGGGCCTAGTCCGTAGAGTTAGTAAAGTTGTCATAGTAGCAGCAAGAGCTATCCTGCCTGTCTGGAGAACTACACTAACTAGTTGTCTTATCCGAGATGCTGGCCTGCCTACGGCAGAGGTAGTCCTCGAAGTAGTGCGGCTACGCTTCGCTATACGGTTACAGAAGGTTGACTAACAGTACCCCTTAGTCCCAAGGCTCCTGTAGCCATGGCGGTAACAGACGAGGCTTCAAAGAACAGCCGGCCTCTTACCTAAGTGCCCAAGGCCGACACTTCTATAGCCGCAATACCTCCCAGGGTCCTGTGACCTTATAGTTACATAGACGAAGGAGGTAGCAGCCAGGATCTTCCAGACATGGCTCAAGACGGTGCTAAAAGAGCATACTATTATCTACTCAGACGGCTTTAAAGCCCCTAATAGTGCTACAGGGTTTAGCTTTATGATATACCGAAACAACAAACGCATAGCCCAGGGCTGCGGCCGCCTCGGCCTAGCAGAAGCATTTGATGGTGAGGCTGAAGGGGCAAGGGCGGGGTTCCGACGGGCCCTCCTTACCTCCCAGGGACAGCCTATACACATCTGCATCGATAACACTAGCGTTATCCAGGGGATACGTGGCGAGGCCCCAGACTCCTCCCAAGCAGCCTTTCTTGAAATACAAGAGGCAGTCAGTATATACGATATATAAACCCATTGGTCCCCAGGGCACCAAGGGATCAGAGGAAACGAGGAAGCAGACAGCCTAGCTAAGGAGGGCACAACCCTACCAACCTAGGGGCTAACTAGCTACCCTATTAAGGATCAAATGGCTTGCTAAAGAGCGTATACGGCGCTAATATAGGAAGTGGTGGTAACGAGAAGTAATATCCCGTTATACCTGACTAGGGCTTAAGGCTACCCTCGCCTGCCCCCCTGAAATAGCTCTGCTACGGGCTATCCTTTACTATCTCCTAATAGCCCGATCAGGCTATAGAGACTTCGAATAATACCACTAACGTTTTAACTATAGAGAAGTACTGCTTACCTGCTCCTGCGGGGAGGTAAAGATAGTAGACTATTTAGTTTATTGCTAAAAGACCCTAGTAAGGAGATATCAGTGGCCTACCCTCTACATTACTAGTCTACTCGAGCCTATAGGACCTATAGGATCCCTAGAGCGGTACTATAAGGGGCTAATTACTGATCCTAAAGGCTTCCAGGCCTTTCTCCGCGTGACAGACTTCTTCCAGAAGATCTGCCCACGGTACTAAGGACTAGGTCTTGACCTAGGCCCTACCAACGACCCCCTCCTCGTAGAGGATCTGACGGTAACAAAGGAACTAGAGAACCAGCGGGTACTAGGGACGAACAGGACACATAGTAGCCCACGGGCAAGACTTGGAGGACGTTAGGAAGAGGCGTGTACTATAGAGTATGTAGCTTGAGCCTGCAGCCCTCCACGCCATATACCCCTCGGGAAGTCGGCCGCAAGGGCGGCTGCGCCTTTGCCGCCACGGCGTTAAATACAACAACAACAACAACAAAAAATACGCCATCATGTGGAAGCAGATCGAGACTGTACCCGCTCTGGACCATGGTAAGTACTTTGAGCTTAGAAAAGCTGCCGGGCTGGTGGTGACTCACGATTCTCCAGCCAGAGTGACTTTCTTTGGGTCACCTCCAAATGCGCTAATGTTCTCTTGAATCCAGTGCAATGCAAGGCGTTGGTCAGGCATATCCATGTTGAGCAACCCCAGTGCCGCCATCTCCTTTCCATTCAAGAAACCAAACGGTCCTAATCTATAGTTCTTTTACATGCTGTCAGAGTCACAAGTATCCTTGAATGAGTGGAAACTTACAACAGTGACTAAAATGATTGGCTTGCCAATCCGACTGGAGATGCGGGTAATCTGCGTTCCTTCAAACCTTGGGTCGGCCTATAATTGTACCAATAACCTGATGAGTTACTGGTTTTGTCTGGGCAAAAGTAAATCCCCTTACAGTATAACCATTGGTAAGTTCGCATCCATAAAGCCACACTAGCACATGAAGCGTTCCATTTGACCCGTTGGTACTATGGTTAATCGGTCGCCAGATATTGAGAGTCAGGCAATCCTCGCTCGCAACGCCCTGATATCTCGCAGAATAGCAAGAGGGCCCAAAATGATCTGCATGAAGGGAGCCGTGTGGTATGGTCAATGGCATGGCTTGTCGCAATCGTCGCTTGCCGACAGGGGGTTCTGCGTATGTTGTTGTTGTTGTTGTTGTTCTATTTAACGCCGTAGCGGCAAAGGCGCAGCCGCCCTTGCGGCAGACCTCTCGAAGGGTATATGTCGTGGAGGGCCGTAGGCTCGAGCTATATACTCTATAGTACACGCCTTTTCCTAACGTCCTCCAAATCTTGCCCGTGGGCTACTGTCTGTTCTATCCGTCCCTAGTTCCCGCTGGTTCCCTAGTTCCGTTGTTATCGTCAGATCCTCTACGAGGAGGGGGTCGTTGGTAGGGCCTAGGTCAAGACCTAGTCCTTAGTACCGCAGGCAGATCTTCTGAAAGAAGTCTGTCACGCGGAGAAAGGCCTGGAAGCCAATAGGATCAGTGATTAACCCCTTATAGTACCGCTCAAGAGATCCTATAGGTCCTATAGGATCGAGTGGGCTAGAAGGGTGGAGGGTAGGCCACTGATGCCTCCTCACTAGGGTCTTTTGGCAGTAGAATAGATGGTCTACCGCCTTTGCCTCCCCGCAGGAGCAGGTAAGTAGTGCTTCTGTATGGTTAAAGCGTTGGTGGTATTGTTCGAAGTCTCCATGGCCTGATCGGGCTGCTAGGAGATGATGAAGGATAGCCCGCGGCAGGGCTAGTTCGGGAGCGCAAGCGAGGGTGGCCTTGAGTCCTAGCTGGGTATAGCAGGATGTTGCCTCCCGTTTCCACCATTTTCTGTATTGGCGACGTATACGCTCCTTAGCAAGCCGTTTGATCCCTGAAAGAGTTGCTAGCTGTCCCCTTGGGACTAGTAGGGTTGTGCCCTCCTTAGCTAGGCTGTCTGCTTCTTCGTTTCCTTTGATACCTTGGTGCCCAGGCGGTTCTGCGTATGGAATACCCAAGAACTTCTCAACTCTGCTAACACTATCTTCGACTCCAGTAACGATTCCATTCAAGGTGACCACAGCTTTGGCGGAAACATGGTTGCGCAATAAAAAGATAAGAAAGACTGCTAGAATTGATGAAGAAAGATGCATCATTATGACATGGGCTACTTCGTTGGCCTGGTTGGAAGTGCATTGATCATTGCCATGGCTGAACATGACAATGCCCTCAAGTCTATGAATGCTTCTACGCTAATATACTGAAATGCACCAAGAAAAAGTCAACATATTTGGTGAATCGAGTCGTGTGGTCGTGATCAAGTGACCTCGACCATCGAGGGCCATCTTTCAATCAGTGATCGCCATTCCCCACTGACCATGGAGTGTTTCCCACATTCTCATGTGGGAAACGTCTCTTCGCGCTATGGAGCTAGTGCTTGGCATGGCCCCACGAAATTCACTCCAAATGGCATTGAGTGCTCTCCTTAAGTCCATGAGCGACACAACGGAGGTTTGCCCCGAAGGTTCATTTCCGACCTCAATGCCGACATGATCTTACTGATACAGAAGTTCCTTCGGCCTGTGGCTTACAATTGCAGATATGTCATTCTTTGTAGCAGGCTTCCAATGCAGTCGATTAGATACTTTAGATGGGAGTAACCTCAATCGAATCCAAGTTCTTGTACACAACATCTTTGATGCCAATAGAGCTAGGCCCGTCACCAGAAAACCACGCCTTGGCAGACTCGTCTCCACGGAGAACCCACTGGAGAATCTTACTTCCCACGATCGCTGGAATCCCGCCATTCAGAGCATCAAAAGCGGCGCTGTGCCCTAGCTCATGGTTACCCTTCCAGGCTGAAGTGGCGTTGGGAAGGACTGAGTAGTCCCGCTCGCCCTAATTTCAAGTCAGCACATCCATTGTCTCATTTGTCATAGCATTGAATAAACACCAACGTTTGGATAAGCAACATCAGTTGGTCCTCCTAGGGTGTAAAACACGGGCTTGGTGAGATTGCCCGCAACCTCCTTACTCGCCGCCTCGGTCAGCTGACCGCTGTTGAAAATGCCAATGTGGCTCACGCGAGTATCGTTCAAGCCGGCGGTGGCGGAGTAAGACTCGAGGCCTCCGCAACTCTGGCCCCAGACACCAATGCGGGACGCATCGATGTGTTTCCAGCCATCTTTTCCAGCGTTGGTGTGAACCCAGTCGATGGCTGCGGTAAGAGCCGCGGGGTTCTGACCGGATGCACCGACTGATGGGTCACTTGGAGGTGCCACGTAGGTTTCGGGGTCAACGTAAGCAGGCCCGGTCGCGATAGCGAGTGCGCCGTGGGATGCTACTTCGCCGAGAAAACCACGGAAGGTCATGCCAACTGGTTTCCGTAGTTAGGGGTTAAGATTCTGCTGCTTCTCTGGAGTGTTGGTGAAGAACATACTGAATCCTCGTCAGTAGAATCCTCAAACGAGGTGAGGCGCGGCTTGATAAAATTTCAAAATGACATTCTTACCATGGTTTACAACCTCCATTCCCCCATACGATCACCGGCAGCTTCAAATTAGATCCTGCTGCAGACTCGAGTGGCTGGTAGAATGTGTGATTGACAAGCGATTCCACCTCGAAGGAGTACTTTCAGTTGCTTTAGATATGATGACCATCATCCTGGGTTTCTGGGAGGCTTCATACCGACTTATAAGGTCCAGAACCGCCATACTTCGTCAAATATGTTTGTCAGTTTCAAAACGTAAGGTCTTTGACTGCAGCCTCTAAGGAGGTATAGGGCTACGGACCGATGGGCCATGGTCAGTTGCTAGAACGGCTGCAACGAGTGGAAGAATAGCAACGGTCTTCATAGCTTTCGTGATATTAGTGATCTTCGAGGTGTATGGGCAAAGTCAGATCTCTCAGAAAGCTATGTCCAGATGCTTCTTCTCTTTACAAGAGTTCTTTATATGGACCTGATTTCAGGAAAACGTTCACATTGATCACTCATGATCCGATTGAGGCGGAGAGCAGTCAGTGCCCGTGACTCGTGCCTAAATTATCGTTGCATCGTTCGTCCCTTGCAACCCCGCATCGGAAGGAACTTTACCATCGTAAACACCTAGGTTCCCAAACTATCTTGAATGTTTATCCACGCATAGGACTCCGCACATATGATCTGTGCGGATGGAGAGTGGGAAACTGCGATCTCAGGCTAGGAGTTGCTAGCTCGATCCGGGGGGTCTCATGTGGGAAATCCCCACGTTTCCCACCAGATGGTGGGTAGTTGCCATGGCATAGCTATCGAAATGCTTGGCGCCAGCTCTGACCAAAACCGGCACTTCAACCGGCACTTCAACCGGCCCTTTTCATGGAACGCTACCCAGGCGTGAGGCAAAGTTGCAATTGGGGTTAATGTTTCGGGACGGAAGTGCATCTTGCGGCCCACTGATGCCTCCAGGTATTGACCGCAAGGTACGTAAAATCACTGAGTTGACAATATTCAAGACGATAGAGCGCGAAAGTGGACGAGCTGATTTTCGACTTTATTGAAGATTTTGACTACCAAATGATGATCATGCTGCTCCGAAATATCTATTAAACCAAGGTATCGCCTGGTAAAACGCCTGCTCCTTTCCGAACCTCTCCCTTTCGTTCTTCGGGTCACCGCGAACGGGAAACCCATGGTGAACGCCAGAAAACAGGTTGATCTGGTAGTTCTCCTTTGTTTGAGCCAGAATAGCTTCACTTTCATGTCGCTTCTCTGTCGGGAAGATGTCACCAAATTCTGCCGCAGCAATCGACAACGGGCCAGTGATAGCGGCCAGCTCATCGGCTTCGACGAATGATGGGTGAGCGATGAAGCCACACTGAATTCCGCTCTTGTAATGCCGCACAGCGTACTTGAATTGAGATTAGCAGACTCCTTGTTTTCCAGTTGACTCAAAGACCAACCTTGGCTCCGAAACAGTAGCCCGCCGCTGCAATTTTTGTAATACCCAGGCTCTTCAGGTAGTTGATGCCGGAGACCACTATCGGGTCGATCGTCTCGGAGGTGTGGGGGTTCTTCCCACCAGTGCCCTCCTGCAGCCATTTCATGATGTCAAAATCCTCAGGCATGTTTAACGGCGCCGGATCACCATTGAACAGGTCGAGAACGAGGCAGGCGTAACCCTCGCGAGCAAATGCATCGGCCATGAGCTTGCTGTTTTGCCATATTCCGATGATTTCGGGAAGATACATGACAGCTTTCTGGGAATTCTTTTCTTCGGCGGGCAGAGCCAAATATGCCTCTATACCCCATCAATTTGGACAGACTTCCCTGTTGGAGTACCCCTAAGATCAAGAAGTCAGCTAGTATTCGAAGATGGTTGTTGCTGTGCACCTAGTAAGGGTCTCACTCGTGAAGTGTGCCGACAGTGCAACAAGCACCTGGTGCGTTGGATGCCATTCTCTTTGGGAAGAGATTTGGTAGCCTATTAGTCGTGGATGAGATCGCTAGATGCTCACATGCAATATTACAAGTAACAACCGAATGCCTGAACAGAGGTGCGGCATCCAAACACGCGAACAAATGTTAAATGATCAGCATCAATCGAATTCAGGACGAATGATATCAAGTCTCGCCAGCTATCATGCCATCCGGGCTGACAGAGAGTCGGGACAGCGTACCCGGTGCGGGAGCGGAACCTGGTTTTCGGAGCTTCCGAAGTTTACGGAACCGGTGTGGGACCCACTTTCCGAAGACAATCCCGGGTACACACACCCCTCGCCGGGAGTCACGATAAAGGAAGAACATGGACTTTTCCCAACGATCAGGACCAAAATCAACCAAATTAATTTTCTTGAGCTATGGATTATACGCCTTATACTCATTCACCAATTGAAACCTATTCTCAATCAGTTCATCATGCCTTCCGACCACCTGGACGACGTGCGGCCCATGTTCGAGCTCCGCGGCGGCAACTACATCGTTACGGGCGGAGCTCAGGGCATCAGTTTCGCATGCACCCGCGCCATTTGCGAGATGGGCGGAAATGTAGCAGTTTTTGATATCCAGGATAAGCCCGTCGATGAGTTTACCACGCTCTCCGAGAAGTTCGGCACAAAAACCATTTACATCAAGACGGACGTCACGTCACAAGAAAAATCCAAGCAGCATTCGACAAGGTGATTGCGGAGTTCGGGTCTATCAATGGCTGTGTCCCAGCGGCGGGTATCGCCATAGATAAGCCATTCCTCGATCAGACCTGGGCCGAGTTCAATCGCATCCAGGAAATCAACGTGAGCCTTTCCGACGACGCACTCCCCACGGAAGTTCATACTTATGAATAAATAGGTTCGCGGAACAATTTTCGTCGCTCAACTTGCGGCCAAGCAAATGTTGAAGCAAGGTTCCGGGGGCAGCATGGTCCTGCTGGCCTCTCAGTCCGCGCACATTGCTCTTCCCGGCTACCGCATGGCGGCATACAACGCATCCAAGGGCGCCGTCTTCATGCTCTCCAAGGCCCTGGCCGTTGAGCTCGCACCACAAAACATTCGCGTAAACACCATCTCTCCCGGATTCGTCGATTCAGAAATGACAAGAAATGTCCGAGCATCAAAGAGTAAGCGTGAGGGAGAGCAGATGTGGCTCGCGCCTCCCAACCAGAGACTTAGCACTCAAAACGACCTTACTGGTGCCGTCGTTTACCTTCTCAGTGATGCTGCGCGCCACACGACTGCGGCGGATATACCTATCACTGGTGGGCTTCATGCGGGAACCATGGATGGACTGATTAGTTACGACTCTTAATAGGCTCGAAAACACATTTCTTTCAGCGTATTTCATTTGTTCGGGATTTCTGCCCATTCCCATCTTGTCGTCGTCCGTTTCACTGAGTCTCTGCGTCACCCGACTTTGATATGTAAAGATGTTTCGTGGTGCCGACTGCGCCGTGCAGTGGGAATGAGATCATACGTGTAAATAGCACATGGTCTAGGCGCAATGTTTCGAGACGGGTCAAAGCTGCGCAACAGAACCTCGGCTATGATTGAATCACTAATTACGATTCATCCAATCACATTGTGATAAGTCCTCTATTCTGGAGAAAACTACTCATTTCACGTCTTCCAAGTAATCTGCTACTACTACTACTACTTACCGTAGGCTGATCAAGGTCCAAACCACTTTCGTCATGTGTGACATCAAGGAGTTCAAGTTCGACATTGCACGCGAAAAGGTTGAGCGTTTGCAACGCAAGATTCGGGATACTAAGCTTCCTGATCCTCCTGTCTCCGACGATGTTAACCGGAATTATGGTTCGTTCCTCCAAGATGTTGAGTTACGTAGCTAATGTCACCAAGGGCCTGAGTATCACACAGCAGCATATCTCTACGGTATGTGGGCAAACGACTTTGACTGGAACGAGGTCCAAAAAGGAATGAACGAGGTGCCGCAATTTCTGGCTACGATTGAAGATCTTACGATCCACTTTGTCCACGCTCGGTCAAAGGACTCCGGAGCAATTCCCCTACTCGCTATTCATGGCTGGCCTGGGACGTTCTGGGAGTTCAGTCGGGTATGGGGTCCTTTATCTGACCCCGGCAACCCAGATGATCCAGCCTTCCACGTCGTGGTACCAAGCATGCCGGGGTTCTGTTCATCTTCTTCACCACATCAAGACCACTGGAAGCTTCGAGATAATGCACGCATCTTTGACAAGTTGATGAAGAGTCTCGGATACAGCGAGTACATGGTCCAGTGTGGCGACTTGATCCACGCTGTAGGCCGCGAGCTTGGTGCGAAATACACCAACTCTTGCAAGCTCCTGCACTGCAACTTTGCTCCCATTCCAATGCCAGAAGATCTCAAGCTCACTGAGCGAGAGAGGAAGGCTTTCAGTAAATGTGAAGACTGGGTACAGGGCCACAGGGGATATGCCGTGACGGAGAGAATCAGCGTAAGATCTTTTTCCCGGACAACAATATTCGGTGAATATTAATTAGTGTCTTATCGCTTAGCCTTACAGAGTCGGCATAGCATTGAACGATAACCCATTAGGATTACTCATTTGGATTCTCGAAAGGTACAACGAGGGTATTCCCCATCCGGAGTGCCAGCACGACCCATTCTGGACCAAAGCCATTCTGACTACTGCGTCTTTGTACTTTTTCACCGAATGCATCATGTCCTCTATCATGCCACACTACGATGCTCCAACTTATGACAGTTTTTCGGATTTGCCCATGGACGAAGACGACAGAATCAGAGTCCCATTTGGATTCACCTCCTTTTCCTGGGACACGAATGCAGTGTCCAGGAGAGCAGTGGAGCGATCAGTTGAGAAAAATGGTAATCTGATCTTCTACAGAGGTATGATCCATTGACATGCTCTTAGAACTGAAGATACCAAAATCCAATTAACAGAGAGCACAGAGCGCAATGACGCAGGTCATCTTGCTGCTCTTCAGCAGCCAGACGGATTGATGAGGGACATACGAGATCTGGCCAAAGAGGCCTGGCAGAAGCAGCCAAAATCCGAGAGTTCCAGTAACACTGGAGGGCTGAAACTGTCGTTTAATCCAATCGACTCACGCGTTCGACAGGAGTATCGTGCTTGAAGTGAGAGGGATGAGGTAGACTCAACATCGAAGTGTGGGGTCTATACTTCTCAAGCCAATTGATGTAGCGCTTGTGTATTGGGAGGCATCACGGACATAATCAAAGTGCCTACTTACTTTTAGCGGGTTGCGAAAAAGCTCAGATTATCAAATTTCATCCACAAAAGAGTGCGTTTAGTCTGACAGATACTGGTAGCGGGATTTCACATTTACTAAAGGGACTTCTTCTGCACACCCATGACTCGACAGACCTACATTGTGATGTTATTAAAGCGCCATTCAACCGCCAATGCCGAGCCGACATCATGCTCCCTCATAGTTCGGCCGAATCACATAATGCCCGAGTGTCTCGCGACTGTGAGAAGCGGGGTGAGATGTAGTGTTCGCTGTGAAGCTGTTTTGTGTGTTTGCGCGTTTCAAGATAAGGTAGCACCTAACCTTGTCTACCGCCAACTGAAAGCTTGTCAAGACGTAGACAGCTCCAAATCAAGGTGCGTTGAGAAAGGAAGGTTTAAGCAAGTATCTAAATTTGGCACAGTTGCGCGCATCAATTCGGGGATGGCCCCGTCGTTGACGTAGGAACCTCTGTCTGTATCAGTTTGGCCGGTTTGTCTCGATAGATCGGACGGAGCCTCTTATAACGAAAGACCACCCAGTGCTTTGAGGCTTAAGGGCGTGGGGGAGTATCTGTCACCCCTTCACGGTGAAAGACAATGGACGCCAAGAATTCACAGCCCAACCCGCGCAACGACATAAGCCTCGAGTCGCTGCATCCGAGCGAGCCCAACGCAGGTGTGGACGTTGATGACAAGAAGGAGATACCGATCACCGCATCAGTACCAGGGCCACCTGCCATCGCCAATGAAAACATAGACGAGGAGGAGGCACATTCAGACCGTGACTCGACCCAGGCGGAAGATGAGAAGTTGAAAAGACGGGCACGCTGGGCCCTCTTTGTCATGTCCTTCTTTATGGGAGACGTTGCGGACGGGCTCGGTCCATTTCTTGGCGTTTACTTGCAACAGCGCGGATGGGAACCCGGGCTGCGTGGCATGGTCAGTACGGCGGGCGGTGTTGCGACCATCATCGCGACGGGGCCGATCGGGGCGCTAATAGACGCAACGAAGTGAGTATCCTAGCTCTTCACGGACCCTCAGTATAGCATGGTGTGTTATCGCCACGAGGTAGCTGATGCTCGAGGTTGCCAGACACAAGCGTTTTCTTGTCGCTGGCTGCGCCCTCCTTGTAGGTGTTTCTCAAGGACTCAACCTTATCTCCACACATCCGGCCCTCGTCTTCTCCACGCAAATTGTGTCTGCCGTCGCAGGTACGAGCATGATGCCTCTCCTCGTGGCGCTCACACTGGGCATCTGCTCTCCTGAACAAGAAGGCAGCAACACGCAGAACAAGAAAGATAAACACAGCTTCCGCGTACTCAACGGACGAAACCAGGCAGCTAACCACGCGGGCAACATGGTCAGCGCGGGTCTCGCTGGCTTACTGGGCTCGCGCTTCGGGTTGAAAGCAGTCTTCTACCTCGTCATGGCATTCTGCGCAACAACGATAGGAAGCGTCTTCCTTCTACCGGAGAGGGCAGTCGATCATGCAGCCGCGAGGGGAGGGCCTGCCCCTGAGCACAGCGCGGGTAATACTGGCGCCCATCAAATGCAAGAAAGACGGGGGATTGAAACCCAGGATTTTGCAGAAAGGGGTGACATGCCCCCTCCCCCTCAGACTCCGATTGCTAGCCCCAAGGCCAGCTTCCGCCGATTGAGTTTGAAGCCCAAATTCTCTTACAGCTGGATCAAAATCTTTCAGAACAACTGGCCTCTCGGTATCGTCGCCATCACAATTTTCATGTTTCACCTGGGCAACGCTGCGATTCTCTTTCTCTACGGCCAAGCCTTGGTGGCCGCAGGAGAGGGGGATCCCGCAGGCACCACCGGTTTGACCGTCATCATCGCGCAGGGCACCATGGTCATTGTATCAATATTGTCTGCTTGGGCATCAGGTCGCTACGGCTACTGGTCTGCCGTCTTGCTTTCGTACTCCGTCTTACCTATCCGAGCTGCTGTCGCAGGCCGTGTAATGAAGAGCTGGGGTGTGTGGCCAGTTCAGATCCTCGATGGCATCGGCGCAGGTATCCAGAGCGTTGCTATTCCCGGTCTGCTAGCCGTTATGATGGCCGGTACTGGGCATGTTAATGTCACGATGAGCATTGTTGGTGGCATAACTCGACAGACTGGCGCTGCTATTTCGCACTCGTTGGCTGGATGGGTGGCGCAGGTCAGGGGCTACAGCTTTGCACTTTACTTGATGGGTGTCTTCCCGCTTGTTTCTGTGTTCTTATGGGCTGTCTTTTACAAGATACTCTGCCCAGTAATGGACAAGAAACCTGGGGAGAATACTATGTAGTGCTGCTTCTAACTTCTATCACAGAGCGAGGTAGCAAGTGGAAGACATGTATAGTAGAAAGTGGCTTGATTCCTCTAAGTGGAAGATCCGTATGAGGGTCATATCTATATACCGTACAAGACGGGTAATCGGCTTATGGAAAGCGGTATTATACGGCAGTAACCGGCAGCGCCACGTGTGGCGCTGCGACAACTTCTGTGTTACCAGACATGGACAGCAAAGTTGAAGATACGAAGCTGGTGGAAGTTGACCTTCGTCATCTGTGAGAAACAAATACATATTGTGCATTACGTTAATCTGGTGCTGGGTTACCACTAAAGTGTTTCCTGTTCCTGTATTTCTACTCATGCAGTCCCAAATCATCTGTCAAGACCTCAGGCTCCTCCGTTCTTCTTGATTTCAAGGACAGGCTCGGAAAAGCCCACTTCACATTCAGAAGGCAGCTCAACTCCGTAAGAGTCCGACTCGAGCTCGCCAGTAGTTTCATTCACAACGATCCATCTCCTGTTTTGCAAATCGCCGTCCTGCGCTCGATCATTGAAGTTCTGCGGCGCAAAGACAATGCTGCTCACAGCCTCGCTATAAAGCGTAACGGGGATATCCTCGGACCTGGTGAAGTGATGCATGCCCAGGTTAAACCACAGAACGATGTCCTCGTTCTCGACAACCTCGCCATCAAAGAACTTCATGAAATCTTGCTGCGGCTTCAGGGGCAAGTTGACGTTAGAGTGACTGTTCGCGTACGGCTCCGTGTCATGCTGTCTCGAGAGCGCTAGATGTGACTTGGCGAACGGCGTCTGGTGCTTGGTCCAAGGAGAATTGAGCGGCGTGAGATGGATATTGGACTTGCCGGGGACGATTCGGTAGCCTCTCTTCTCCCCCCAAACGTTTGTAGCGTTAGGTTTCACGATGCAGTACATGGCCGCGTTGTTTGGTTGCCAGTTGAACTGTTGCTCGTCCGTCATTGTGGACTTTTGGAGCTGCATCTGCTCGAAAGAGCCGAGCTCTGGGTACCAAGGCTGGCTCGTATTGGCTAATACGAGCTCGCTTACTTCGAGGCTGTTCTTTGTGTCGAGAATGTCAAAGTCGGCTTTGTAGGTCAGTATATGGTCGTGCAATGATCCCATGGTAGCCTCCTGGATTCTGGGCCCAAACTCTTCCTGGTCTGGATAGTAGAATGAAGACTGTAGGAAGCCGGATGCCCGGACAGTGACCTCAAGACTACCGTCAACGTGAAATGAGTAATCAAACATATAGTCGTAGTTGCCAACAGTCGCCACGGATCGCATAGTCAAAGCCGAAGCCTTGACTGTGCCCAGATAGCTGAACCCGTACTCATTACCACTTCCATACCGGTGACGCGATACGGGATATCCAGCATCGGCTTCGAAAATGCAAATCGCATCCGTGTTCACGACAGATGAGTTGCCCTCGTGGTACGTGACGTTCCAGAAAGTGCTGCCAAAAGGACAGTCATAGCCCTCGATCAGCGTACCCAGGTCAGTACCAAGGCTGTAGTACGTGTCGTGATACACTGTTTCAGCAGCCTTGGGCGTGAATCCGGCGTACTGGGCCGCGGCCTCTTGCAGCGAGAGCTCGTAGATGACCCTTTCGCCCTTGAACTTGATATCATAGTACATTAATCCAAGGGTACGCGAGTATGATGTGTAAAAGGACCACCCCATGTACTCGATGTATTTCTGTTCCTCATCGACCTTGTACCGCTTGCCGCCAACCTCGAGACTTTGAGGCGCTAGCTTGTTCTCGAGATCTCTGACTCCCATCTCAGGCTTGAGATCCAGGAGACCCCAATCGGTAGTACGGCTCTGCTTGAACTGCTCCTTCAGCTCTCCTGCCTCCCAAGCAGACCGCAGGACAGCAACCGTAGGGAAGAACTTCTCATTCGTCACGATACCTCTCAGTTTGTACTGTGAAGCATCTGTGCCGGTGACGTCTAGCATGACGAAGAAGTCCAAGGGCGTCAGATATGTCGCTGTGTTGGGATATCTAAACATGACCGTGCGAAATGCTTGGGTGCCATCATAAGAGAGGGGCGTGCCGCTGGTGGAAGTGAGCGTAGTCCGGTTATCACTCAAGCCGTAATAAACTCCACCAATGAGTTCGGATGTAATGTCGGTGATGTTGCTCATGACAGACATGAGAAGCGGCTCCGTGGCTGTCAAGCGGGGACCATCAAAATAACGGCTGTTATACGGGATCTTGCCGCCACTGCCCCCGTTGAAGATGTAGTCGAGTTTCTCCACCTTGGTTCCGTTGCCAACGGGGAGAGGTCCGACCATGTACTCCTGGGAGTCTGGGATCTCCAGGCCGCCGCTGAAGATAACTACTCGCGCATATTTTGGCGGCGGGTTGGCAGTGCCTCCGAGGTATGGGAGGACAGTGGACTTATTGGTATGAAGAGTGTCGATCCAGTAGACATAGTTGTCCGTGATCGTAGCATTGTTGGGATCTGTGAGGTTCAGACCTGTTGCCGGGTCATGGAGTAGATTCCAGACAGCGAGGTTGTCATCCGGGGAGATGGGTGCCCAGACGTTGACTTTCGGCGCCTTGACTTTGGGCGCGACCTCGTTGATATTGCAGGTGGTGATGTTCGCCGCCCGCCTGAACAGCCCATGTTGTTTCGTCCCAGAAGATGCCTCGACTGCCACACCAAGGGCCAAAAAGCCCGACAGAGACTGTCTCGGGAGCATTGTTGCTACAGTATGATAGTTGTAGGAGACTTCTGACTGAGCTCCTAAAAGACTGTCAGAATATCAAACGAACCCGGCCGACGTCTCATTTTTATTGCCTAGTAAGATCCGATGTCGCTGAGCGCAGATAGTGAGGTCGACAGGAACCGAGATAACAGGTCAAGCAGCCGCTACGCAGGCCAAAATATCGCCAAGGCTCGGGCGTTGCGGCAGGATACCCAAGTCCAAGTGGTCGGTAAGACGCCGGTGGTCTTGGCCTAACGACGAGGAAACCTTTTATCCCACCGGGCCGGTATGGAATCTTGATCAAAAGGTCTCGATAAACAAGAGGTCTTGGCTAGATAGAGAGAGCAAGATAGGCAGTTTTCCTCATCTGACATGTATGCCAAGACTTATGACGGAGCTTTTGTATTCCAGTCTTGCATTATCGAGCTCCCATTATCGATGGTGGCATGTAAGGTAGCATCCTGCCCTTCCAGTCTTATCGGGACGTCTATCGCATCTCGGGTCTTCGTCCAGTGCCATTTGCAGGTCATCCAGTTTACAGTTTCTGGTACGCATTGTCTCCCCGGCTGAACCTTTTCCTTGATTGAGCGCTGCCGTGACGTGGCGGCCTGCTTCCAGTGCGATGCGATGCCGGACACTTGGTCTGTTCTCTGAAGCTTCCGCTCAGTTCGTTGATCAGCGATGCGGGGTTGCTGATTGAGCTACCCCGCCAGATTGCGGTGACAGGCTGACAGCTGAAAGTGATTCGCGGCTCGTCCCTCGACTTGACTTACTATTTAGAGGCGTGAATAAGATTGAAAGTTGCAAGGCCTCTCTCTTTTCAGATCTCTGCGGGAACACTGACAGGGAATCCACTCGTCTGAGCTATTCAGAGTATCAACACTCGGGCTAGGTGAACACACTGGTATCATTACTGAGTTCTGTTCCAACTTAGTCAGCAACTCTATCAACCGTGGCTCGAGCTGAAGCTGTCGCAAAAACGACGCCGTTAATTACGGGCAGCAATTAACGCCATATATACCCTACGACAGAAGCACATATTGATATCACTACCTAATAGAGATGAACGCTGCGAGCCAACCCCCGTAGCTATTTTTTCCCTCTCTGTCATAGCGAGGGATCGATTCGAATTCGGCTGGCGGAGGCCGATAATGTGTGATGCGAGTAGATAAGAAACGGAAGAACTGCTGATTGTTTGTCGTTCAGTCTAAGATAATCTCTGCTCCACCCCCGTCTCCGGGCCCTCCGGAGAACTCCCGATTACCCCGCGCTGGTCTTCAGAAACCCGGGGTTGGCCACCGGCCCGATTCGTTGCTTCCTGAATCGCTCAGGTCTAGTCTCATCAAGTACCTTACGAGGGCCAGGATTGGTTGACACTAAACTGGTTAAACTCTCGCTCAAATCAATCCTTCATAGTCATAACTCGCCTGTTCACAGACAATTTGCATGCCTAGGCCTGAGACCTTGCCTGCTAAGCAACGTGACTCTTCTCGGGTGCCCTGGTCTTATCGGTGAGCTTTTTGATGACTTCTCCGGTCGAAATGATCGAACAGTCCGCAATGAAGCATAGCTTCAAATGTGCACAGGTCAATATTTGTCTAAGGGTTCAATGAACAAGTCAAAGTACTTCGCGGCGTGTTCTCGGTTATTATGTGGACAGCAGGCGATCAAAAACATTTGTGTCCATGGTCGTCAATTGAGAAGGCAACTTGCGCAAGTAGGCAGGCAAACGTTTTTCAAGATTTTGAAATCGCAATCAAGGGTATCATTCTTCTGATTGACTAACTAATAGGGTATTCTAGAAATGTATTATTTCGTCGGATTCGTAACTCATCCTGCCACTTCCGGCTCCTTATGATAAACTGTTCATTTTCGACGTAGCCATGTAAACAAATCGCCCTTTATCCTATGCCTCAAATGCTGATTGAAGCCATAGGTGACCGCATTTGCAAGGCCGATAAACTGACTGGAGCTCTGCAGCGCCGCCAAAACACGACTTTGCGAGCCGTTCCCAGACGCCTCCATCAATCTGTTGACGAGACCAGGGATCCAGAGCACCACGTACATGACCGGGTAGGCGTTGAGGAGCATCATGCGCTTGATCTCGCGCTCGACTTTCCTCGTCTGCGTACGGATCGGGAAGTCACTCATCATTGTCGCGGTCACGTTCTGCGGTCTGCTGTCGACTTGGTTGATACCCGGGTTCACCGGAAAGTCTCGGGACTGTAGCTCCCGAGTCCCCGGCATCTTGAATGATAATGCTGATAATGTAGAGCTTCTGGCGCTGTGAGTCTTTTTCCAAATGGACACTGACGGCCGTCTTGGCGGACCGCTGTCCATACGGTATTGAGCGAATTGGGCTTGAGCAGCAATTGCTGCTGGTGGAAGCATGTCCTTCTGGAGGTGTGACAGGCCCCCAGAAGCGCTCTTGTGTACTTTATCCTCTTGCTCGAGGTATGAGAACCGAGCCTCGGAGGCTTGGCCCATGTCCATTTCGATGTCGTCGAATCGTGAAATTCTAGCCGACATCTTCCGTCCCGGCTCTTGCTCGCCTGTTGGCTCTTCGTCGATCTTGTCTTCGGCAAAGTGTGCCATTCTGACCGCTGATGGCCGCCTGCCGCCTACCGCAATTTTCTTGTCTTCATCGTCTTCAGAGCTCGGCGGTCTCCTAGCCAAGCCCGCTAGCGCGCTCCGCGGGGCGACAGGCGACGTTTGTTGGCCTTGCAGGGGATTCGGCGAGGACTGTGGCAGCTCACCCCATGTTGGATTCGCTCGCTCGAACTGGTCCATCTCTAGCTCGGGAGTATGTATCGACTCGAATCCCTGCTTCTTCCTTATCGATGATGTGACGACATTGCCATTCGACTTTCCGCTATCGTACGAAGGATCGGAAGTGCTGACCATTGTGCGAAAGTGTCGTCCAAGGTACCACCAGACGTAGAGGTAAATGAGGATCGTGGTGAAGATGATGCCGAAACGCCAGCCGTGCGTTAGTGCGTATCGAAGATCGGGCCGTTCTCGGGTTATCCAGCACCAGTTGCCGCTCACGGGTTTCATAGTGCCCATAAGAGTCGCTGTTGTGCTGGTGATGAGCGGTACGACCCAGACGGAGAGACAGATCATAACCTTTCGGAAGGTTGACGCATTCGGCATGTAGGTTTTTCGTGTTATAGTGAGGAAGGTGACGACCGCGATGGCGAGGATAGAGAAGTCGGACGCTTGCACCGACAGCTGGCCAACCATGCCGTTGAGCACACATGCTGCGCCCGGTTGAAGTTCTTTGTTCTTGATGTAGATGATGCCTGAAATAGTGTTCCCAAGTGAGTTTATGAACTCTTTTCGCCCAGCAATCACAGTCAGCGCTCGCACTCTTACAAGTAGGACCTGGACGAGGGGCAGAACTTACCGGCCAACGTCAGGTTCAGCACGAGGGCATGGCGGAAGGATCGCTGATGTTCATGGTAGAGAGCGAAAGAAGTTAATACACCTGTTGTGGCGAGGAACGAAAGTATGCTGCCCGTCAGGGTGACAGATGCGACTGCAGCATCGAAGGCCATCGTGAACCCGCACGCCAACGGATATTGGTTGGCATCCACGCGAGCGAGCCTCGCGGGCGACGGGTGGAAATGGGTATCATCTTGTACGAAAAGCCAGTGCGCTGCTCAACCAGAACCGTGGACTGGGCGGGATTGGCTGTTCGTTACATTGATGGAGTCACGGGGCTAAGGTGCGAGTCATGAAGTTGTTGATGGACGTGGGGCCCTCCCTATGCCCCTGTGCATTCTATTTATTGTGTGATAGACGTCCGTGATGCCATCTGAACTTGGCTAAGGCCCCCAGACGAGAGCCTAGTAGGCAGGACATAAGTCGTCGAAAGAAGTGCGGTTAAATGGCTTTGAGTTTGCGCGATTAACATCAGCTGGGTAAAGCAATGCTTAGCCTCCCAAACTTGAGGCTTCCCTTGAGGCTGATGATACGCCTCAGAGAGTTCCGAGATACCACCTAGGGTACCACGGACTGGACAGCCAACTCTGCTAGAGTTGCATGTGAGCTAAGGCAGGATCTCCTTAATCAACACTTGGCGTTTTGGAAGGTAGTACCTAGCACTCAGACCCACTGCATAGTCCGAAAATCGTTAGCAGTTGCGCAGTCCCACGTGGGGTTTTGTGTCAGATTTCCAAAAGCGTTCCCCGACTTAGCCGTGGAAAGATGAATGAATCTTCGAGTGGCAGCCCGTCATCCCAACTCTGTGGCGCGCGTCTGTCGCCAACCTACCAGCCTTTTGGAGAGTCGATATGAACGGGATCCCCTTCCCATCTCCCAAGCGAGCGCGTTGCGGACTTTTCAGCTCTTGCAAAACCCAATACACACGGCGATCAGTCAACGTACCGATCATGCGTATCATCGTCTGAGGCAGCCGATCACGCAATTCCATTGGTGGCACATAAGTCTGGGCAGAAACCTTTATGAAATACTTGCACTGATTAACTTGCAGGCTCTACGGAGTATGTGAAGACGCTAGAAGCCTGTCACCAGGCCCGTTGAGAATGTGAGGCTGGTCTCGGCACCCAGTCATCCCGTTAAAAGCCTTGCTTAATGTGGGCAAAGCAATATCAAGGTTTAGACGGAGTGGAGCCCTTCGAACCATCGCGGCATCGCAACGTCTTTTACCCCTAGACATGGATCGGGGTCCCTAGTTCGCTTACAAGCCTTTGGCTGATTGATGACAGGATAACCTTTGCAAGACAAAGCCCCAAGTTTCCGCAAACGACCAAGGACGAACACGTACGGGGTTCTCTCGCCGACAAAGTCGGACTTTTTAAGACTTCCTTCGCTGAAAACATCTGCCCTTCTGCTCTGCCGTCCGACTGAGAGCAAAGTTTAGGCGTTTCATGGCTCTATCTCCGGGCACTTTCGTACAAAACTCAAATCGACTACCAGACAGGCGACGGCACTCTTCAACATCGCATAAATTCTGCTAAGAGACAATTCAACTGCCCACGTATCCGTCGAGAACCTCCATAGTCCACAAACCGGCTGTTGTTCCCCTGTCGGCGTAGGCCTTGACCCCGGTCGTGCGTTCTTCCGATTTCGCGCGTCTCTCCCTCCCTCCCGTGATTCTCCTCTTCCCCCCTCCCGCAATTGGCAACTGGAAACTGAAACATAGGCGAGAGGAAAGAGATTTTTGCCACAGTCGCGCGCAAAATTGATAGCCCACGGATATGCCCGCAAATAAAGGAGGTTCTATTTTCGAACCCAAGCCGCCCTGCCAGCCCTGCCTGGCAATGGTGAATGGTCAACCGCGCGGGAATCGGAGGAAAGCCTAAGTCCGGTTTAGCCGTGCGTGCAGTGCTTCTGCCAACTTACCTGCCAAGCGCGGTAGACAATTGATTGCATTTAATTACTCTAGTGTCTTTAAGGTGTGATTGCCATTCAGGACGGGCGAAGGAAAGGCTGCCAAGATCACTTTCGACTGAAATTGTGCCGAGGCCGACATGCGGCCGATTTGTAGGCCTCACGAGCAGAGAATCTGCTTGTTCAACATCGATGGCCCATACTTTGCACCCCAAGCCGAGAATTCAAGGGAAAGTCATTCTCTCGTCTTCTCGTGATTCTGGACCTTCAATATTGATTAGAGTTGTTAAAGAAATTAATTCCCGATTTGATTGGGATTCTGGGAGTGGACGGACTCAGCTGTGAGGAGGGGCAAACTCGGAAGGGAAGAAGGGGAGCGAAAAGAAGCACAGAGCACGCGGCGACATACGCGATGGGCTGCGGCCGGGAATTTCAGACGTGAGCATGAGTCGTGAAAATGTCGTGCCCGAAATGCTCAGCCTTGGAGTAATGGATTCACCCTGATATTACTTCACGTGGTGATAATCGACATGACTTCCGCGTGTCCGGCCCTTTACAAGTAGCAGGCCCCCTGAAGATCTCCCAATACTTCCGCTTTGGGTTGGAAAAGCTGGGGGATTGTCTACCAAGAGTCGGAGAAGGCCAAGATGGCCCGTCATTGCGATTCAAGGCCCAGATTTGCATCGTGAGATGGTGGGTTCGCGAAGTTTGCCCCCGGCCACACGTGGAGGAGCTATGAATCGAGGGCACTAGAATCAAGCTCTCGCGTCTAACCTTCAGAGAATACAAAAAAGATGAGATAATATGTCAAAGAATGTGTTTTAGCTTGATTTGATTGAACTCTAACTCATCCCGAGGCAGAGAGTTATGGCCACGCGTGATTTAGAATTCCAGATCAATCCCATGCTGTGCAATTGTCGTACTCTTCTTGCTGTCATTGGCGCTTCTCAATGATGTTTTCAAAACCCTTTTCAACTTACCTTGAGGATTGTTGCGTTTTGCTGTAGAAAGGCCCAAAAAGAAAAATGTCAAGTTGTTGGTATCCCTATCACAGGGAAGTTGGTTCGAACCGTAGGGTCCTGGGGGTGACGAAGTATCAATATCTCTGTATTAATTGATTCTGCGTAATGTGTAAAAGGGAGATTCCAACCGTAGGTTGGTTGGGTAGTCGCGGTCTAATTGTACCACCTCGAGGTGGCCCATGCTCTTGCCCTTATCCGCGGTCGAATTGGACTTCCAATCCGACACAAGTATTCTCTTGAGTTCTGCTAGGGGGGCTGTGTCAGTTGGCTGGGGGGGCTGTGTCCCACTTTCTCGAACTCATCCGACCAATGAGAGGCCAGTGATTCACTTGGCCCGATACCCAACTTCAGCTCTGCATCTTTCACATCAACCAGAATGTCTCTCTTAACGTCAAAAGGAAGTGGAAGGGGCCTGGAGGGCCAATCGACGAGCTCGAAGTCACTCGTAATAGGGAGGCCGCAGAGGATGAGGCCATTAAGAACCTCAACGATCGAGCCCGTGCCAACGAGGCCCTCAGCCGCGGCCAGCAGCCTCAGGAGATTCCTCACACACCTACCGGCTTCTGTCAACTGTGGGCTTACGTCATGTATGCCAACACTGAGGACGACTTTGACGCTGCCTGGGACCGCCTGTTGGAAGAGTTTGCCGACCAAGACTTAGCTCTGAAGTACATCACAGACACCTACCTTCCACTGCGATATCAATGGGCCAACTGCTTCATCTCTCAGTACGAGAACTTCGGCGTCAGGACCAACAGTCCCACCGAGACTGCCCACAAGGATCTGAAGTCGTATGTCATCAACGGCAACTCCGACTTATACGCCGTCGCCCAGGCAATTGAGGAGATGCTGCGCAACAAGGCCCGTACCTACAGGGAGAGGGTGGCGGCAATGGAGTCTCGCACTCGCTATGAGTACCTCCGCCGTGACTGGCTTGAGACCGTCTCCAAGGAGGTTGGCCTGAAAGCACTGGAGCTGATAAGTGCCCAGCACCAGAGAGCCCTTCCCTCACTGCCAACTGACCAGATTCCTCGCCCTCCCGATCTGCCGCCGTGCTCCGGCAGCTTCACGAACCAGTACCGTCTCTCGTGTAGTCACAAGCTGCTCGATCTCATGAAGCGCAAGGAGCCACTTACGAAGATGTACATCCACCCTCGTTGGTCGTTGCGTCAGCCGTTGGTAAGTTCATCTCGTCGGTTCATGGATTGTACTGACTCTGCTGCCAAATCAGAACTTCAGAGATGCCCTGCTCAACATCAAAGACCCTGCCGTTGTCACCACTCTGCGTGGGCGCCCGAAGAACAAGAACATCGCCTACCACGGCACCTTGCCGACCCCTTCCTCCTCAGGGGCACCCACCTCCTCAGCAGCACCAGGCCGGCCAACGGCGAGGGCACCTAGACAACCTCGCAGAGCTCAGTACCCAGCATCGCGACCAGTTAGGCAGAGTATACGCCGTAATCGGTCAGCGTTCAAGTACGACGACGAGGACGAGTTGGCCTCGCAGAGCACGCAGTCGACCATAATAGTGGGCGGAAGTCAAGTGGTGGAAGTTGAAGAAGCCCAGCGACCGGCAGCGAAGAGACGAAGTAGACGACTTCAGGCTCCTCCAGCCTCAACGGCGCCAGCGCAGCTGTAGCTCCGGCGACTCAATTGGCCAATCAGAGGCCGAATTTAAGGCAGTTTTGATAACAATTGACAGAAATCGAGATTCGTCGAGATCTCTCGATTGCCGCAATAAAAGCCAAAACAATTTTCGAATTACACAAGTTTACGTAAGCCGGGTCTGCGCGAGGCTGGCAATGGAAGGCTGGAACCAATTGCCTGCCACGGTTGGTCGAGAAAATCGCGATTATCCCATTGGCCAGAAAACGTGGGACACAGCCCCCCCAGCCAACTGACACAGCCCCCCTAGCAGAACTCATTCTCTTTACCTAATAGGGAAGTAGATGCACCAGTTCCCGGCAGTTCTCGTGCTTGCTTACGTCTGCTGTAGCATTACATCCGACCTTGTCTTTCGCCAAGTGAGCTCCGTTTTATTTGCGTTGTTATCAAAACTTCATGTTCGCCTGTCTGTCGTTGTTCAAACACTCTGAAGTCTGTTCACCCATACTCATGAGAATAGGACGTGGACCAATTCACCATGCTTTAGTCTAGCTTCAGAACCCACTTGCCCTTCAGCTGTGATAAGTCAGCAAAGGGGTCACACGATCATGATTGAGAAACACTTGCCTGGCCACCGTGCATAGTCTGCACCAACTTCTCCAAGTCGTCAATATTTCCTACATGAACGTTGGGAACGACCGCACGGCGTTTGACGAACTCCAAAGCCTCAAGAATATCGGCACGCGATCCAACAGATGAGCTCAGGATCTTCCAACCCTTTCCAATAAGCCAGATGGGATTGAAGTTCACTTTCGCCTCCCACGGCAGAATGCCAACGCACATCAACGTTCCGAACGGCGCCAGCAACTCAAAGGCATCCTGGTAGGCAGCAGTTGCCGTAGCTGCGACTACTACTGCCTTTGCCCCATAGCCTCCGGTTGCCTTTCTGACTTTCTCCGCCAGAGTTCCAGGCTCGGTGACATCGATGTAGACCTCGGCTCCCTGGTCTTTACAGATTTCACCCTTCTCCGGGCCAGCATCGACGCCAATGACGCGGTAGCCCATGGCACGGGCATACGCGACGCATAGAGCGCCTACGCCTCCTCCGGCTCCCGAGATGGCGAACCATGAGCCCGGCGTTACATGGCAATTCTTGATTGCCTTATAGGCTGTTACGCCCGCACAAAGGATGGGCGCAACCTCCTCGTTAGGCACCTCGTCAAACTGGTCAGGGAGCCTCGCCAAGTACCGTAGCGGCGCAAGCGTGTACTGAGCAAACGTGCCGTCGTACGCTCTACCAGAGTGTAGAGTCTTTTCGCAGCGCGTTTCACCCTCGTTAACGAGGTCTACGCAGGCCTCGCAATTGCCGCACGTGTCACGGGTCCAGGCGACACCCACTCGCTGTCCAACTTGGACCGATTGGTCGAGGGCCGCAATGTTAGAACCTAGGGCGGCGATGCGACCGACTCCCTCGTGGCCGAGGATCTTCCTATCGAGGGGTCCGAAATGGCCCATGGCCATACCGAGATCGGAACCACAGAGACCCGTTACTGATAGGCGGATAAGGACTTCATTTGGTCCTGGAACTGGGCGCGGTTCATCCCGCACCGCAAACGTGGGCTTCCCATCTGAGCCTTGAGGAGACTACAAACCGTAAGTCTTCGCGGCGTTTTGTGGTGTGAAGAGGAATAGACGCGTAGAATAGTCTCAATGGTAACTCACAGTCAAAATAGCAGCTCGGTGTGTCTCCATAATTTTGCTTCGTCGAATGAGATAAGAATAAGATAAATATACACAGAGCTTTACCTCACAGAATGGCGTGTTAAGTTGAAGTTGAGACCAACTTAACTAGTGCTGCTCGAGGGAGATCTATGATGTAGGTCGAAGTTTCCCCGCTACAGGATGGTGTGAAGTGGTATAGGAGTTCAGACGGGTCGGAAACACTTTTCCGCATATCGTCGGTTCGAAGGTTCCCCTCATTCAAAATTTGACCTCGGTGTTTGTTGTTCAGCCGTAGTGATAACTGGCTACCTATTTTAGGTATTTGTGGCCCAGTGGGTTGGGAGTATCGAGCGACGTCATCGTGCTTCGATGCATGTATCTGTGCGGTATCAGAAAAGAATAACATTGACTTCAGCCAAACTTCTGCCAAACGTCTCCACCGTGATTGATTTTTATTTGAATGATTGCATGTGTGGAAGAGTCAATATTATTACTTGGGGATGCCTTGAATCAACCACAGCCGCTCTGATTCCTAGGCCTCTTCTGTTCAAGATTCGTACGACAGGCGACGCACTTAATGAACAATTGCTCTAGGAGCCTCGGGAAGCAGCGTGCTTGGATGCCTATCCCTAGCTGCGATTTTGCTCCAGAGTCCTTATTCGCTCCCCCAAAGCAAGTTCATCCGCTTATATCCGTTGCAACTGCTCCAAGGTCTGCCTCCTGTCCCTCAAGAGCCGCTCTTCATGTAGTAGGTGCTCCAGTTCAGCCGTATCAGCAATTAGGGGCTCCGGCGAGGAACCAATACGATCTTCAATCATAGTCGGTGACATCCTACTTGTTGCAGATGACAGGGGCGACTTTGGGAACGAAATCGTGGACATGATCTCCGGTGATACCGCGCCATGTTCAACTGGGGGCGTGACCTTGTGCCTTTCGTGGATATTTGGCTCAGGCGATGCGTACGGCGTTCCATCCAGCTCGGCCATTATCTGATTCTGTTGATTTGAGAATGTTGCAGGGCTCTTCTTATCGGCTTCCAATGGTGTCGTGTATGAATCCAACTCATACCTGTCGGATTTGTCTCCGCCGCCGAGCTCTGGTGTGATATTATTTTCGTTACCATCACTCAAGCTGACCTTCTTCCTCTTTCGCCACCAAAAGAGTAGAACTACAGCCAACATTGCCACAAGGGCAGCTCCAGCTCCAATTCCAGCCTTCACCCCCGTTGATAATTCGGAGGAAGAGGAGTCGCTGTTGTCACCGCCAATCGCAGACGTAGGTTCGGCGGTAGGGTTAAATTCGGCGATAGGGGCTGTCGATTGCGCCGTCGGTGTTGCGGCTTGTGCTGTGGTTGAGCCAGCCTCTGTCTCTGATGTAGATGTCTCGATATCCACAGTAGTATGTGTGTCATCGCCGTCGGAAGTGGCGGATCTAGTACGTGTCACGATGATGGGTTGTGTTGTTGTCAAGGTCACTATAGAAGTCAAATCCGTCTGGGAGGCATTGAGCCAGCCATTCGCGACGCAGTAGGCCGCAAAGGGAGGCCACACATCTTGAACTTAGCGTCAATACAGGGCTAATAAATCAAAGGGAGTGCAAGAAGGAAAACTTTTCTAATTGAAAAACCAAGAGAGGCATACCTTCATATGTTGTTCCCTCGCCACAAAAGTGCTGTATGCAGGTGGTCCATTGGGTACGCATGGAATGTTGTTTCCCGATGCGGCAAGCACAATCAGGGTTTATCTTTACGTGACAAAGGTCCGATACACTTGGAGCCAGACAATCCTGAGCACATTTAGGAATATCGTCTCTGTCTTGAGCGTATGCAAAGCGAATTACTGCCGCGAGGACAACTGCCGTGGCCCTCATCGCGACGGAGCAACGAGAGCCTGTTCGGGATGTAGATTGAACGCACAGAAAACAATGGCGAAGCTGACAGCTAAACTGAAGAGTTGTTGTGGGAGGAATGGTGTCTGGGAAATCCAATGGGTCCTGCTCTGGGTGGTATGTGCCTCAGTGACAGCCAAGCGTGGCCTGCGGCAAGAAAGCGTTACTGGAAAAGACAAGACAGCTGACGGACCAAGCATAATGCTCGAATCTGCAAGGTTCTTGATGGATCATGAGAAGTTTCTGCCAGATGTGGTCAGGCCTCTGTTTGGCTTGTTGGTAGGGTCTGATTTGAGGTCTCGCCTGTCTAAACTCCAATCTCAACAGTTCCAACAGCTTTTTGTTCGGCTACTCACATACACTGCGAGACAAGGACCCATTTTTACTGGGAGAAGATCGAATCACTACGTTCAAGGTTGTCTGGTGCCAAGTTCAGCTTCTAGCTGCGCCCTAGTTGTGCAGAGCCCAGCGTCCTCGCCTGCGTTGGTTATGAAATTTCGCTGGGCCGAGCAGATGAAGTGAAACCCCCCAATCTCAGCTGGATCAAAAGCAACTAAATAGTTCTCCATGGTATACCTGGCCTCGAGTCAACAGCTTGCCATCCAGTTTAAGCCGGCAAAGAACATACTAGTGGGTAGTTGTTTCGGATCTACTTTGCTATCGCAGCATCATGAATCGGTTAAGGCGTTGTCGAAAAGTTTTTTGACAGTGAGTAGCTACTTCGCGGACGAATATGAGAGAAACTTGGCATCATATAACCGGAAGACACGTCCCACTACATTACCTAGGGCAGCTTCTTTTCAGACTGCACTCCACTCCAAATGAAATCGCATTTGAACTTCACTCAAGCGACAGAAAAATCATGAGCCAATGACAAGCAGCGCATTTGTTGTTGCTCAAGTGCACATGCACCAAACACCTGTGCTTATCTAGACTCTTCTCTTCCGAACCTCAATCAACGTCGCGTCCCTTCTCTCGATCAGCAAATTCGTAACAGTAAATCCGGCTGTATTGTTGATGAGGTTACAGCGAGTTTAGTCAAAGGTCCTTGGACACCGACATCCCACAGCTCACGGTCAACTTCCTAAGATCTTGCCCACGAGATAGAATCGCTTTGAGGGCCGTCACTCGACCATTTTCGGGTTCTCGGTGATTCATAATCTTTCAGTAAATCCAAGGCAACTACGTGCTCTGACTATTATTACTCAACGTTATGCAAAGACCAGCGTTGTACCACGACTCCCAGGCGACTGGCCGCAGGCTTGTGCTAAGCATGGAAAGTAAGTGTGAGACCCTATGCTCCAGCAAAACACATTGTGTCACGGAGAAACGCATTGTTTGCTGCACGCGATCAAAGGCGTCAGTTTCGCAACGTGTTGGTGCTAATCCTATGAGTGATTCTCCAGTATCGTTATCAGAGATGCCCGTTTCCATTGAATCTTGAAACAACGAAGCCTACCGAGGCTATCTCAAATCCAGCAACACGTAGCCAAGGAGCTCAAAATGTATTTAGTGAAGTATTTACACGATAAGGTTCCACATCAAGACTACATAATAAAGTGATTCTCCGTACTGAGGCTCAGCTCTCATTTGGGTGGTGAAGTAGCCGCGTCGTTCGTTGCCGCAACAATCGCAGCCTTTTTCTGCCGCCTCTTCTTTCTGCAGCTCCTTATGCAGCAAAAGACGCATGAGCAGATCAACACGAACACAATCACAGGAATTCCAGCAACTAGGAACATGAAAAGACTATCTTTTGTAAAGTCAGGGCCACTCTCAAGTCTCGGCGGTTTATAGTCATAAACTCCATCCGGGATCGTCTGACCAGTTGTCCACGTCGGCACTATCATTAGGCTCGCCAATGTCGGTAGCTTTGGCGTCAAGTTCGCAGTATTAGATGCATACCAAGTCACTGTCCAGGGTGTATGCATCATGAGCACTTGGTGTCAGAGCCCTCCCGGATAGGGGCTAGTTAGAGGTAGTAAGGAGTCCAAGCAACAAAGGAGCAGCTCAGATATATATACAGCGCAGGGAGTACACGTCGGGGGATGAGCAGATTTCAGTAATTCATCATTCTTCCCCTAACTGCAGTTGGCCTCTGAGAGCTTCCACCCTGCGTCAACAACCCCAACTTGACACTTGGTCCAATTTCGCGTCCTCAGGGTTGGGAAGGGCTTCGGTCTTGGGCCCCATGCAGCGCACGCCAACCCATCGACCCAAGTGTAGTTGAATCCACTCCACCTCTGGTCAGCGTTCAAGTCATAGACACAAAAAGCAATATATGCAATGGCGAAGAAAATAGTGCAAACAAACCTATCGCAACAGTAAGCTGATGTAGGGCCCAAGGTATGTGTATGGGCCATGCTATCCCATCGAGTGCTGCAAGGCGACAGTACATTGAGATGCGGGGGAGCAGCCAATCGGGCCACTTCGGGCCCCTTTTTCCAACCAACCAACGTAATTGATAATAGATACTTCCAATTACTAGAGATTCTGCGTATGAAATCGGTACCAGCAATCTTCTGAGTTACAGAGAGCTACATCGCACTCGAGGCAGCCCATCCTCGTGTACTTCCCAGGGATACCGGGCTCAACCTCCGGAGGCTCGCGGGGCCGAACAGTGGCATTATCACATTGCTCCGGCGTACAGTCGGCAGTGCAGGCGGCGGCGAGGTCCTCGGGCAGCAGGGCAAAGATACACGACTTCGCCGAGCCCGTGGAACGGCCAGATCCGTCAGAATCGTCAGAATCCATTAATTGAGTATTGGTAATGATGGATTTGGTAGATGTACCGGAGTGGAAATCATAGGGGCAACTCAAGCAGTGGATGTACCAGATGCGGTGCGGGGTAAAAGGGGGCCCGTTATGTGGAGCCAATGTACTGTCGCCTTGCAGCACTCGATGGGATAATACGTCCATCCTTCGGGGCACACGCCCGGGCTAAAATTGAGCCGGCTTATCCCTTTGATGCGGTCCCATCCAGAGGGATAGCATGATGATGGGGGAGCCGAGACAGAAACACTTGATATGAAATTGTGGTATCCCATCTGGTGCGGAATAGCTCCATTTTTGCCAAGCCCCAAAATACCCACTATTACCCCGCATTTAAAGGGGTACTTGAAGATACGTCACTTCTCCTTATGCTCTATTACCTATTATTACCACTTTATATTTTAATTAATGCTAACTAGTTATAATATCTTCTAATAATTCTAATACCTCGATTATTTTCAATACTTCTGTACATAGCTGTATAGTAGTTGAGGTATACTTAGATGTTACGCCCGCCGCAACTTGTCACTGTGGGCGCGTAGCTATATAATGCAGAACAAGGGAAAATGATGCGGAGTCACCATTATCGAAGCTTTTGCTTTGTGCCACACTTGGTTGCCTTGTCCTGCTCGTAACACTAAACTATAAAAATAACTACCTCTAGACCGCCGAGCTCCCTACCCACGCCACGATCCTCGGTAATCTCTATATATTTAAGAAGGCCTAAATTAATAGTTCTATTATAAGAACCCTTTAAATCGGTTATCTAGATCTACTTATGTTACAACCCAACATGCATGACCAAGAACAGGGCCTGCCCCGCAGGCTCGCGGCGGTTATAATACACCACATATGCAGGAGATAAGGGACACTAGGCACCCTCTCACGGAACGGAAGAACTATGGTACAAGTCACGTGATGATAAGATAAGGATCATTTGGGATCAATATGATCCAACACGACTTGGGGGCTAAACGATCATTCTGGATCAGAATGACCCAAGACGACCCAAGGGACAAGGGACATGTTCAGGATCAGGACTTGTATATAAGGATGGACTTGAGCTGGACTCTAGGACAGACTTCCATAGCTCTTCAGCAATTAACTTCGTATCAGGATTAACATCCGCTTTCAGCTATCACCTTGACAAGACTACGATTGATCACCGAAGCCTTACCCACCCTTACGATTGACAGACATAGTTTCCTTGAAACTATTCCACGACTACGATTACTGTTATCAGTTCCGCAGCCTCAACTTCTGCAAACTACCCCTACGACTAGCTGGCCGTAACAATATATTGATGAGTATAAAGAACGAGTGGCTATGGGAATATCCCGACTATCTATATAGTAAGTAGAAGACCCTTTATACTAGCATATCCTTGGCAAACTTAGTCATGCTTGTGTAAGACCATATTGTCTCATAGGCATAGTGTGACAATCGTTGTAACGAGTGTACTGGGATGGGCCTGACATGATTATCTCTCTAAGGCGCCGAAGACGTAATTGAATTGGAAGAGGTTTGGTTGGAACTAACGAAGAGATTTTGGGTCTGGAAATTTGCTTGGGCTTTTTCTCTTATATACGATTAAGCCCTCTAGAGTTATGCGCTAAGGAGGTAAAGCAAATATGAGCGAGGCCCTAATGGGCAAGAAAATATATGGGCCTGCCCAAAGAGGGCAAGTTGGGGACTAGCCGGGCTTTGCATGTTTATATTAATATGTTCAGAGTGATTCCACACACTTTATGAATGAATTTTTGTATCATGTTGTATCAATCTTTATGTCAAGTCCTTCACTTCTTGTGAGTAGAAATATTATGTAGACCAAACCCCATTTATTGGTGTCGAATTACCATTGAGGCTGGATCCATCGCGGATTGTTTCCCTCGTCGTCGCCCTCGCCCTTCATTCTAACAAGTGAAAGCTGATCCTACCCGTCCATCATTGTACGCATCGATGATGCTTTGGATTGTTGTGTAAGTGCCCACAACGGTCATGAATGATCCCAGAACTATCGTTAAGATGTGCAGGGCACAGAGAGACATCTTGACTTTACTAGAGGATCTTTTCTCCCAGTCCATGTAGAGGCCCATGAATGCTGGGATAATCAGCTGTCATGTGGCACGAGTCGTTAGTGAACAGTCACATGGAGACTCGCCCTGAAGTAGATCGCCTTGCACTTACACAAGTAGGCATGCAGCAAATAGAACCAATGAGCCCAACCAGATAGCTAAAGAATGGAACCGCTTCAGCAATGATGAAAGCCAACGCGCTAATGCCTATGGTCGAGCCACTATATTGCCGACATTAGTGTGACGAACGTCTTTCCTGCAGAAGTGATCGGAACTTACAGCCAAGTCGCCCAATGAATCACAGTCTTGCTTTGTAGATGCACTGAGTTGCGAAGAATGCGTACGAGAAGCTAATATCCAACCTGTCAGTAGTTATCCGTACTGATAGGAGAGAATCATTATCGTACGAATTTAGCAGCAAGATGAACCCAAAGAGTCGTCGTCATGATGAAACCCGGAATCGAAACACCGTACGCTATCTTTTCCAATGTTCCGCCGGCAGAGCCTAGAGACGGACTCGCAACGTACTTTCCGCAATACCTAAGTATGCAATTCGTTAAATACCTTCCTCGCACACAATTGTTCCTTTGGTGTTTAGTTTACTCACATGTAGACCACCGTACCAAATGCTACATAACTTGAGGCTAGGAACACCTGAGATGAGAAGAGAGATTTGGTGAAAGATCGCGGGCTTCTCATCTCCGCAATCACTGGAATAAAGGTTGGTGTAGATCCATAACCAGCTTCACGGCTGTTAGTCTCAACTCTCGTGTCACAAATGTCAATTCAATGGATCGCATTAACACAACTTACTAAATAGATTGACGGCCGCGACAACTCCTGGAACGAATCCAGGGGCTCCGACAGCGTGTACTTCCATGTCGTATGGTCCGGTCTCTGGCGCTGCCGCAGGCCGATTAACTTGTGTCACACCAACGCTTTTGAGCAATGTCTTGTCAGCATACCGACAAAGCATCAAGTTATTGATAACTAAAAAGAGTCGATGAACTTACACAACAATAAAGACCGCCGTGAAGATTGAAGCGAATCCTATCCAAGCTAGGATCGACAATCGCCCCAGGGTAGGAATGCCAGATACGATTGCGGTGCACGTGGCTGCGACGAGCGTCCACGCAATGTTGCAGATGTGGCGATTGGAAAGCGTCTTGAATCCTTCCGCCAAACCGATGAAGCCAGATCCAGATGCGAGGCTTTGCTGGGTGTCAGCCTGGTTGAACGGAAACCCATGGGCCATCAAAGTATGTGTCTTACATCCAAGTCAAAAGAAAGAGACCACCAGCAATCTCTCGGGCAATAGGTCCGCCCATAAGTGCCGCGGCATCGGCAATGCTGTGAACTCCGGCGTATCTCATTCTAAAGACGTACATGATGTACGCATAGTCTTCCGGCACGCAAAATTAGCAAGACAGTAGAAGAGACGGATATCGAGGACAATGTTAAAATGGAGGGCGTACAAGTTGCCAGCGTTCCCCAACCCACAAGCAGAGCAATGCCCGGGCCGTACCCGACTGAGCTGAAGGCAGATGGAATTGTCAATACACCGGTGGCAAAGCAGAGCTTCATCAAAATGATGCCAGTGCGTTTCCTGAGATGATGCACACTATCAGTGATCTGTGCCTTTCAAAGTGAAATAACGACTTTGGGCCCAACATGACCTACCACCCCAACGCCCTGTATTCCTCCTCGTGGAAGACCTCCCTGTTATCATCGATGTCAATGCATTCCGTTTTAGTGTTTCGTTCAGGAAATGCATCGCCGTTCGTCGCAGGATCCACTTTCTCGGATGAGCCCTCCAAAGATGTGCTTGTGTATGGTGGCATCGTGGGTGAATTCCAAGACTATTGTCCCAGGGGTGACGTAGAAAGAGAAGGATCACAGCAACAGAGAACCGAGTTGAGAGAAGTAACGTCTTGTGTAGTCTCGCCGTTGCCAATCACGTTGTCGATTACAGGGACCAGATGTTTCGAGAGGAAACACTTCAGCGAGGAGCAACAATATTCTATATCGAATTCAGGAACGCCAGCCATAAGATAACTACCGAGGGGAAACAACCTTAGAAGGTGAGGTAACATTTAAGATACAAGACTTTATTTGAGCCTGTAGAATTACCCGTTCAAGATCCACTTCCATGCTCATGTCCGGCGCTATCTTCGATGACATATTGTCACTGCCGGGTAACAATCTCGACCGCCGTCAGCGGACTGCGTTATCACAGGCTCTAGTCTACAGACGGGGATGTCGCCGATCCTATCTGCGGGGGAATCATCTGGGTTCCCCATGGAGATAAAGCCCCCAACCCCCATCCCACTGTAGATAATGGTTGTGGGTAAGTGGAACTTCGCGCAAAGCCGACGCTAGCGAATCCCCGATCATCTTGCTACGCTAGTCTTGACATCAAGGGGGACCTCGGTTTGGTATCATTTGTCATGGAATCACACCGATTGATCAACTCTTGATCAGACTCACTGCGTACTTTGAGTCTAGTACAAGTGCGGTTGACTTTGGGAGATCATCGTCTTCGAAAATAATGAAGTCTTCTGGCTTGGGGGAATGGCTGACTTGCTCGAACGAGAAGCAGGGTTTTGATTCAGTTCCGAACCTTGATGCATCCATCCTTAGTCTTGAATAACACCCCGAAATACGAAGTCCACACCATCAATGCTAACAACATCTCCATCCACCGACTTCTGTGCCTCCTCGTCTGCGAGTGTCACAACTGCGGACGATTTTGGCACTTTTGCTTGATTTCCAGACTCAAATGCGCACTTCCAAATCCCATGCTCAGACTCGTAATCCTCTCGTCGCGCGGCGAATTCAACCCCCGACGCTTTATGGACGGCGAGATAGATATGCCCAACTTTTCCAATGAAGGTGGCCCCATCCTTGCTCTGTAGAATCCAGGACGGCCTACTGTCCGCGCCTCGTGTTGTGACATCTCTCCAGACCTCTTCGTAATCTGTTCGGACTCCATCTTTGTGAGGACAGGGTGTAGTCCCGATCTCGAGGTCATCCCCATTGGGAAGCCGTTCGAAGTGAGCATCGTCAGGTACTGTGAGATTCAGCGAGTCGATGATGTGTGTCCATCGGAATGTTGCTGCGGCTCGGTCAACATACCAGAACATAGTCATCGAGTTTCCAAGTTTGATATCTGGCGAGACGAATACTTACGAGGCTCAGTCTTGAGAGTAATTCGCTCGCCGGCGCGGCTCCATTGAATGGTTCGAGTCTCCTTGGTGACTCGCAAATCAATGAAGTACCCTCTTACATTGAGGGCGATTGTATCGGTGTCTTCGTAGGCAGGCTCAGGCAACCAGCGAATGCTGATGCGCTGGACAGCTTGGGATGGCATTTTGCTTTATTGTCTAGGGGAATGGAGGCAGGGATTTCCTGAAAGATCTACTGGTACACAACTTGTACCTGAGGATCGTGTAGATGGCAGAATAGTGAACATCAACATCTCAATGTGGACCGCCTGTGGGGTATTATTTATACCCAATCGCGTGTGGTGATTATTCACACCAAGTCTTGCTGATAAGCCCATGGGTACCAAGCCATGGGTCTGGTCTTCCTCCTGAATAATCATAGATGCTCTAGGTCTCTGAACAAGCCACGGTTTATGTCGAAATAATCGAGATCTCATCTTCCAGCACGCGCGCTCTACGAGATGAGTTTCGAAAACACCAGGGAAGTCAAGTCAACTTGAGAGCATTAGTACGCCAGTAAAGGAATTATGACCATCAAGTGGAGACATAACTGAGAGGAACAGAGTATGCCACAACTGCAAATAGCATGCGGGATGGAAGTGATCCCGGATAAGTGTGCCGGACTCACCACCCAGTCCCGGTGGTGGGGCTTAGAAGCAACCAATCACGTGCCTACCAACTAATCCCCTCACTCCCAAACTGTCTTTAGATAAACACACACAGAGCTAGTTCTGTAACATAGTTTAGATTAGCATAGACCATGTCGGCATAGCGCCCGGCACGTCCTTTTGTTACCAGACGTTAAATACATCAACACAGAGCTAGTTCAGAAGTCGTATTGAAGGATAAGACAAGCGAATTAAACGATGACCGAGTTCATGGTGAAGCCTCAATGCTGTCGTGTGCTTTTCCCGGGAGACAATAGTCAGATCGCCCGGTCAGGGGAGGCTGGTTGGAAGATGGGCTCCGATCTGAGAAGCAAGAGGCATAGATCCACGCCGGCTTGCGCAAGATGCCATCGACTCAAGCAGAAGGTATGGATCCGACAACTACCCTCCAAAATTGTACTAACTTGACTAAATGGTTCCTGCAGTGCGACAGAGGGACGCCAAAATGTCTCAGATGCGTTGCTGCCAGAGTTGAATGCACTGCAATCAACCGGCAGAAGTCGACCGAAGTTCCTCGTAGGCAAGTCACATTGTACTTTGAATTTGCCAATGATATAATAACAACTAACAAAGCCCTTTGATAGCCTTCTTCAGTACCTTGAACATCGTTTAGCTGAGTTGCAACGACTGAAATCTGCCTCCGTAAATGCAGATCAACACGGCTCCGTCAGTGAAATCTGCAAAGCTGACACCACTCACGATGTCGCTGCTCAACTAGCCTCCATATCAACCACATATCATCTTTCTCACAGTCTCTTCCAAAGCTCAGCGATATTACCACACAAGTCTAAACTTTTCTATCCCTCTGAGCGTCCACCACTAAAGATCCCAATCCGCGGAATCTACCACGAAGTCCACCCCAGAACAGCAGGGCAAGCCTACGCAACCCAATTCTCAAACTTTAGCTCACAGCACGTCCCTCTCAATGTAAAGGAACGGCTTCTCAGCAACTACACGGAAGAAATTCTCCCACGCTTCCCCTGCTTCTCAGAGGCAGAGCTAGCCTACCACTTTAACCACCTCAACAGCGTTGAGCCGGGACTTTCCCATGTTCCGAATTCCCTTTCTCGGTTCGTCGTCTCAATGATCATGGGAATCAGCGCTCTCAACTCCAAGAACCAAGAGTTTCGCAAAGTCGCGGCTCTCAGTGAAGTTTTACACGCGGACGCCGTGGAGTACGTCGACGAGTTGCTGCATGAGAGCTCCATCCCGGCTTTACAGTGTCTGATATTACTTATACAACTTGCGCTCTTGCTACCTTAGACGTCTAATCTATTGTATCTCACCGGAGAGGCTACGCGCATGGCTGTAAGCCTTGGACTGCATTAAGAGCCAGAGACACGGGTCTTTAGAGACGCTGGGCATGCCGAGCAGCGACGGCGCATCTTTTGGGTTGTAAGTCCAAGCCCAGCCAATCTTGAGGTTGTGGCTATTGCTAATAAAACGTCCAAAAGGTCTATCAGCTTGACAGGGTCGTCTCGATTTCCGGAGGATGTCCAGTCGCTCTAAGTGACGAACACATCACAACCTGGCTTCCCCATGGCGGCGGCGACACATCCGAGTTATCTGAGAGAGCCGACTTTGAGCGAGTGAGCCACCCAAGAGAGCGGCAGTTCCTCCTCGACCTCCAAGTTTGCGTCATGAAATCTGAGATCCAGGCAACACAATTCTTCGACCTTCCTGTTCCCAGTCACTCCGGCTCCCACGACGACTGGGTCCAGCGAACGGATCAAAAGATACAGAGTCTTTATCATGTTACCACGGCAAACGGCAGGGCTAATTCACAGCTAAGCTCCAGTTGTCTCCAATGCCAAGTCATGCTTCACCGTCCATGCTCCCGCAACATCGCCGTTTCTGAAGCATCCCTGATCTCGGTGGTGAAGGCGGCAATCGACCTCATTTCGCTAGACACGAAAACAGCCGAGTCTGGCGGCCTTGTCATGGTATTTGAGATTGGTAACAGAGTATTCCAAGCCGGCATGCTCTTGCTTTACGCTCTTCGAAACCACGCTTCAACGTTGCAGCGTGCCTCACTTGCAGACAATGCTGCCGACGCATTGAAGAACCTCGCAGAACTCCTTGTAAGTCTGTCCCATGTCGGAAACGCCAAATAAACTCACATAGATGGCCACTAACGCAAATCGCAGAGCATCTTATCGAGCCGATGGCCACCACTGGCCGATACAGCAAGCTACATCAACGAGCTAATCGACACGAACCTCCGCAACCCAGTCGGCCATAATGGAAGCCACTACGACATGCAAGTCCTCGAAGAACTCGACTGCCTAGTCACCCAACGACGAATCCACAGCATCCGCCACCGAAACATACCCTTCCCGCCTCCAAAGAAGTTCACGCCTCCTCCTTCGGAACCAGAAAACATCAGTCAAGACTTTCTAAATGATGAGCAGTGGTGGACAGATTTCATAGACCAAGATTTCGTCTCCAATGAAAGCTGCTTCTCGCTTCCGTCTGGCGGGCAACCTACTAGTACCTCGTCCTCCCCAGACGCCATCGAAACGAGGGCTCACCGTGAACGCGGTGCAAGGGACAACAACGCAAGCGACCTGGAAGAGGAGCTAGGTGTCATCCTCGACGCAATTCCCTCTTGCAGCTTTTGTAGGGATAGACGGACAAAGTGTCAGCGTCAACTTCCTGCTTGCAAGGAATGCGCGAGGACCTCACGCGAGTGTCTTATCTTCGACCCGATTTTGAAGACAAACATCCCCCTTCGACAGATACAACTTCTCATCGATGAGTTGAAGGATCTAGCAAAGCAGACATCACCATTCTCACGCCCATCAAACAACACTCAATGTCCACCAGCCACCGAAAACCCCCTATTCCTCCCCTCCGAACCGTTCACCCCCACTCATACCGGAACCTCACCATCATCAGACTTCCTCAGCACCACGTTCTTTGGCCCCTGGTCCTCCTTCGGGTGCCTCCGAGATCACCTCCGCCACAACAGAGCATCCAACCACGACTTCCCACCAACCCTCCTCCAGCTCGCCAACAGAACCACAATCCCAAACTCTTCCCTCCAAAACCTCATTACCTTCCACCCCCTTCCCAAACCTCTAGCAACCCCCCTCTTCACCCTCTTCTCCCGCTCAATAAACACCTTCCCAATTCTCCAACCCCAAACCCTCACCCACATCCTAACCACACACTACCACAACCACCCTTCCACCAACACCCCCCTCTTCAACCTCATAATTGCCCTCGGCGCCCTCATCGCCAGCAAACCCACACCATCCCTCCTCCCCCTCGCAGAATCACACTACCAAAACGCCATCCCTTCCCTCCCAACAACCTGCGCCCACGCCTCCCGCACCGAAAACCTCGCCCTCCTCCAACGAACCCTCCTCATCTGCGTCTACACCCTCCTCGATCCCAGCGCAGGCGACGTCTGGCGACACCTCGGCTTCGCCATCCGCCTCTTTCTCGACCTTTCCCACCGGCCTTCCATGGAAGTGGACAAGGACCATGCTGTGTTTTGTATGCTGACTAGGACGTTGTATACTCTCGAGAGGTAATGTTTTGTTCTCAATTCTCTCCATCCCCGAACCCCCCAAATGGGCAACCCTTCTAAGAAGACTATTCACAAAAAGTCTTGTGTCGATTGCCTTTGGACGACCAAGCCTACTAGTCATCGGAGACGACCTCCGTCGCGTAAGTCTTCAAAATCACTCTACACCCATCTCATGCCATCAAATCCACCATCCAACACCACCACCCATAGGAACTCGTACAAAAAACCACATCCACACAAGCAGAACAAATCTCAATCTCCTCCTACCTAATCGCCTGTCAGAGCCCTCCCGGACAGGGGCTAGTTAGAGGTAGTAAGGAGTCCAAGCAACAAAGGAGTAGCTCAGATATATATATACAGCGCAGGGAGTACACGTCGAGGGAGGAGCAGATTTCAGTAATTCATCATTCTACCCCTAACTGCAGTTGGCCTCTGAGAGCTTCCACCCTGCGTCAACACCCCAACTTGACATCGCCCTCCTCAAACTACAAATCCACAACACAATCCTCCAACACCACAACAAACCTACCACAACCACCTCTCCAGCTCTCTCCCACGAGACTACACCAACCCTCCGATCCACCTGCGAAATCTACCGCCAAACCCTCGACTCCTGGTCCGCAACTTGGAAACAATTTACAACATCCTCATCCCCAACAACCTCTCCAGCCTCAAAAGACGCCCTCCTCGCCTGGGGCTCACTACACCACCACCACGCCCTCTCCCTCATCACATCCCTCTGGCCAGCACCAGGCGGAAACGCCCTCACCATCTGCGGCGGCGTAGCACAGGCCGCGTTACAGCTCCTTCGACACCAGCAGATGTTCGCGAACCTTCCTTGCAAAGCGGAGGAGGCGGAGGGAGGGGCACCGTCATCAACCGAAGAAGAGGTTTTGGTATTTCCTTTTGACTGGACAATGAGCCACCTCGCGTTTCAAGTAGGTCTCCGTGCCATGGGGGAGAAGGACACGACGCTGCTGCCGACTAGTGAGAAGAAGAATCCGGCCGAGTGCCCGCCACTCCAGCAATGTTTTTCAACGCTGTTACTACTAGAAGCTGACGCTTCCAAGCTTCTGAGAGGACAGTCTCAGGTCTTCGAGGCGCTCTCCGAGAGATTCAACATGTAGTAGAGTTGTTTGAAAAGTGTTCTTGAATATAGAAAAGTATGGCAAAAAATAGCAAGTCGCAACGCCTGGCCCCCCTGATGCTTGAAAGCTGCTAAAGCGGATATAAGACCATGTACATTTGACAAAGATTTCGAAACTTTTTTCTCCTTCTTTTTGGCAAAACCCATCCTTTGTAAATCTCAATTCTCAATTCTCAATTCTCATCCTCGCACCGAACATCACTTCTCTTTAAGCCGTCATTACTCGAAAGCAAGGACAAGCAAGCTTATTCCTCATCAGACTCTTCGTCGGGAACCTATCATTACTGTTAGTCATCGTGATCAAACTGCTAGAGTGAGCTTAGGAATCTCGACTTACTCCTTCGTGGAAATCCCGACCCTCCTTGGTACCCTTAATAACACCAACCCGAATGCAGAAGTCACCAAATCTCTCGCCAGTCTCCCTCTCAGTCGCGTACCTCTTAAGCAGCGGCTTCATGATGGCCAAGATCTCGTCCTCCTTGATACTCTGGCGGTACAGCTTGTTGAGTCTCTGGCCGTGGTATCCACCGCCGAGGTACATATTGTACGCGCCGTACGCCTTTCCGACAAAGGCAACCTCGGCAAGCCAGGGGCGCGCGCAACCGTTGGGGCAACCCGTCATGCGCATAACGATCGAGTCCTGGCGCAGACCGTTCTCCTCAAGGCAGTCCTCGAGCTTGGTAATCAGCACAGGCAGGTAGCGCTCCGACTCGGCCATGGCGAGACCGCAGGTGGGGAAGGCGACACAGGCTGACGAGCTGAGACGCATGCCGGAGAAGTGGACGTTGTCGAGCTTGTACTTCTTCATGAGGTCCTTGATGGTGTCGAGATCCTCGTCCGCGACGTTGCTGACGATCAAATGCTGGTTACCCGTGAGGCGGAACTCGCCCTTGAGCACCTTGGCGATCTCGCGGAGGCCAGTCTTCATCTGGAACTCGGGAGTATCCTCGATGCGACCGTTCTCAATGAAGAAGGTGAAGTGGTTGAGTCCCGTCTCGTCCTTTTGCCAGCCGAAAGTGTCAACGTTGGACTTGAACTCGAAAGGCTTCTCCTTTTCAAACTTCTGTCCCCAGAGCTCCTCGACCTTGCCGCGGAAGACGTCGACGCCCATGTCGTCAATGGTGTACTTGAGACGGGCGTGCTTGCGGTTCTTACGGTCACCGTTATCGCGCTGGACGAGCATGATCTTCTCGCAAGCAATGTGGACCTGGTCCGTCTTGACGAAACCGAACATGCGGCCAATCTGCGGGTACGTCTTCTTGTTGTTGTGCGTGGCACCCATACCACCACCGGCAATCAGGTTGAAACCCTCGAGGTTGCCGTCCTTGCCCTTGATGGCAATCAGACCAATGTCATGGGCGTAGACGTCGGTGTCGTTGTGGGGAGGAATGGCAATGGTGATCTTGAACTTTCTGGGCAGGTAGGTGGGTCCGTACAGAGGCTCGAAGTCCTGGACCGCGTCACCGGCGATCTGAGTCTTGGTATCGTTCTCGTCTGCCAGCCAGATCTCGTGGTAGGCAGTGGTCGAAGGCAGCAAGTGGTCGCTGATCTTCTTGGAGCTGGCCCAGACCTCCCTGTGGTACTTGGACTGGGTGGGCAGAGAACTGCACATGACGTTACGGTTAACATCACCGCAGGCGGCAATGGTAGTCATGAGCGCTCTGTTGATGGCTTGCATGGCGGGCCTCAACTTGCCCTTGACGACACCGTGGAACTGAAAGGTCTGACGGGTGGTGAGCTTCATGGTCTCGTTACCGAGCTCGTTGGCGATGTCGTCCATCTGCACCCACTGCAAGGGAGTGGAGATACCACCGGGCAGACGGCAACGGATCATGAAGGAGTAGGCGGGCTCCAAGCCCATGGCCTTGCGCTCATCTCTGACATCGCGGTCGTCCTGCATGTAGGTACCGTGGAACTTGGTAAGCTGCTGGTCAGCAGCAGAGATGGCAGCAGTCGAGGGGTCGTTCAGACCCTCAACAATGGTACCACGGAGGAAGTTGGAGGCGATCTTGATGTCCTCGTTGGTGATGGGAGCAGGCTCCTCGGGAAGACCGTCGACGTTATCGACGCCAAGGGCGCGCCAGATCTTGGGCTCCCACTCCTGGTAACCAGTCTGGTATCCATCGGGGTCCTGGTCGTCACCGAGACCAACATCGGCGAGTCTCTTACCGCCAAGGTTGGACAGAACACGGTCAAGATCCTTTGCAGGCTTGTTGTAGTAGATCTTGTCCTCCTTGCGGGGCCAGTAGTGACGATCACCAAGACCGAAGACGGAGTAGTTGACGTTGGCGAGGTCAAGCTCGGTGTTGTCCTTGAGGGCATTCCAGAGAGCGTGACCATTCTGGGGGAACTCTCCCTGGCCGGCGGTTGAGGACACAAAGATGATGTTCTCCTCAGAAGGCAGGTCCTCGAGGGGGTAGTCCTCCATAGCGAAGACCTTGGTCTTGAGGCCGCGGGCCTTACCGCGGTTACCAAGACGCTTGGCAACGTTGGTAGCGTTACCGTTGTCAGAGGCGTACAGCACAGTCAATGGAGCGCCAAAGAGACCCTCAAGAAGCTGGTCGTAGGCATCCTTGGCCTTGCGCTTCTGCTGAGCCCGGACCTCGGAGCCAAAGTCTTGCGACAGGTTCGCGGCGAAGACGGGGTCGCGCTGCATGATCTGGGTGAGCTGGTTGTCGCGGTCCAAGAAAGCCTTGAGCTCGCTCTTGATGCGCTCCGAGTCGAGGGTGAAGTTGGGCTCGCCCTTGGCTTCGTTGGCGGGGTTCCAGCGGTACAGGGGCCAGTAGCCGACGTCAATCGCCTTCTTGGTCTCCTGGAGGACGGTGAGAGGAGAGTCGGTCTCGCCAAAGTAGGGGAGGTAGGCCAGAACGACAGAGGGACCGTTGTGCTGGTCAGCCTCGAGCATGGCCTGCAGCACCTGGGTGTAGGAGCCGTAGACGGCAGTGGAAGCGACGTAGGCATTGCCAAAGTTCATGGCGTACAAACCAATGTCCTTCTTGCGGCGGTTGGCATCGGCAGCGGCGCGCTCCGAGTAGGGAGTCGAGTCGATGATGAGCATGTTGACGTTCTCGCCAGAGGCCAGGACGTGGTGCACACCAGAGTTGCCGATATCGTAGGCCCAGGCATCGGATCCCACAAGCCACAACGACTCCTTGCGGAACAAGCGCTTGCTGGACAGCAAGTTGCGGGCAATGGAAGAACCATCGGTCTCCAAGCGGGGGATCAGGTCGTCGGCGATCTCATTCGCCTTCTTGGAGTCGGCCTCGTTGGCTGCCCAGCGGGCGAGCCAGCTCTTGGGCGACTCAGTCACGAACTGGTTGCTGTTGGCAGCCTCCTTGACCTCGTTGACGAACCGCAGGCGACGCTCCTTGCGAGCCAAGAGGGAACCGAAGCCGAACTCGGGGCTGGCCTGGATGGAAGAGTTGATGCCGGCATTGCTAGCCTTGAGGGCGTTGGCAATGTAGGCTCTCTGACCAAAGAGCTGGTCGAGGATCTTGGTGTAAGAGTTCTCGACCTGGGGCTTCTCAAGGCCGTATTCGAGAACCTCTTGGGGGACCTCCTTGCGGCCGATCTCGAGGTTCTGAACAGGGGACTCGGAAGTGAGGTTCTGCAGGACGCCACGGAGAGCCTGGATGACGGTCTTGGGGTCAATGTAGCCAAGCTGGTAGCCGACGACGGTCTGCACACCACCAGGGCCGCTCTTCACACTGGTGAGAACATCGATGAGGACGGGGCCCCACTTTGTGGTCTTGCGGTGGACCTGCTCAAGGACAGCGATGCGCTTCACAGACTTGGGCAGAGCCTCAATGAGAGAGGAGCTGAGCCAGGGGCGGTACAGTCTGGGAGTAAGGATGCCGACCTTGGAGAAGTCACCTCCGCGGCGGGCCTGGTCAATCACATCACCAAAGTAGTAGGCTCCAGAGCCGAAGACGAAGAGGCAGTTCTCTGCGTTTGTGGGGCCGGCATAGAAGAAGGCCTGGTATTCACGGCCAGTGATCCTCTTAATCTGAGCCCAGATGCCGTTGGCATACTTGAGGATATCCTCAGACGAGACGACGGGCAGGGACGACTCGATAGTGGTGGCGTTGGAGGAGACGACAGAGGGCGGGCTGTCGGTGACGCTGTGCTCGGCGCTGGACTGGACCGAGGCCCTGGATGACTCGAGCTTGGAGTGCACGGACGATGCGAGTTCGGAAGAGCTCAAACCACTAATGGACGAGGAGCCGGTCGGCGGCACGTCGGATCGGTCAGAGGCCACCGGCAGTCGGCCGTCATCGGCATAGATGCCGACAGCCGACGCGGCAGAGCCGTTGGACGGCTGCTGGAAGCGCCTCGCGGCGTCAACGTCGAGAATCTGGCGCACGACTTCGGGGTCCTCTGCCTCAATGGCTGCATCTTCGTCGCTGCTGGACGAGGCGAAGAAGTGAACGACACCCTTGCCGGAGCGCAGGGCGAGAGCGTGTGCCGTCAGTGCCATGTCCTGAGCCTCCTGGAGAGACTCCGACTGCAGGAAAGTCCATCCGGAGTTGCGAATGGCTGTGATTGCGGAGAAGTCGGGGAAGCCAGCGGGCTGGAGAGCGACGTGAAGCACGACGGGGTAGTTTGCCAACTTGTAGAGGTGGGAGATGGCGGGCAGGAGAACGGTTGACGAGGTCGTTACGGCAACGAGCTTGCCGGCGCGAGTGGGCGCAAAGACGGAGAGGAGAGGGTCGGCATTGTGCCTTACGTATTGGACCTAGGGACAGACGCAGTTAGTTATCAAGTCAAAGGACCACGAAGAAGACGAATCGAGTGGTTTCTCACCTCTGTGACTGAAGACTTTGCGACGAGGCTTTTGTCGCTGCGAGCGACGTAGCGCTTAAAGTGGGATGAGAACTCCGAGTCCTTTGCCAATGAAGGCTGGACGGAGACGACGACGTCGCTGGCGAGGTATGCGATTCTCGCAACTATAGAAGGCGCATGTCAGCATAGGCCAGAGTTGCTAGCGACATCGCAGATTGAAATTGCTATTGCGACTGTCCTGCGTCCTTAGCCGGCGTCGTCGTCCATCATCTCTCTGCCTCTTCCTGGGTGCTGCCCATTGCCCATCACGAGTGGGTTGCCGGGGGACTCTGCACCACTGGGATGCGACAAATAGCGGAGCTCTGATTGGCCAAATGCCAACATCGTTGGAGCTTCGCTGTAGTTACAGCGGGCACACGCGCTGAAGGAATGACGGCTGCTGCAGAGTGCGAGACCAGGGGGGAAGGAGCAGACGAAAGCCGAGGAATCCAAGAAATTGAAGAGAACAATTGCTTACCAGCTTCTCCAGGCGTCTGGATTTGGCCTCTTGTCGGAGCCATTGTCGATATGTGTATGTGCGTGTCTGGTGGAGGTTTCGATGGCGAATTCGAGGGGGGGTTATCGTATAGTGGCCGGTCTCGAAACTCTGCCGTTTGCAGTGTGCAGTTCCGGCTTCTTCGTGTGCTGTCTTTTTCTTGGCTTCCTCTGGACCAGGAACCAAGGAGGGATGGGTTTCCAACAGGGAGTTCAACAACAACAGCAACGACTAACACAGCTCAACCCGTAAGGAGTTTTGTTGGAGACGGGCGACGTGGGATGCAATGGCAAAGAAGAGGCGGAGGGAGAGGGAGGGTGAGAGTGAGATTGAGAGTGTGAGAGAGAAGAGGAAGATGTGGTGTAAGTTAATAAGAGGTCTAAGAATAAGATCGATGGATAACAAGCTGGATTAAAAAATAAAAAAAAATAAAAATAAAAGGTCCAAGGCGCGCCCCAGGAAGTTGCGAAACAGCTCCGATGGTTCTTTCTGCTTTTGGAATCAACACAGTGACCTGGAAAGGACCCAATTCCTGTTCCTTCCCTTGCCTGGTTTCGTCGTCTTAAGGCAAGAAGCTGAGGTGGAAGGCGGGTTGCGCCTGCTGTCTTCTGGCGTGCTTGGGGGCCTTGAGGTGGTGCTGTGCCCACCGAGAAATTTCGCCCCGCAGAAAACAATGAATTTTGTCGACATCAGGGTCGATTGCGTGATCGGCTAGCGCAGCGTCTCCCCAGTCCATTCGCCAGTTGCCATGCCGCACTGCTCCCATTGCGCCGCGGGTTGGCTTGCCTTTGGGGGCATTGGGGCATTGGGGGCAATTGGGGGGTGTGCATTGCTCACAAAAAGGTACATCGGGATTCCTCCAGAGAGAGAGAAAGAGCCGGGAGTTCAGCGAGTGCCGTTGGCAGTTGCCTCCTGTGGGTATTGTCCTGTCCTTGATGTTGTATTATTCATCACGAGAATCGCTGACGGCTACAGCATACGAGTATGTTAGTCCTGTATAAAGAAAGACTACAGACTCTGCTCTAGACTCTCAGTCTTAGCTCATCCTACTTTACCCAATCAGCCACTCAACAACACTCTAACAAATTCCATCCAAGATCCAATGGCACTTCTTGGCTAATACAGCACCAAGCAGGGGGAGGGAATCTGGACCCCCCATGCCCGAATGCCGAAAAAGGCCGTTGTCGGCCAGTAAGCCTTTCCTCTCATCTTTCTCTCCCAAGACTCAAGAGCAAGACTCAACTAGACTCCAAGAGTCCAAAGGCAGAGCTCGGATTCGTAGCCGTACCTCATCCCATCCATCTGGAGGCGAGTCAACTAGTGGAAACTATTCCGTAGACTGACATGCTGCTCCATATCCCGTTCGCCAGACCCACCATCTCCATCCCCCTCCCCCGGAGATTCTTTCGGATTACAAATGTAGTCTCTGTATTTGCAGTTTCCGTCTGTCAGACTGTCACTCCATGGTCCATTGCCCGACATCCACCAGCCATCCAATGGTACTTCGATTTGATCAGATCATCTTTGTATTACTGTACTAAGTATGCTTATTATATGTGTGGCTTGTATCGTATGCTCTCCAAAGCCCAAATTCGGGGTTTGGAACCAAAGGACGTTCTCTCAGTCCCACTTTAATCCTCATCGTGAACCGGGCACCAACCGAATTGAATGCCCTCGTGACGAACCATCTCCCAATGACCCAAACGCCGATTCACCTTCCGTGATTGAGGGTCATCAATGATGTTGTACAAAATTTCTCCATCGCGCCCGACATGCATTTCGCTCATGAATCCCGATCCACCTCTTTCGGCGCGCGCGTGGCATCAAATCCACAACAGATTGAAAATCTCAAATGATGCCATCGCCCAATGATACCACCGCCCGATGGCATCATCGACTTGCCGTCCCGGCGGTATCCACTCCCAAGCGGTCAACCACCCGCTGCCGCCGACATGCCGCACCGACATCCATCTCGTTGCCGCTCAAGTACCGGGTCGGTGGCTTTCTCTTATTTCAAACTCGCGTCGTCCCGATTCCGAGATTACTTAAACTCCGGCGTGCCGGAACTTGGCGCTCACAGCGCTCGCCCACACCTCCTGAGGCCTCTCGCGAAGCCAGTACCCGCGACCGAGAGCGAGCATCACGCGCCCGATACGGCCTCGGGACCCTTCGCCGCCCGGTTCGCCCTGCGAGAAAGGTCCGTCGACGCCGCCCTTCTTGCCGGCGTTGCTGCGGCCTTCCTCCTCCCAGCCCATGTCTGCCGTGTACCGCTGCATCACCTGCTGCGCAAACGACATGACAACGAGCGCAAAGTAGACGCGCACCAGCGTGACGGAGCAAATCAGCCCCAAGCTCATCCACGACTCCTGGGGTCCAATGTGCTTCGTCGTGCCGGGAACATCAGGGACAACAGGCGCTCCGTTGGCGAGCGCCGTCTCCGCAATCTCCGCCGCCGCGGCCGGGCCAGCCGCTGCCGGGGTGGTGCTCCCTGCCGGGTGCTTGTCCAGGGCGCTGCTGTTGAGGTACCAGTTTACGGCGAAGAAGGTCGTGTACGCGACGTTGAGGATGGTGTCGACGATGTAGAGCCACGCGAGGCCCAGCGTCTCAAAGGGGCTCTGCTTGCGGATGTGGGGCATGAACATGGCCAGCAGGACGACGACGCCCAGCGAGTAGAGGTACATTGACAGCTGCGTCACGGAGAGCTCGTAGCCCGTAAGGATGGCGAGCAGGCCATATAGGCCGGTGAGCCTGTTGAAGAGGAGGATGAGGGAGATGACCTCGGCGCCTGTCTGGAGGCCGATGCAGCCCAGAAAGGTCTGTCGCACACACAGAATGTGATCCCCATGTTAGCCAGCCGTCCAGTGATTCGTCCGTTGAGATGATAAACATGATGTTGTGTAACTGCTGGGCGCAGCTGGATGAGGGAGATGAGGTTGTGTTACACGCATACCTTTGGAAGCGGCAACCGCATACTGAATCTCGAAAACGCCATCCTGACTGTCTATCCGTCCACTTCGTTCGTGATGTCTGTTTGGTGTATGTGTGTACGGACAACAGAAGAAGGGTATCCGTATTGCGTCAGAAAGAAAGGGGTCCTGTCCTTGGGAGCTCAGGTAATTCGTAAAGGGTGTCAGGTGAGAAGCTTTGGGGAAGCGTCGCAAAGACGAGCCCAGAAAGAGGCCCCGTCACTTTTGAACCAAAGCGGCAGCGCCGGATGACATGGGCAAAAAAATAAGAGTGGAAAGACCCTGCGTTCGCACCTTTCCTAAATTCTCGATGACATTATGGGCCCCACCCGATCCGTCATAGCGTCACACCCCGGGGTTTTGCTCAAGTCCGCGCCGCTTTCTGCTCCGTCTCCCTTCTGCAACAGTTACCTGGGTTGCTGCAGATTGCCAGAGAGTGCAGCAGCATTGGATGTGAATGCACCGCTATCTGACAATCTATAAGGTGAGGTATCCGTAGTTCCATAGGCGTACCCATGCACCGGAAATCAATGCCACGGATTGCGGGCCGTTCCTACGCTGGCACCGCACGGTGGATGGACCCCGGTACTCGGTGACAGCCCACCGTAGCATCACGGACACCAGCCATCGTGAGAGTCCCGTGCCGTTTCGGGCGGTGAGCAACATGGACAACTCATTCGCCAGCAGGCTTTCGATACATGATGGATATTGCCGGAAGGCAACTCGCACGTACACCGCATATCATATAGACAGACAAACTAGTTGGGGAAGAAGAGAAATAAGAGCCATTAAATGTAGGTATGTACTAACGACCGTGGAGTATAGCCCGATATTATACAAACTGTAACTGATGCTGAAAATCCCCATTTGCACGCTATGCTTAAGATGTCCTGCCCCGCCAGTCATGTCGCAACGTAACGTAACGGCAACTTCAACTCAGCCCCGCGTCGTCCGTCACGGCTCGCCTCGGGACTTTCTACTCCAGAGTCGTTGTGTCTTTTTTCTTGGTTTGTCTTCTTCACGAAGATCGTCTAGCATGCGCATCCCTCTTGCGACGATTGAGCAGGGGTCGTCTTGACGTCGATCACTGCATCACGCGTTAGTATCTCACTGCCCATATCAAGACCAAATTTCAAAGGAAGAAGATACGCACTCTGGCTTGAAGCCTGCGCGGCAGCATCCGTTCCCTCCATGCCCGGGAGAGCCTGCGCTATTCTCTTGAACAGCGTCTTGACGTTGTGTCCCAGCTTCGCACTAGTCTCGACGAACATGAGGTTGTTCTTCTTGGCCTCCTCCTCACCCTGCTGCGTCGTCACTTCTCGCTTGTCGTTCAAATCCGTCTTGTTGCCCACGAGGACGATGATGACGTCGTTTCCTCTCTCGGCGCGCACGTCGTCGATCCACTTCTTGGTGTTTTGGAAGGATTTCGCATCTACAAGTTTGCCTTAGTCAGTCCCGAGCTCGCTCCTTTTGTTTGCATCCCCCCGTGCAGTTACACGTACTTGAAATGTCGTAGACGACTACTGCGACGCTGGAATCGCGAATGTACGAGGGGATCAGACTGCGGAAACGTTCCTGTCCGGCGGTATCCCAAAGTTGTAATCTCACTGTCCGGTCCTCAAGGTACATGGTCTGCAACGCATTAGACGGTGGTTTCTCGGCCCTGGTTCGAAAACGTAATGTTTGCTTGCCTTGGAGAGGAAGTCGATTCCAATGGTCGCCTGGTACATGTTGTCGAACGAATCGTACATGAATCGAGTGATGAGCGAAGTTTTCCCCACTGCAAACAACACAAAGAACGTATTAGCCAAGGGTCTCTCTTCCGCCACGTCAAAGAAGACAAAATGCAGGAACATACCGCTCTGCTCGCCCAAAAAGACAAGCCTGGGAGTTTCATTGCGTTAGTTTATCGTGCAATTGTCTCAATAGGAACATTTTGCAATCGGCGCAAATCGTACTTGAACTTCTTGAGGGGGTTGTTGTAAGACCCGCCTGCGCCGGACGCCATGGTTGCGGATTCTTGATCAAAGGGAAGCCTCCGAAGGGTAGTATCGGGGGTTTGCCAGTCGGGCTACGGAACCAACACGTTGGCTCGATGCAAGGGAGTCGTCGAGTCGCTAAATAAAACGAGGCAGAAAAGCCAAGAGCTTTTGAAAGACCAAAGAACGAGATCCGGCGACGGAGGGGGAGTTGCGTTGGCCGAGACGAGGGGGAGTGAGGACTGTAGATCGCGGGTCGTGGAAATTGAGCAAGCTGGACAGGTAAAAGGAGGTCAACCTGTCCGCCTTTGGGCGCATTACCACGCCCCCGTCATCCATTGAGGTGGGCTCAGAGGAGCCACCAAAGACGGGGGACATCACGTGCTGATAATCGATAAGAGCGACCCCATATCCGATAAGATTAAAAAAAAAGACCCTGGCTCGAAAATTTCTGGACAGTCCAGGCCCCGCCGTCCCAGCTGGTGCAGAGTGCAGATTCGACGACCAGGAAATAGGCAAGGCGCAAAGATCGACTTTTCGACATCAGGAATATCCCCAGTAATTCCCTTCATCTTGCACATACCGACAGCCCGGAACACAACAGTGTGCATCTTGGGCAATTATCAACATGCCCGTTCTTAAGCCCCTCTCGGGCGACGGCGAAGCGCCGCAGCAACGCAAGCAGCCCTCGAGAAAGGGAAAGAAGGCGTGGAGGAAGAACGTCGATGTCTCCGAGGTGCAAGAAGGTCTCGATGAGTTGAACACACAGATTATCACCGGGTACGTAACTCTCTTCTCCTTTGAAAACCCCCGTCTCCCTCTTTCCAAGCACTTCCCAATTGGCACACAGAATAGATAACTAACCAAAACATCCTATAGTGGCGTCGTCGCAGAAAAGGACTCGGCAGACCTCTTCACCCTCGACACAGTCGGCAAAGTCGAAAAGCGCCCCAAGCCAAAGAAGACGCTCAAGTCCGACGAGATCCTCGCCACCCGCTCCTCCGTCCCCGCCGTCTCCTCCCGCAAGCAGAAGCGCGAAGCCGAAACCGCCCTCTCAAAGACCTCGGACGGCCTCCTCCCCGTCAAGCGCCAGCGCACCGACTGGGTCTCCCACAAGGAACTCAGCCGCCTCCGCCGCGTCGCCGACGGCCACCAGGAGGAATCCACCGCCCTCGTGCCCCAGGAAGCGACCTATGACCTCTGGGGCGCCGCGCCGGGCTCCAAGGCCGTAACAGCAGCAAGCAAGAAGGACATCACCGCCACCAGCAAAGAAGACAACTTCCTCCCCGACGTACAAAAAGCTAAACCCCCCAAAACCCTCAAACACGCCCCCATCTCCCTCACCGCCAGCGGCCGCCAGCTCCCCGCCGTCGTCAAGCCCACGGGCGGATACTCCTACAACCCGACCTTTGACGACTACGCCGACCGCCTCGAAGCCGAGGGCGCCCGCGCCGTCGCCGCCGAAGAAGCCCGCCTCGCCGCAGAGGAGGCCGACCGCATCAAGCGCGAGGCCGTCGCCAAGTCCGCCGCCGAGGCCGACGCCGCCGAGGCGCGTGCCCAGCTGTCCGAGTGGGACGAGGATTCCGCCTGGGAAGGGTTCGAGAGCGGCGTCGAAGGAGGGGACGACGACAAGCCCACCACCAAACGCCCGCAGCGCAAGACGCCGCAGCAGAGGAACAAGATCAAGCGCCGCAAGGAGGCAGAGCGCGAGGCCAAGCACGAGCTCGCGCTGAAGAAGAAGGCCGCGCAGGCGGAGCGGATCAAGGAGATCGCCGCCGAGATTGCGGGCCGTGATGCCTCCAAGAGCGCGTTGGCGTTGGCCAAGGAAGTGGGCGAGGGAAGCGACGCCGACGACGACGAGGATGATATCGATGACGAGGACCGGCTGCGGAGGAGACAGCTCGGCAAGTTGAAGTTGCCCGAGAGGGACTTGGAGCTGGTCCTGCCCGACGAGCTGCAGGATTCGCTGCGGTTGCTGAGACCTGAGGGCAACCTCCTCAAGGACCGGTACCGTAGTTTGCTTGTTCGCGGTAAGGTGGAGTCGAGGAGACATATTCCGTTCAAGAAGCAGGCCAAGGCGAAGCTTACGGAGAAGTGGTCGTACAAGGATTTCAGGATCTAGAAAACCGGGGTTTACTGTTAGAAGGTATCAGAATAATCATCAAAAGCCTGCATATTTTGACTTTCACTTCGTTTCGTTACACATCGGAACATTGACATGCGCTCAAGATGGGCGAAAGTTGTTTGAACAATCATATGAAATTATTTAGAGACCGTCTACGTATCCCCTTTTGTCTTTTCTCTCTGGGTTCTGTAACTTCTATACGGATGCATCCGTCTCACCCAAGGTGCATTTCGTACCTCGTACTTCGGCAGGGTATGCTAACAAAAGAGAAGGAATCATTCTTGCAACAGAACGCATCATTGCCTTCTAGTAGCTCATCAAATCTGTAAAATCACACGTATTAGTTATTAAACGCTCTAGAGTCAACAGCAAGAGTGCGGCAAAGACAACATACCTCTTCCAAAGAGACCGCGCTTGGCCCAATCCATGGCAAGCAAGATCCGCGTCCTCAAACTGACGCTCTGCGCAAAGTAGACGGACCGCCACATATACACAGCCCACAACCCTCCGGCAAAATTCCAACCCTGGCCCCAGTCGAACACGGCAGAATTGCCAATGTACGCCAGACTGCCGAGATGGCGATACTCAAACGCCTTGTACACCACCGAGTCAATGTCGCCGTCGAGAACCATGTTCGCCTTCAGCCCGTCCGACGTGCGCGCCATCTTGTTGAACTTGTGCGCGAGGTACTGGCCCTGCTGGTGGGCGCGCTGAGCCGTGGCGGGGAGGGAGGTCAGCTTGGAGTCAATCTGCTTCAGGAGCTCTCTAAGCTCGCCGAAACCGAGGGTGCCGGACTGGTCCTTGTCGAATTGCTCAAAAAGCTTGTCGAGGCGCTTCAGGTGGCCGACGGCCTGGGGGAAGCGCTTCTTGACGGCGCTGGCCACCTCGCACCAATCGCTGAAGTGGAGCTCGAGGGTCTCGGGATCCTTGCCGTGCTTGAAGGCCAGGCCGCGGCAGAAGGAGATGATGTGGTCTGCCACGTTGTTCTGCACGGTAGAGCAGTCGCCGATAGCGTAGACGTCGCCGAGGGGGGTTCCGTTTAGGCGGAGGTGGGTGTCCGTCTCGAGGGCGTGGCGGTTCGTTTGCGAGGGACCGAGCTTGGAGGAGAGACGCTTGCAGAGGTCGGCTTGGGCGACGCCCGTTGACCAGAGGCAGAAGCCCATGGGAAGTTCCTTGGTGAGGAGGGATCCGTCGGGCTGCTTCTGGGTGAAGACGATCTTGTCGGCGTGGACTTCCTTGACGCGCGAGTTTGTGAGGATGTCAACCTGGTCGCGGGCGAAGTGCTCCTCTGCGTATTTGGAGAGGGTCTCGTCATAGGTGTTGAGGATGTGGCTGCGGCTCTGGATCAAGTGGACGGAGATCTCGTTGCGGAGGAGCTTGGGGAAGTGCAGTGTCAGGTCCTCGTTGAGCATATCAAACAGCTCGGCCGCGAACTCGACACCCGTAGGACCGCCACCGCTGACGACAAAGGACAAGAGGCGTTTGCGCTCCTCGTCGGCGGTCGTCGGCAGGCAGGCTTGCTCG